TTTTGTGCAGATTGCCCCTTTATAAAACGCGAAATAAACGAGCGAACCAAACAATGCCTAACGTCGCACATTGTCGTTCAGGTCGCTGGACAAATCAAAACCAAATACTCACTTGAAACGACTGGTTTTTCATACAACAGGAATTAAACGACAGAACCAACCATTAAAAGGAAGAAGTCACCGTCAGTAGTCAAATTGTAAGAAATTTCGAAAAACCAAAACGAAAAAGAGAGGGCTTGAATCGATGAAACTATTTGGCAGCGGAAGAGAAACTTTGAACCTGTAATTTTGGATTCTATAAAGAGAATTTCCGAATTCAGTGGAAACAATCACTGCATTTAGACCTGAATTTGATATTCAAATACAGATATACATATCATTAATTCATCAGAGAGCAAATGATAATGATTCCAGTCTGACCGCTTTGTCGACGAACTTCAGCTATGGTTTGCTTTCCGCTATTGGCCAATTCGAGTTTCTAAGAAAATTTTCAATCTTCAGCTCTTCGGGTCTTCGTTGCTTGTCATATTTGTTCACGTTTTAGTTCCAAAGCTTCTCTCTCTCTTTTTTTTTTTCTTTTATGAAATAGTCACCTGTTTCTGTTTCGGTTTTAGGGTTACGCATCGATCTCCCTAGGGCTTGAAGACTTGTATATTCGACGCCTGTATCTTGACATTCAGATTTTTATATCTTTTTTTTTTTTTTTTGATATACATTAATCTTTTATTTCATTTTATTTCTAAGTGAACTTGTTTGTTCTTCCAAGTTTGTGATTGCAATTTCATTGATTTTCTAGAATGTAAGCCGATTTATGATTCATTTAGTAAGAACTAAGAAGCTTAGTTTAAATTATGGCGGATGGTTTATTATTAGTTAGTTGGTTCACACATATGAATATGTATCATCCACTATCTGGAGTCTCATTTCGTTTTCAGCTATACGATACCAATTTTATGAATGTTTTGGCTGCTATATTGAATTTCATGTGGGATTGTAACTGCAACGTGGTTTTATCTTGTGCTTCTGCACGTTGGTTTTCTATAACTAGCTTAATATCTGTTGTTTCTTGTATTTTTCACCCATCCAGGGCTGTTTTGGACGACCATAACGAGTGCTCCTCCTGATACTTTGTTTTATTTTTTTTGCTTGGAAGTCTATCTTCTTGTCATTCATAAGCAATTTTAACTACTTCTGTAATTATTTTCTTTAGAGTGATTTTAGATGCTAGCTAATGTTTAAGTTTTTATCTATTAATTTGTTACAATTGCCTCTGGTGTGATGAACTACAACTACAATGGTGCACACTGAATTACAGGAGTGTGTTGCAAATTTTTTGGAAAACCAGCTGCCACTGTTTTGGCATGGCCTATGCTACAAACTCTCCCATCCTTCCCATCTTCATTGAGAAAGTATGGTCATTACTCATATTTTTTGTTATGAGTATCTTAATCTCTGACTATTATTAATAAATTGCTTTTTCCTACCACGTTCATCAACAAGGACGACTGATTATTAGTGATTCATTGAACCACAATGTCTTTACATATGTTTAATACAACTTGGGTGGGTTGAAAGTTGTGACTTGGAAAGATAATGGCAAGACTTTTGCATCAGGACGTTGCATCTAAGCAACTCACATGTAAAACAGAAAGCAAAAGCTTGGTTGTACCCCAGACTACCCATGGAATTATCTTTCAATGTTCATTTTTCCCATATTCCCCGTGGAAATCTCAGTATGATCAGCGAAACCAGTGAGACTGTTATCTATTTAGAACTTACTTTGGATGATACTCGTTGACCTTGTTGAGCTTTCTATAAAGTGTCATCTGTGGTGTGATTTGTTTATCTCCACTGGTTCTATAAATTGGGGAGGATGTCAACTAAGAACATCGAAACTCATACACTTTGCCATTTTTCACTTTTCCTCCCAATTGCAGCATGTAAAGCCTTAACAGGTAATGAGCTGTCACTGTGAACTTTGTTTCCCTAATTTCCCTGATCTTTATAAGCCTTTATCATTTTTGCTGAAGACTAAATGTTTGTACACAGGAATAGTGTTTGGTGATGGTGACTCGTTAATGTTTGCTGGTCTGGTGATATATAGCTATTAGACAGACATCAATCTCAGGACTAGACATTACATGGGGTACAAGCTTAGCTTCTTGTAATTCTGACTAGTTTTAGTCATTCGTCAAGTTTCCTGAGTGGCCTTTTTTGGGCTAGTGCCCTACAGTCGACCCACAGAGGAGACATGTTCATGTCTTTAGACATAAAATGCAAATGCAAGTAAGGATAAAAATCCTGTCTTTTTGGCAGATTATCAGCCGAGTATTTGAGCTCGTGGGCATAAAGTAATTCCTGCTGAACCAAAGAAAGAGCATCAGGAGCAAACCACAATGAAGTTGGAGTGAGCATTTCAATTGCACTTCACCTAATGTTGTCTACTTTTCCGAAGCAGCTGTACTTTACTTTTTCCCAGTTTTGTAGTCATCAAAAAATCAGGAAGTGTTTTAGTTCTCTTAGCCTTTCATAAGCATTGAAAATTATCTAGTTTATTCTTTTTGTATCTTTTCATATGTAGTTTTCTATTGGATTTGGCAATCTGGTGTATGCAGATGAACAAAATCCATTGAATTCTAATTGTGTGAAAGTCCTTTTGGTTATGTCGTAGTCACTTTTGGTGAATTTTGGACGCAATGCATACAGTTGCTTTGATGGTGGATTTGCTGGCCCCAGACAAAAATGACCGATCTTGACCGGTGAGACCTTTCACTTTTGGTGGCCTTCAAACCTCAATTATTATTTTGGAGTTAGGATTGGATATTATATGCTGCGTGGAGGATGCCAAAATTAACCTCAGATCTGAGCCTCTGTCCATAAGATCCAAGAACCACACCGATAGATGGCATATCATTCTACATGTTCAAACGCAAAGTTTTCCATCAATCGCTTGATAGGATTGATGTGGAAACAATTTTACTTTAAGGCCCCATTTGGAAATTGTTAAATTTCATCAATTTTGATATTTCGCGTTTGCTATAAATATTAAAATATTCAATTTATAACTAAAAATTAAATTTTATACAATTCCAGTAACAATATCAAATACTATTAATTGTGATAGTTTAAATTTATCTATCCCAACCTTTCCAAAAAAACAAAAAGAAAAAGAGAAAAAAAAATCATCCATAGAAAGTTGCCAAGAATGCATTTCAATAACCAAAGGAAAGAGAAGAGGTACATTCTTTTTGTTTAAGCTTCCAATCATGACATGCCTGATAATTCAGTTGTATCAACAAAATCCATTTTACAACAGTAATCACCTGTTTAAAATATAATATAGACAGTAGTGGGCATTAAAGGAAAATAACGAAAAACAACCGTGTCCTTAGACTCTGCTAAAAAATAGCTCTATTAAAACCCAACTCAAATATCATCTTCCCCACCACCATCCCACCATAATAAATAAATAAATAAAATGTCCATTTCAGCAAGATTTAAAATAAGCTTTACCTTATAGAGCAGGCTTTTCTCTAAACTATGTTCAGCTTGCAAATCTCAATTCAAATTATACACGATAGCATCTCCAATTTTCTTACAAGTTTTAACTTATCATACTCAATAGAGCTTATGTTCTGCACGTATCTTTCTAAATAAAATTCTCCACAAAGTGCACCAAATCCCTCAGTTTGAAGGCATTGCAGTAAGCAAGCAACACTGGGTAAAAAGACAACATAGATTAGCCGCCCACTCTGACTTGAGTTCTCACCTATGCAGCGACTTTCTTTCGTCACTGCATCCTGGTCAAGGCATCCTTACACATGAAACACTGGACAGGCTTATAATAATAATAAAAGTAAAAAATCCACCTCTTCTGGCTGCATCAAGACACCATAAAAAGAAGAAATACAAACCGCCCAATAAGATGACTTACACTTTCTGCCGGCAAAATCTTTAGGCCACTAAATTTGATAGAACATCCATCTGATTCATCTCCCAACAACAAAGAAAAGCCACTGTATTAAAAAATTTCAACTTCTATTCACACCAATGAGAGCTCTTCAACCCCTCAAAAACGTTGTTACTTAGATCATATAACCACTGATACCATGAGAAACAATCACTACTCATCGCTCAAATCATTTCCCAAAAGAATATCAATCGAGTTGTTCCCAGGTTAAATTCTGAATAGATACGCCTATATAAGGGACAATCGGTAAAGGAAACAAATAAAATCAGCAGCTGCCATAGAAAATGGCAAAAAGCTAAACATTTCTTGTCATCTACAACAAATTTGCAAAATCACAATTTCTAGCATCATTAGAACAGCAGAGATCTTTATGTACGTAAAGTCATTAAGCATTCCTTTATCACTCACAGAAAGAGCAAAGCAAGTCAAAATGTCTGTACTCGAATAATGGTTTTTTTTTTTTTTTTTTTTATCGAGTTGTTCCCAGGTAAATTCTGAAATAGATACGCCTATAATAAAGGGACAATGCGAGTCTAAAGGACAAAACAAATAAAATCAGCAGCCTGCCATAGAAAATTGGTCAAAAAGCTAAACACTTTTCTTTGTCATCGTACAACAAATTTTGCCAAACAATCCACAGATTTCTAGCCATCATTAGAACAGCAGAGATCTTTATGATCGACGTCAAAGTCATTAAGCATTCCTGGTTATCACTCACCAGAAAAGAAGAAAAGGCAAGTCCAAAATGTTCTGTACCTCCGAATAATGTTTTTTTTTTTTTTTTTAATAATGGTTTTTTTTTTTTTTTTTTTCCTGAGCATATCAAATCTATATTCTGTTCATTCTATCTAAGAATCAAAGAGAGAGCATTATAGCTTTAATAAACTTATGAATATACTATTAACTTGACTGGACTAAACCTTGACCCGAAACTCAACTTGAGAATCAATTTTACTATAAAGTATAACCACATCAACTAGTAAGAATTCCATGTATTAGAAAATTGCACTGAATTAAAAATGCATTCATATAGTGCAATAAGAAATAATTACCCAAAATGTCCTACTCATTCAAAAAAAATTATTGCTACTTCTACTACAAGATAAAAACAAAAATTACTCAATTAAGTTCAGACATGATGCATCTTTAATTGCCATGCTGAGACATAATCCTCCAGTGAAAACCAAAACTACAAGCTCACCAAAAATCATCAAGAAAACCCTTTCCCAAGCTTTTGAATTGCACAAAACATCTTTCTCCTCGAACCAACTGCTTTAATTCCCATATCCTTCAAATCCTCCAGTGTTAACATTGGTAACACCTCATCGTCCACTTCATGGATTTCAAAAAATGGCGCATACCGCCCTAAACCTATACTATTAAGCCAAATCCTGACTCCATCCTCCCCTCCACCGCCACATCTCCCATTATTCCTGTAATCCCTGGCGTCAGTATCTGAAGGACCTGATAACTCAACCCCATCATGAAGACGATTATGATTATGATTATCCCTTGCTCTAATTGTCCTTCTATTGTAATACATTTCTCTCTCGTTTCTTTCGTTGCCATCTCCCAAATTCTCAAGGGAGTGAACAGGACTCTGTTCTTTTAGTGGACTATCCGAATTTTCCATGTCGAATTCACGGTAAGTATCATCCACATCTTCTCCACCGCTGTATTTCTCGTCCCCTTCGACATTATTATGGCTGCCACCACCCCCACCATCGTCAATTTTGGAAACCCAATTGGATCGGACTCGCTTCGTAGTGGCATTAGAAGCACGCTTTTTCGAATCCTTGACTCTCCAGCTTCCAATTGCAATAGAATCCAAATTAACCTCTTTATCCTCATCTAGGGTTTCAGCAAACTCACCGCTAGTCGTTAAATTGGTTAAAGCTCTGGTCTTGGAACCTTTATTAGAGGAATTCGGGTCCTTTTTATGATCGAGAGACAGGAGCTGATGATGCTTCCACTGCTTATTATTACTAGTTCTCCGCGGATGAGTGTCATAGAGCTGGTCACCGCCGATTTCCCCCAATCGGACGCTGGGCCTCCGCTGCCGCTTGGAACCGACGGTTTCCGATGATGTAACTGCAATTGGCGCACCTACTCCTCTATCTACTGAAACTCCGCCGACACTACCGCCGTTCAGATGACCCTCCGGTGGCTGTATATCCGCCATTTTGAAAGAGGGAGTTTCAGATCCCCAATTAAAGTTATCTAACAGGCCTAAATTTCTTCCTAACCAATCTCTCTAACTCTAGGGTTTGTTAATGCACAGATACATGTGAGTGTGAGAGTATGTATTATATATACATAAATTGAAGGCAGAGAGAGAAAGAAAGAGACGAAGAAAAGAAGATATAGAGAGAGCAGTTTTTGAGTGTGTGTGTGAGAGAGAGAGAGAGAGAGAGAGAGAGAGAGAGAGAAGAGAAGTGGGAGAGGAAATCGATGAGTTGAGTGGAGAGTGTGTGAGTGTGTCAAATTGGCTGTTCGATGCTCGACGCGTGTCCTTATAAAAATAAAGTTTTTTTTTACCACTCACGCGTTAATCACGTGTCTTATTTTTTTACTCCCCATTAATCGCCTTAATTTTGTCGATTAATAATAAATCAACCGCTTTTGCTTCGTCAATAACAAAAATATATAAATAAAATACCTAATGATTGATTATTCTTTTAATAATTTTTTTTCTATACCACAATTGTCTTTTTATGCACATAAAAATTAAATTTTGTATGAAAAAAATTAGTACAGTCTAATTATGGTCTTACTTTATTCTTATTTTCAATAATAATATAGAGGGAAAGGTCTTAGATTCAAAACAATAAAAATTTTCATTAATTTAGACACAATTCTTTATTGTATATTCCTCAATATTGTTTTAATTTAATTAGTTTAGCTCATGAAAAACAGCATATTCTCAAAGTAAATCTTTTACTGAAAAAGGGGAAAAGAAATGCAAAGGTAAATAAACAATAATCTCAGAGTGAATTCGTTACATGTTACCAAAAGAATGATTAAACTACACTTGAAATCTGGTAAAAGAAAAAGGAAATGATTTCTATACTAACATTTGACTTTAAATATATGGTAAAAAAAAAAAAATCTAATTCTTTTTGAAACAGACAGAGCAGGAAAAGTATACAAGCGGAAATGGTGTCCATAGCCTCTGCTTTCAAAATACTCAGCAGCAACTTCCCTCATAAATCAGTCATCATCAATCATGCATTAATCTATAACTTAGCGTAGTTCAGTTAGCTGGCTCTGGCTTCGGCTCTATGCCAGAAAATCCAGTGTCAGTCTGTTGGCAATGTGCAAAGCATACCATGTCCAGGACCGTGCTCCAAAGGATACATTGTTGCGCCTTTAACATATTTTTGATGATCAACAGCCGCTTTTCTAAGGCTGGAAATAGCAGAAGACTTTCTTCTAACTTGTTTTTTTCTAATTGAACATGCAGCCAGTGGTTCCTCAGATCCTGCTCCAACCCTCCTACAACATAAAAAAGGCATTTGATGCTCAATAAATCAGATTTTCAACTGACAAAGATCTATACAATTTCATAATGAGAATAAAACCAGAATAAAGAACTTTATGATGGACAAGAACGACAAGAATGTATATGAACACAGGATATCTTGGGAAAACTAGTCACACAATAATCCCATGACAAGGTGGCCAATAAAAAGGAAAAGTTCTCTTAAAAGTAGCCAGGAAGTGATGAATCATTTCTGCCAAATGTTCTTTTTTTTTTTCTAAGGCTGAATATTTCATAAAGCATTCAATGCTAATGGAAAACATGCAACAACGGGCATTAAAAATTCAAGGCACCAAAAATTAACTACCTCAACAATTTCTCTGATGCAATTCTAGCAGCTCTAATTGTGCTCCTGCTTGGCAGCCATTGCACAACACGTTTTGGATCATCACGCATTGGAGAGTGGATTTTAATAAGCTTAAAGAAACAAAAGTAAAATAAAAAATTATATTACTGAATGCACACAGTAGCTATAAGAATGATTTCAATTCTATTGTGAACAAGCCATAGGAAGTTCTCTTAATAAAATGAAAAACATTATAAAAATATTATTTAAGATTCTAATATTATAAGGCTATAAGCCACTAAACTTAGCATTGAACAAAATTTATGTCTCAGCAACATCCATGTCAAACCTTCCATATAGTTTGACCTTCTGGGACAAATAAAAAGTAATTTTACATCTTGTCACTGTGAAGATCAATAGAGCTTAAAAGGTGTCAGCTGAAAAAACATGATAAAAGCTCTTGCAGACTTACACCCAAACACTCCATCATCTGGTAGTAAGCCCTTCCATGCAGAGGAGTGTGACCTTGTCGAGATTCTGAGAAATATCTGGTCCTGAAAGGAAATGTCGAAGTTCATTGCTTAGATAAACATATTAAAGTTTTGCATAAATAATGCTGCCGGATATACTAACTGTTGACAATTTTATACCATTCCTTGTATCCTGGATCCACAGTGAAACCATACATATCAACCGACTCACACATGGAGAGAGCAAATTCAAGGGCCTTGAGGCCAGTTCCCTTAGCTGCTGAGCCGAAGGATGCACCTAACATGAGATACACCGGATTGTATATTGGAAGTTCCTGCAGAAGACAAAAGGATGACATTAAATTGCTTGATTAGTGAATAATGTAAAGCAGGAAAACAACAGAACATCTGGATTCATCAGAAGTGCAATTAGAAATGGTACATTAGACATCATAGACAAAGAAACTTTAGTTAAAGAAATTCTATGTAACTACATGAGCCTTGATTTTGACGGCACCTTTTTCAAAAATGAAGATTTCAAGGCAATTCAAAATCCAGAAAATATGATTAAAATAAATTTCAAAATCCAGAAAAATATAATTAAAATAAATATTTAAGGTATATAATTGACTTTCAAAATCTTCACTAGTCAATAATTTTAGAAACTTTATGACTGAAATGAGGTGACTTTGAGCAAATCACATTCAACACAGGGCATGCAAAATACCTTTTTCATTTTTTGAGATTAAATGCAAAATACTATTAGTCATTAGATAATAAAGAAAAGGAGAAAAAAAAACCAAGGTGGGATAAACTCAATGAAGTTGCACTGAAATCGTGATAAAATCTAACTAGATAAGAACAATTTTCAAAATCTAAGGAAAGGAAAATACTTAAAATTGTATTCCATGATGTATTTCAGTTTCTTTACATGATAATCCAAAATTAGTTCACCAAGCTGAAGTTTCCAAACTGCATAATACATGTCAAATTTCAAAAATACAGGGAAGCATCACTTTTTTTCAGTTAAAGAGTATCACAACTGTCCAAGCATTCAGCTTGGCCAAAAATAAAACTATGCAAAGGAACTGATAGAAGGTAAAAAGAAAACAAACCCGGATCATCTTGCTCATGATGTCATGTATAGTTGTTTTGATTATCAAGGCCTCCTTCCCAGTTTCTGCAGGATTCATACAATCAGCATTATTCTAGTAATATATGACAAGGTTGAAAGGGATAGGGATGCTATACCATCTAACTCCACAACTTTATCAAGTGCTTTGGCAGATCCTCTGTTAAGAAGACGAAATGTACTTTTCTTGCCCACATACTCTGTATAGTTCTGCCATAAAACAGAAAAGAAAAGGTTCAAAAGATTCATATAGTGAAAATACAAAAGGGTCAAGTCATGACAACAATTATAAAGCTTACCTGTATGGGGGCACCATTTTCTCTGATAACAACATCATAACCATCTATTTCCTTCCCAAATCTTGTCTTTAAAAGATCTCCTGAATTACCAATTACAGCACACCGATCAAACTGCCTCGGAAAATATGGTGGTGTTTCTGGAAGTACCAATGAGAGTTTCTCCATGCATAAAGTTTTGTTCTGACAGCGGTTACTGCAATATACAAACGCAGTACATCAAACTATGACTAGCTCTTGGCAGTCTTTAGCAGCTCACAATAATCCAATTTTACAGATCAAAACAGCAAAACCAAACAAAACATTGACTTCTTTAAAATTTTCCTCAACCATGCAAAATAAAAGAACTCCACGCTTCCTTGGGAGTTATTATACTTTTTCTCTTCGAAAAGTAACATCTCCATTAAAGATTACATCTGCTATCAAGTTAGACTTTTTATCTTCTGAAAATCCCAAGAAAATTCTTACTTTTTAACTAAAAGTTCATGGTAATGAATGTTACCCTGTGCAGGGTTTCGAATTTTCACTGTATGCTCTCCTTTGGAGGATATAACATGAACTACATCCACTTTATCTGCTTTATGCATGGAATTCACAAATATTATTTCTTTTTCCATTTCTTCCTTCAGCTATTAATAATCCACGACAAGATAATCACTTTTTTTAAGATGGAAGATACTCAAGGTTTCTACTAACAAACAAGTCTTGAGTAAATACGTACAGAAGTATTCCCTTATTAATCCTACGCCAGGCATAGTCCTCCCATCCATTTGGTAAAGCATCAATGAACTCCCGTGTAAGTATGGTACTGCTATTGCGAACCTGACAATCAACTCACTGAATAATAAATCAATTGTAAAGCATAAAAGTTTCTAAAACTAGAATATCAAATGGAAAAAAAATTAACCACTGGGCTCCGCAATAAATTTATAGAATAAGAAGAGGGAGACAATTAAATATCATTGTAGTATTCAGTACATGAAAAGGAAATCAGTTGGGATTAACCCATAAGGCCAGGTATACTTGTATGCAACATGGGGATAGCAAAGGTCATGGTTTAAGGGTATTTCTTCAAGAACCATATACAGTAATAGTTCATAGAATTCTATACAAATATAATGAGATCATAAAAACACAAAACAGCAAGCTCACCTGCTCCCATGTAGCCACAGCTTCACAAAGATTAAATTCAAATGATAATCCTTCAAGTTCTCCAGTTTTAGGATCTCTCTGTTCACAACTCAAATTAAATTATAGGATTAACTATTTGTATATAATTATACAGAACCGCCACATTTCATAAAAAAAATGTAAGGGATAAGTCCAAGTTTCTTATATTCTCTCATTTAATATTGCCTATCTAAACAGGCATAATCGGCAACTAGGTAAAATATAATCATAAACCTATTAAACACTTGAAGCAGAAGCATACCCATTTAGGGACAGTATCACTAGGAAAGTTTATTGTGACTTGGCAATAATCACTACCAGTAACTGCTTGTAAACCTAATCCATTTGCACTCTGCAAAATTACAAAAATGCAGCAAATCAAACACTGCCACTGCTAGAAAAAGGCATAGCTTACTCTACAGCACTGAAGATGCACTTTGAATTGGAAAAATGCAGGTATGGAGCTCAAATTGCTCGATACTGAAGTAGAAGCAGAAGGAAAATGCAATTACATCCAAAAAAGAGAGGGAAGCAAATGATTACCACGCACTTCTGGAAAGTGCTCAGTAGAGATTCCAATGCTTCCACATCGTCACGCGATAGCTTGTGGACCGAATCTGCAAAATCGAATAAATCAAAATCAATCAAAGTAACAACAAAATGCATATATAATGAATACATAAACTTATATAGAACATATAAACTTACTCAGATTGGACACGCCAGTAACATAGATGAGGATTGCCGAGATACCAGACGCCAAAGCAATTAAAAGACCAAACTGCAAAATCTTCATCTATTGAATCTGAAACTTCAAAACTCGAAAACAAAAAGAAAAATGTTAACTTTAAGATCTTTTTGTTCCAGTCTATGTATCCGCAGAAGCAATACGCGCGAGGAGAGAGATCGATCTAAGCTCTAAAATCCAGACCACAGTTCTCAAATTCTCATACACTTGCAGGCACCAGCTGTGTAAGAACGGAGAGTATCTAATTTCAGGAAAATTATTTGTATTATTTTTTCATCTTGAGAAACGACATCGTTGTATTTTCCGGAACATGACCTGGGCTTCATTTGGTAAAGAATTGAACCCATCTTGAACCTATGTCAAGCCCAATTCTAGTTAGCCTTACTGTTTTAAGTGGGCTGACCTGAACATAGCTGTATTTACACCGAGCCCATGTTTGCTCCTACTTCGGCCCGTTATTTTTGTTTTGTGGAACCAAAGTTGTCGATAGTTTACTTTACACCGAGTCTTTTAACCCTTCATTTGGACGAAGACAGCGAGACACCGATAAAATAAGATATAATAAAGTATGGTACAAGAAAATATGGTAAATGAGTTTTTTGTGTTTATAGAGAAACTATGATATATGAAGGTTTAATATTAACATTGTTTTGTTTCGTTTGATGATAGACGAAAGTAATTTAAATATAAATATTTTGAAAATACCTTTATAACAAAAGATTTATAAATATAATTATGAATAATTATGAATTTAAATTTTTTTAACTATGCTATCTCTTCTTGTCTTTTGTATGATATACCCTAACTCCTTACAGTTGTTGGAACTTTCACCTTTAAACTTTCTCATTCTAGAAATTACAGTCCATGATTGTGAACTCTCGAAGAATTTCTCATCAGGCAAACAATAAGTCATTTTCTTTATCGCATTTCTCGTGTCTGCATGTCATTGAAAGACCAGAAGAAAGAAGAGATTGATGAACAGAATAATAATTGAATTAATACAGCCATAAGCCATGTGATGAGCAAAGATATTTGAGAGACAAACAGAGAAAATATAGTGAGATGGTCGCAGGACCACCAAACCAGAGTTTGTTCTTGTATCAATCAAAGATTAATAAGTGGATAAATGGCACCAAAATAACATTTGGGTGCATGCATGCAATGTAACAACAGCACCTATCTGATCCAAACACGCCAGAATTATGTTTACATTGATCGAAATGGGCAGTCTTGGAGCTGATGCCATTCCACTTACATACGTCGGTCCCTTTCGCATTAAATTTTTTCATATTTTTTCTGACTTTAAATTAATTAATTAATTAGGTCCCTTTCTTTCACATTATTTTCAATATTCTCCAGTAATTAATTAAGCCCAGCCCAATATCTATGGCCCAAAAATTTTGGGGGACCATTTTCAAAAGTTTGCATTTTGTACTAAACGTTCTTTTGTCCGAAGACCATATATAGTTCCCTTGAAGAAAAGGGGAAAAACATCCCATGATACTACGTGTTGTGTCTATAGCAGACAGCCATTCAGGTCTTAGGTTTCGTCACATTTACTTCACTATAAATATGGAAAACATCAATTACGATTTTAATTTTAAGGAAATCAAATAATAATAGTGAAACAAATTAATTAGACCATTGTAAAAATTCTCGAAAAATGAATGGACTTATGAGAAAAATCTGCATGTCAATGTCTCTCATGCTAAGGAGTTTTTATTATATTTTAGATATATATAAATAATTTTGACAAGTGTTTAGTTAAATAATTGTGACAATGGAGTAGATAACATAACATATGCCCACGTCTTATTGTTTGAGATAATAATTCCTTAGAAGTTAGATCTCACTGCTAAATTATTTATTATGATGAAGTAAGAGGGGAAATGGGTACAGGGAGTGTACAAAATGAAAAAAACACAAGTGGGATCGAAGTCCATTTTTTAGGACAGCCCATGTCTTAAGCAACAAAGAGATGAGGACACTACCAAATTGAATCAATGTCATCTCTCTATTTAGAAGAGACAAAAGAGACAAGGCAATTGAATAGCCGAAGGGGCCTTGCTCCTCTATTGCCAAACGGACCCTGGTGGGACCTCCGTCTCATTCAGCTCAAACCTATAGGCTGCACCTGCGCCCCAACCATCTCTAAATGGTCCCGACCCAATAAGTCGCTCTATATTTATTAATCAATCTTCCTTCTTATCTTTCAGCCAAGACATCAAATTGATAGTACGTGTACTGCTAGTCGTTTAGTGGAATTTGGAACTAATTGAACAATCAAGAAACATTACCCCGACATATTTTCCGATTAAATTAATATAATAAAACCCTTTTATCTCATATAATAGAATTTGAATTGATAAATTATACTTCAATATATTTTTAATTTTAAATTGAAATCGTCTTTAATTAAAAATTAATCTATCAGTGATTAGAATTGCAATTCATATTTAGGCACCATATGTCTTTTTTTTTTTTTTTTTTTTTTTTTTAAACCGACATATTTTCCGATTAAATTAATATAATAAAACCCTTTTTATCTCATATAATAGAATTTGAATTGATAAATTATACTTCAATAATTTTTAATTTAATTGAAATCGTCTTTTAATTAAAATTAATCTATCAGTGATTAGATTGCCAATTCATAATTAAGGCACCATATGTCTTTTTTTTTTTTTTTTTTTTTTTTTTTTAAATGAATGCATAGAAAGAATAGCTGGCTAATTACCGGTTTTTTTTTTTTTTTTTTTTTTTTTTTAAAATGAATGCATAGAAAAATAGCTGCTAATACCGAAATGGATATTAACTTTATGTTCATGCATTTAGTAATTGATTAAGACTGTTATGTAAATTGAATTTTGGGAATTTGAAGTGCTTGGGAAAGAAATGGAAAAGAAACGAAAATTCAGTGGTCCTGCCTGTCATATTGTCATGTACTAGCTAGGCTTTGTTTGGAACCAATCTTGAAATGACAGAGACAGTCCATGAAGAAATGACAAATGAAAGAAAGAAGAAGAAGAAGAAGAGGAGGAACAGACATATACATTGTAAAATTAATAATAATTACTGTATTTATAGAGATACCCATATCCATAAAGCAATGCGTAACTTTGTTTGTTTCCAAAATAACAAATAAGTATACTGCATTGTATACAACAGTATTTATCTTTTGGAATTTAGTAGTGGAATACATTTTATACAGTAGATTGCAAGTGAGATAGATTATAAGTTGACGTATAAAGACAAGTTATACGTTAAAATTAGGAGTTAGGTTAGGTATATTGTATTCTATTCTATAACAAGTTCAAAGTTTGGTGCAAATGATAAATTAAATTATTCTAAAAGACTTAGAAGTCAGCGTTGATGTCAGGGAAAGACAGAACAACTCCAGAGCTAAACTCAGCGTACTTGAATTAATGTCGCCCCACACTCCCATCCTAAATGTTATCCGAAATTACTTTTCTAAATAATATTCATAACTCTATTTACGAACGAAATAAGTAAAATTACAAAATTTTTAAAAACTGTTACTCCTCAATTAACTCGTATAATTTAATTTCATAAATTTTGTCAAATTTATTTAAACTTTTATATTTTCATGTTCAATATGGATCAAAAAGAAAATTATGCGCTTGGCCTATAGGCAGATAACAAGTATTGGTGTCCTGTCGAAGATATTGATGGGTCATGCATGTCTATATTGTATCATAATAAAAGCAATAAGGGAAGTCTCCAGGGAATGCTTGCATGGCATATCCCTATAGAGAGAGAGAAAAAGACTCCTAAAAGGAAGAATAATAAAAGATCCCAAACATTAATACTGACGGTTCAGAATATTTCAAACTCAAATTCAATATATTAATTATAAAAAAAAAAGATTCAAATTTGATTAATTTCTCTGGTATTTTTGTAGCTAGTAGCCATGAAATCTTATAATATGTGGAATGGACGGTTCTTTGTTCTATGTGCAGGGTAATCAATGCACGTAGGCTCATGAAATTAGATTATGACTTGACAATGGAAAAGAATAGAAAAGCCGATTTGGATGCTTTTGCTTTCTAATCTTTTTTAACGGGATTGTGTTTCCGTTCTATTGGAAGGGAACAACAACACTATTGACAGTATAAGATAGCAAATTAACACACTTAGAAATATCTTGAACATAATAAAAAAATAAATAAAGATTTGGATTAAAGAGCGACATCTAAAATTCGAATTCAAAATATTTGATTAAAGAAAAAAAATGGTATCCTATCTCATTGCTCCTCGGGATCAAAATAAAAGCTTTTCTCTGCAACAATTTTTACTAATTTATGATTATATACGATAAACTTTAAAAAGAGAGTTATCATTATTATATAATTCGTAATATTTTAATTCACTTTATCTCTAATAAAAATAACAATGATAATAATACTCAACAATTTTTTCTTTTTTTATTAGAGATGAAGTGATGAGTCGCTTTCCTTTGCCTATTCCGATGCAGTATGAACATTTTTCTTGTTCTTGATAACATTTATTAAGCAGTTGTTGAAAAGCTTAGTTTACTGCAATGAAGTCAGAAATTTTTGGACCACCGTCAAGTATTTTTTTTCATTTATATTTTAATGCTCTAATTTTTAAATATATGGAGAACACACACAAACAAAATGGCATTTAGGAAGCTTTTTTTTTTAATTTCTTTTTCCCTAAAATAGATGATCATCGGCAACATTATTTTCAGACTAAACAAGAAGAATACATGAATGCAATATAATTTTAAAATGTCATTCGTGAATAAATTTTTATTTTTAATATAATATCTATATCTATATATATATATCTATATCTATCCATCTCTTGCCGTTAACATGACAATCAATGAATGAAATTAAAATAATATGGGGAACCAAAAATTAATTAATTATGTATTGTTTAATGAGCATGGTATTGTCTTGTGACCAATGAACATAAAGACCCCAAAATATAAATTAATTTAATGAGTCTGAAATTATGTTCAAAATTATAAAATTATAAATTTAGTTTTCAATTGAAGCGAATTAAACAAAAAAAAAAACAAAAAAGACAAAAGGGGACCAGGAGAGGAAGATTGATGAGTTGGTGAGCTACAAATTTGTTTCTCCAGCTGCTAATTTTATTTTAACATGTCATCAAATCCAGTTGGCAAAGTGTACTTTTGAAAGCAATTTATGAGAGAGTTCAAAAATACTTTTAACTAAATTTGTCATCCTTTTTTTTTTTTTTTTTTTTTTTTTTTTTTTTTTTTTATTTTATTTTTTATGAAGAGAAGAAATGAGAGGGACAGATAACATACACACAGGAGATAGCAAAACTTGAAATTATGTGTGTCGCTCTCACATCCAAGCTGTTAAAAGCTAAGTGCAGAAGTACAATGCGTTAAAGAAAAACATTTTTTTTTTTTTTTTTTTTTATTTTATTTTTTATGAAGAGAAGAAATGAGAGGACAGATAACATACACACAGGAGATAGCAAAACTGAAATTAGTGGTGTGTCCTCTCACATCCAAGCTGTTAAAAGCTAAGTGGCAGAAGTACAATGGTTAAAGAAAAAAAGAGTTAAGGGCCACAGTTTCCCTTGATTGGTCATCTCTCATCATTGCCATTACTTACAAATGGAGTTGTATATTATTACCATGTGTTTGTTTGTTTATTACATGAACTTGCAAATCAACTCTCAACACATTCAATACGATGGCTACTGCTCATACTTGCTGGAAGATACTGAAAAAGAAATGAAGATCAACCATTAGTTATTCATTTCTTGCTATAAGGTCATGCTTTCTCTTTTCAAAAGTGCACAAGAGAGGAGACTAGAAGCTCTAAAATTATATTTTTTTTTCAATTTTCCATTTGGATCTATATAATTATACATATTGTGCAAGAAAATTAACTTATTGAGTTATTGTGGGTCACCGTTAAAAACAGGAACATCAATAAATCCCACATGCTTTGTTTATTACCTCTAATCATTTCACAAATCATATTGTAATCATTTGGGGAGATTATTACAGTAAAAAAGTGTGCTTAGATGTTTATCCATCTTTTGACAATATGATATGATTTGATTAGATTAGGGTTTGACACATTTCTGATTTAATTATAATTAAACAATGGTTGGCTAGACAGGAGAATTTTATATCAGAACATGACAAAGTGGCCATATAACTTTATATTACAAGACAAATTAGAAAGGATATATACTGAAAATAACCCACCTCAGGATTTCGCAGTTATCGTTATATTTTTATTTTTATTTTTTTGCTGTCTCTTGATTTGATACAATTGTCATATATAGGTAAGCTGCAACTGCTCTTCCCTTTAACTAATTTCTTTTCTCAGTCCAAATTTTAAGACTGTTGATCATATCCAAATCGATTATGTAACATTCGCATAAAAATACATTTGATTCTTTAACTTAACCTAGCGGTAACGGTCTTCGTACTTTGCATGAGTTAATTTGTATTTGATCTTGTGTTTCTTGCGAATTGAGTTAATTTTTAATGTTGATAATTTATTTATTTATTTATTGTAAGGGTGAGTTTTGTGATTTTATATCAATAATTTTCTAATAATATTTTTAGAAAATTATTGTTGAAGCTGTTACAAACTAAGAAGGTGAGGTGTCAAAATATTCCAGCTATATATGTTATGGATAGAATATTAGAATATGGATATGGATATGGTAGTCCAAATAGGTAAACATGCTTTGGGTATTTGCAATAAAAAATTTTATGTAACTTTGGTTTAAGATTGGAAAGAGTTAGCAATTATTGATTACAACTGTTATGATGCAAGTTGTAAACGAAAAGCCAAGTCATCAACATATATATATATATATATTTTTTTTTTTCTTTAAGATAAAAGAGAATAATAAAAATATTTTTAGAAAAAAAAAAAAAGAAGGAACCCCCCATATTTTGATGCTTTTGCACAGAAAGACAAAGGTAGCCAAACCTAAACTTATAAAACGCCAAAACACAGAAAATTCCACAGCACAAATAAACCAACAATACCATAAAAAAACAATTGCCTAACCAGTCATGTCAATTACAGTAATAACAGTAGATATATAAATAAAATTCAACCTATATCCTTTTCCATTCTCTCTCTAACACAAGCAAGAAGAGGCGGGAAGGCAACGGTAAAAATAACTGTAACAACGGAAATAACTGTAACAACGGAAATAATTCAATTCCACAATAAAGGTTACTTAATCATTAAATAATTAGATAAATTATTTCCTATGCTCTCTCTACAAATTTATATATATATATATATAAAGCCTAGCTAGACGTACAGTGGATTAACCACTAAACAGAGTCTGGTTATTTGTGCATGGAAGGGAAGACTTTGGATTTGGGTTCGGACAAGGGGTCAAAATGGACAAGAACAAAGGATCTTATAAAAAAGATCTGGTCTTATTCGGTCGGTTCTATATGTCCTTTGTTATCTTCATCCACTGATTTCGCTGCCCTTTATTCATTTCTTTTCCTCTTCTCTCTTTAGATTAGATGCCACTTAATCTTAATTCAACAAGCTCTCCACATCAGAACTTATGCTTGAATTAACAAAGAAGCTTCCTTTTTCTGATTTTTCTCTGCTGATCGACCTGGAAATTGACAATTTATAACCAAGTATCAGAATTATAATATATATATATATAAGACAGGACTTGAGGGCTTAATTACCGGATGTTTGAAGGGCAGCGGAGATGGTACTATTTTAATGGAAAGAACACAAGTTGTTGGTGAACCCAGATGGATTAAGAAACTTTTGTCTTTGTTCATCTACGTCCCACAGTAGACTATTGCTATCCTGAAAATGATGTTTTTGTCATTGTTAGAAATTTTCTTTTATTTAATTAATATTAATATTAATATTCTAATTCAGATTCATTAAGTACATACCTGAATGAAGTCATTAGGCCTTTGTTCTTGAAGTAAAAGTAAGGCTGAACTATCGATGAGTGGATAATTATTTGCTGTAGCAAAGGTGGCGGTAGTGGTGGTGATTGGGGTGGTAGTGGCGGTGGCAGTGGCAGTGGCAGTGGCGGTGGTGCATTGCTGCATAGGTGGCAGTGATGGTGCCAAGTTACCCATCAATCCCTGTATAACATGTCAGAGACAAAGATATCATCAGCTTTAATCACAAACTAGGTTTTTTGAAGTTAGACCAAACAATGCCACTCTTAAGTCTTAAGAATACTAAGGTACTAATATATATTTTCTGAAAAATAAAAGAAAAAGGTAGGACCAACAAAATATATAATTTTAATTTTTCATTTTAAATACCTCTGGTCTGACCATCAATGCATCTAGATCCATTCCAAAGTCATAGAACAAAGGATTCACAGAAGCAAGCTTCAAGGAAAGAAACTGAAAAAATGACAAAAGAATATATTATTTATTCATTTAATAGCATAATTAAAGTTACAAACTAAGTACTATTATTAATGTGTATTAATATATGCTTACCTCCACTTGATTCTGTAGGGACTGAACATAATTAATAATTTCATCCAACATGAGGGCCTTTCCAGTTACCTATTTTTAAACCATACCACATGAAACTGTCAGCTATATACATCACCTAAAGGAGAAAAATAGAAGACATTATTTCTTTTAAGACAGACAAAATTAAGACAGAATACTTCACCTTGTCACACCCAGGAACTATTTTTTGTAATATCTTCATCCTTTCACTGATTTTCTCTCTTCTTACCTACACCCATTTACGGAAATCATCAATTACAATGATAAATATCAACTAAAAAAAAAAAACAAATATTGATTTTTTTTTATTTTATTTTAGTAGGGTAAAGTGTGAAATTGTAATATTAAATGATGAAACTGTAGAATTTAGTGGTCTCTATTCTAAAGGTTTTTGAGCAGGGGAATTTGTAGTACCCTTTCTGCGAGGCTGTGGCTATCGGTTGCTTGGCCCCTCCTTGCTCTCACATGAATGTAGCCTGTTGGGGGCTCTTGCTCAGTAACTTTCTTCTCAGCTTTAGGCTTCTTATCTTCTTCTTTCTTACTATTGCATTTCCTTTGCTTCTTGCTTCTCCCATCTCTGCCATCCTATATAATAACAATATTACGTACATCACATCACCAAAATGACCATGACAAATCAACGGTAATAGAGTAGTCACAGTAAAGTTATAAATTTAATTCAGCTGAATCCTAATTAAAAAATAAATTTCAGCTCAGTTGCAGTAAATTAATTAGTTTCAAGAACCAATTGAAACTCAATTAATAACAAAAACGAAATTACACTAATCTAAGAAAATCCATTAAGGTGGGTACCGTATTTGTACCTTAGATTGAGAAGAGTTGTTACAAGAAGACCCATTTGAATATTTCCTCTTCTTGGGCATAGGAGTGACCATTTGAGTAACTTGTTCACCACTTTCAAGCTTATCCACCACAGTAGAAGACTCAGTGCTCTGTTTCTTGGTAACAGAAGGCTCATTATCACTAAGAGCAACCATAGAGCTGTTGTTATGATCAAGAAGGCTAGTAGCAGCGTAGTAAAATCTAACATCAGGAGGAGATTCAATCTGGGGAAAGTCTTGCTGATGAGGAGGGTAAAATTGGGAAAAACTGTTAGTATTGTTAATAATGTTTGCTTCCTCCATAAAGCCAGATAGATTCTTGAAGGGAGTGTTTGGCAAGAAAACAGAGTCAAGATGAGAAGGGTAGTGTTGGTTTGATGAAAAGGTTGCCATCTGAAAGAAAGAAAGCTTTGGAATTGAAAATTGCAAGTTCTAAAGAAAGTGATGGAAGAGGAGAGGTGGGATTATGATGCTTTTGAGAGGCAGCCCAGAAGTAGCAGTCAAGAAAAGTGTGTCTGTGACAAACAAACTAAGAGGCCCCCAGGTTTATATAAAGATGAGGAGAGAGATTACAAATTATGGAAAACAAAAATGAAAATAATGAAAAAAGAAAAAGAAAATCCAAGCAATGTTTTGTGTTTATTTGACTGGTCTTATCTCATCAACCTCTATCTATCTCTCTCTCTCTTCTCTTCTCTTTCCTTCTCTCTATCTGTCTTTATGACAGCAATAAATAGCCTCAGGAATAAAATTGACCATTATTTTGTTAAAAATTAAACATGTATATATTTCCAGAATTCTCCATTTCTGTATTATGAATAGACCTTACAATCTCTGTACAGTTATTTTCTAATCTTATCGCTTAAATTTATATCTAATGCTATATGATGATGTTCCGCAATGGTGTTGGCTAAGAACAATTCTTTTTTTATATTTTTTTAGGATGAATTACTATTTAGTTTGTTATAATTTTTTTCAAAGGAACAAATTTGTCATGAACATAGTACTTGTTGTCTTTCTGAAAAATAATTGTACCTTTCTTGAGCTACCTTTTCCAGTCTGATACAAATGGAACGTCTGATCTGATTTGTGTGAAGGAGAAGGAGCTTTTCGTTTTTAGTTTTAGGTTGCAATTGCACTAAACTCAAGATGTCAAACTCAGAATCATTTCTGTTTGGTACATTTCAAAATTTTTTAAAAGGAGAAAATTAAGATTTTTTCTTTTTGAACTTAAGAGAAAATTAAGATCAAATGATAAAAATTATGATGCTGATACTTTTAATTAATAAAAATAAATAAAATTAAGCGTTTTTTTATTCGTAGATATAGGGGAGAGGGAAAGAAGAGAAAAGACAGAGGTGCGAATTTCCAACCTAGCGCAATCATGCAAGTGCAATAGAGCATACCGCTAGGTTAAACCTTAATTCTTGATAATCATCGCATTTATATGGAATGTATCGAAATTAGAGGACATGTTTTAACATGATCTACATAAAGTTAAAAGTTTAATGCATAAAAAAAATAGTTTTGGAAAAGAATAATTATCCACTGCTCGTGCAGGGCTTGTCAATTCCTTTGAGTTTCATTTTTGCGAAGCGTCTCTCTCCCTATAATACCTTAAAATGAGGCTAATTTCAATATTTAAAAAGGACATTTGGATGCTCGTGAGTAAGTATGACCACGGTTCCACTATCGATTCCAGTTATAAAAAATGTGAAACCAAAATTAAACTGCTTTTAGACGCTTTTAAAATTGTCGGTTTTAGTTTTTTCCTGATTTTGAACTGAAATTAAATAATATATTTTATACTTTTAAAACTTTTTTTAAAATTTGTAGCTTGAATAAATAAAAATAATAAATATTACTATTGAAAAAAACCGATTGAATTTAGTTTCTTTAAGAACATATTTTTCACAGTTTTAAACTGAAACCACTAGTTTCGATCTCAAAAAATAAAAAACTAAAATCGAATCTTAAGTTCACGATTTCAGTTACAGTTTTAGAACGAAAATCAATTTGACCACAGTTTAATATCGGTTTTGACCGGTTTGATTCTGATTTGAAACCGAATCATGATCATCCCTGCTCGTGAGAAATCTTATATATATATAATATATAGAGTAAAAAAAAAAAGAAAAAAGGATGGTGTGGGTGTGATTGAAAGCAGCCGTTAGAACCGTCAGAAGGTTAAAAAGTCGCCGTCAGAGAAAAACTGAAAAAGAAAGAGAATTTCAACTCGGGTGATCACTGGTTGGCAAGTTCAGTCGTTCAAGTGTTACACGTTTAAGAATCAGAATAGAACTTCAAGGACTTGTTTTACTTTTCAAAAGGTTTTGCCTAAAGTTAAATTAATTCTTTACTTGTTTTTGTTATGAAAAGTAAAATATTTGGCACAAAAAAAACGAGTTACTAGAACATGGATTCCTAATGCATTGTTGGTTGTAAAATGAGGTGGGCTAAAATGAAACAGCCCAGAGCCTGGTCCAAATTCCATTTCAGACACCGCACACAGAGCTTCTTTTGTCATATAATCGGTCATACGCTGTTATTTAAAATGCAAACATTATTAATCATATGCTTGATTGAATTAGTTAGTATAAGTCTACTTGATTAAGGAACAAAGACAAGAAGGATGAATCTATATACAAAAAGAGAAACTTATAAATAAAAACAATGTGTTTAAATTGTTTGTACATTTTTGAAATACTAATCTTGGGAAGTTTCAAGATTGAATAGACAAGTTGTTTTTCTAAGCATGCATATATACTTTTCTGTGGTCTTCGATCCAGTTTAGCTAATTTAGAGAAAAGACAAGTGATTGGATCCAATTTTAATGTTTGCATGCGCAGCTTCCAATTCTATGAATAGATATATCATGCATTAATTATGCATACATGTACTGTGTTAATTTGTGTCTGCTCAAAAAACAATTAATGCATGGATATTCGGTCTTTAATCTTTTCCTACTCTTCTCTTGTCGTTTATTTTTATTATTTTTACGAGTGAAAATATTATAAACTAAATAAATTTTTTATTCATGGATTTTAATGAAATAGCCAGTTAATTATTTTTTTCATTAATTTTAAAATAAATTAAATTAATGAATTTTACTATATTTCATTTTACATTTTTTTATTTATCTCTATAAATTTCAATATTTTTAATCCATATTATTGAACACATATCTATTTATTAGTTTTTACTTTAATAAAAAAAAATCACGCTATATGCTTTCTTACTATTATATATCTTTATAATATTTTTTAATAGTATAATAAAAGATATTTCATTCAAAATCTATATATTCTCTCAATTTTACTTTATTTTACTTTTTTTTTTTTTCCGTTTTTTCCGTGGGGATATTGCTAGTTTTTGTAAGTATAGGAACACGCATGATCTGCACGTGCCGTTTAAGTCATGTGATTCATCATCCATGTCTGAATTAATCCAGCTATTCCTATTAGCTGTAAGCATTAATGGGGTCCATTAGACACACATATTATAACCCTCCCTGCTTCACATAAAGCTCAGGTTACTTGTACATTATATGCTCCATCGGCTTTTCCCTTTCTATCTCTCGTACTGTATAAAATGCAAACCCCATATGTATCCCATGCATAATCCTTCTCTGTTAGGTGCATTGCACCTTTCAGATTTTATACGTACAAACTGGTTTTCAGCGTGTATTTTGCATTATTTTGTGGTAGGACGTTGAATTTTCGTACCTATTTGGATGAGTGGCCAAAAACCGACACCCTATGACAGTTTTATCTTCTATTTAATAACTAAAAGTGTTATGTAGTAATAATAGTAATAATACTGTATATGTAATTATAATTCACTTCTGAGCATAGAGTAAATATTTAAGATGTATGAATAACATAAACGTTGGTGTATTGGCTGTCAGTAGCAGTAGCAGAAAGCACTAGCAGACCAGAGATGTACTGAAAAACCAGTCATCACCACCTTAAATGCATTCTCACTTTGTCAGGTTCCGTTCACGATAGAAAGGTCATCACCTGATAAGACTCGCCCACACCCAACAATCCAACACGTGTAACTTCTCTACACGCGTAAGTACTATAGTTTATTATTATTATTTTTTTTGGGGGGACCCCTCTCTCTCTTTGATCACGTCCAATCCTCAGTAATTTCTTTGTTTTGTAACTTTCAACTTTCAAGTGTTTGTGTTTAAGCACGAAATTTCGGACAGAGATTTAGGAGACAGCTAGAGCTACCTAAGCTGCCCATGTAGCACGTGAAACTTGCATACATGATACCTTGACGTATGAAGCATGAACAGGATGGTTTTTGACCAACCTAAAACACGTTGAATTCAAGCTTCTCAACCTTTGATTTTTCTTATTCTTTTCATTCTTTAGATTATCCAATAATTGTGTAATTATTTCATTTCTTTCTGTGGAATTAAACATACATCTGCTTTCTCGCGTGAAATATCGTTTTTTTTTCTACGTAAAATTATATTTAAAATGTTATTTTCGATTCTCGCCTTCCCATTTCTACTTTATATGAATTATAATATATAGTTTACAACCGTTGCTTTTCCTGTTGAAGATTTAAAGCTTGGACCGACCAGCATCTCATCAATCATTTAAAGTTTACAAAGCAATCAAACAAGATTTGTAATATTACCGACATGTATAATGCCAAGTGGATTTTAATGTTAGTAGGACCTATATATTATACAATTCTAATAATCTAAAAACATACTAAAAAAATATTATTTTGGTCTTACACATTATATTATATTTATATTTAATTTATTCTCTTATGGTTTCCCCCAACAGCCAATAATTAATAAAGTCCTGAGAGGACGTGGACCAATAATAATAATTAAATCAACTACATTTTAAAACGACATGATATATAAATGGATATTTGCTGTTAGGTATACACTGTGACTGTACATTAATTAAAGACTTGAGCTCAGCTGTGAGCTATTCCTGCAGGGACTACATATATAACTGTATGCTTTAACCTTGCATTTGTCCCCTTCCCTAGGCCATAATTGCTGATGGATCTTCCTCTAGAAGTCAATATTTCCTCTAGAGTCAATATATAATATAATATATATATTATATATATAATTATATATAATATAGACAATTTTTTTAATTTTGAAAATTTCGGATTTATATATAGACAATTTTTTAATTATTGAAATTTCGATTGAGATTACACTATAATTTAATTTATTTGATGAATTATTTTGTTAAAAATGCATATTCTTTATATAAACCACATGATTATCTTTTATATTTATAAAATATTGTGAATACAAATTATTTCTCAATCCCTCTTTGTAATTTTGAGTGGAGTTACATTTTTGGGCAAAATTTTATAAAAAAAACATTTTTTTTTTTGTAAAATCAATAAAACTTACTAATTTAATAAATAAAGCAAATAATACTATACATGTATACATCAAATATTAATCCATTAAATATAATTGAAATGGTATATAGATATTGCAGGAGAGAAAAATAGAATAAGAAAACGACAAAGGCTATAGTTATATTTAAAAAAAAAAAAGGCCATATAGAATTGGAATCTAGATATTGCCTGGAATTCTTTTTTTCTTTTTTTGAGAATTTCTACCCTGGAATTCATATCCCCTAAATGCAATCCCATTTCAACACGTTATTTGCTGTTGACAAAGGAATATGTAATGACTAATGACCATTACATCCCCATATATCCCTTTCAGACTGAGACTAAATGATTCATAAATGAGGAAAATACTCATTCGTCCTTTGAACCAAGACTTAAACCTTATCAATAAGATAAAAATGACTAATAATGATCCTACAAATGTTTTCTAATGATTTGATCATTATACTCCTAAGAAGATTATGGTGCTGGGTATCAGACATTGTACACACAAACGCCAAAAAAATTGCGGCTGGTACAGCAATCTGATTCCCTCTCTTAGGCCTTATATGTATGCTGATATGGTTAACAGCTCGACACTTCGAAAGAAACCAAGAATGCACTGCTTTAAGGAACCGTAATGAATTAAAGTTCTTTAAAATAATTATCTAAAAGGAAATTAAACTGCTGTTTTCTTGATGATTAGACATATCCTAACAAGTAGATAAGCTATCACTTGCCTTCAAAGCTAAAAAGAAAATGGAAGTTTATTTGCTTGCCAGCTTGCTGAGATTGCAACAACAATAACATATACTTTTGAAATGGCAGAAAGAGTATATAGATTTCAAGATCAATCATCATCGGTAGCAGCAGAAGCCGTAATTCTCAAATATATTTATAATAGTTACACTTGTTGATTATGATAGGTTATAAAGAAAATCTGGACTCTTGCAAAGCCAAAAGTCTTGTATTTGATTTGATGCATATATGTTGATAGAAGGAATTAAGGAAATTAGGAAACGTCATCATTAATTTCTGTCGTTATCACTGCAGCTCATATATATATTTGCGTAAATCTTTATATATATATGGAGATATAGTTAAATGGAATCGACTTATTTAGACTTGGTTTATGGGTTGACTTATGAACGAAACAAATGAAAAATAAATATTTTTATTGAAATGAGTATGTTTTTAATCATTTACCGTAAAAAATAGGATAAAGTGAGAACAATTTTTAAAAAAATTCTATTTTATTTGAGCTCATAAACTGAGTCTAGACAAGTTTAATGCAAAATAAGTGTTGCAAACAGAGCCGGCGATATCTCAAAATGTATGGCTAGGGACCCCAGCATGGATATATATAATATATGTATGGTTATGCATGCGTTGTCTGTATCACTCCTTTCTCAATTGTTTGCGTTTGTGCTTGCTCTCTAAAAATTATATTCAAACAACAATTCTTAGAACTGACAAGTTTTTGTTTTCTTTTTTCAAGGAAAAGAATTCAACATGATCTTTGCCTTCCAAATTTTGAGAATGACAATATATATATATTGATCAGTTGCTGCGATAGATCATGACCTTTCAGTTGGATATAGCAATTCCAGGAAGAGCTAGCTAGGGTTTCTTTCAAGAAAATCACTTTCAAGCTTATGAAGGGAAAGAAACTAATTAAATCTTTCCTTTTTGTAACTGAAAAACAGAAATAGTGGAAAGAGAATGGTTGATTAACCATGTAAATTTCCTTAAAGCATGACTATTTGTCGCTCTACATAGAATTTTACTTGAATACTATGAATTCCATATAATGCAAAAAATAAATAAATAAATAAATAATAACAATAATATTTTTTTTTTATCTACTTAATGTATAGGACCACCCATGCACCGGACAAGACTTATATATATATTTTCACTCTTCAGCAATAAAATGGAGTCCATTGGCTTTTACAATTTATTGTATGGAAAACAATTGATAAACTGGAAAGCCCATAAACTATGGGCTCTTATAGCCCATCAGAATTGTACAAATACTGTCCATGGGCTTTTTATTGTTTTACTGGTTAGGACCAAAAAAGTTACCTCTAGTAGTAGTAAGCAAACCATAAGAAGAACGACAATAAAACATGTCGTTATAAGCAGTCGTCGAACACAGGAGACGAAATATTCTGTACTTTTTGTGAAAACCATAAAACGAGCTGTCGGCGTGTAAAACTCTGGACATTTTACTCATGCCACGTGGCATCCAGATTTGGTGATATGATATCGTGTGTTTTTTTTTTTTTCCTTAAAAAAAAAAAAAATAGTGCCATTCTAAAACCCTGAAAGCCCTAATTCATGGCAATTTATCAAAGGGTTTAAGCATATCTTCACATGTCCTGATTCATGGCGATTTCAGGTCTAAGCGGCTTCGCTGGCAGACCTCAATTCTGTCTTCGTCCTCGTCTCTTTGACTGCATTCTTAATGTAATTCCATATTCAATCTGTCGATGCTATTCAGTTAGGTCCTCAACTTGAAAGTCTTCATTTTTAACTAATTTATTTCTTTTATCAGGCTCGATACGCCGCCGTTGCAGCAATCGAGATGCTTGATGAACCAGAACATGTCATTGATGTTAGGAGACGCAGTTCAGGTACTAATACTGATCCTTGTAAGTTGTAACTAAGACCTTGTTTTATAACTACAATTATGATGCATATAACTAAATTTCGAAAATTGGTTATGTTTTAGGAAGAGAAGGAAAAGGTAAGGGACCAGATTGGAAGAAGTTGAACTCCAAGGACCTTGGAATTAGTACTTCCATGATAGCAAGGCCTACGAGAAACGTTCTTAATGTGCTCAAGCAAAGAGGTATTGGTTTTATTTGTAGCTGTTATTCTGTTTATTGTAATTAATGAAAAAGCTACTATCTCTTATGGTTTTAATCTGATATAAATTTGGTGCATTTAGTATGATGCAAAAATTAATTCTTTTTCGAACTTGAAATAATGAATGCAAAACTTATCTTCGTTTTTGGTTCTTATTTTCACCTTTTTTACTGTTATAAAAAACCAATCGCTCCTCTTTTGTGGTTTAATGTAGGACATGAGGTATACCTTGTGGGTGGTTGTGTCCGCGATCTCATTTTGAAGCGAATACCAAAGGATTTCGATATAATAACATCAGCTGAACTTAAAGAAGTGAGTTAAGATTATATTCTTTTCTATATTTCAACTCTACGATTGCATTGCATATGTTTGTAAGTACATGCTTCTGTCATGACTGACTGTGCAATGCAACAGACTATATAGACTTAGGTTGCTATATTCATAATTACTTCCACTTTTTTGGGTTTGAAAAATGTTGGTGTTCATCCAAACTTAGGGTTTGAAATTGAAAGACCACTTGAAACAATGACATACCGGAAAAGGAGAGAGAAAAAAAAAAAAAAATAAAAGAGAGCAATTGAAACTGAAATAATGATGGTTAAAGCTAGATTTTGTCTCAGTCTGGCTTATTTACATTAATGCTAAATCATTAAAATATCTAGGAATCACATTTAACTTGCAACTGAAAATAAAAGAATAATTGGGTGATAAGACACTATTTATGACCTTAAATTCGGGTGCTGGGATACTATGTTTACTTTTGGATGTTTTTATCCTTGTTAAGTGCAGATTAAAGTTGGAAGACCTGGTTTTCAGTTGAGAACTGTTGAAATGGTGTATTATGAATAAGGTAGAAAGCATATGGAATGTAAAAGGTTTAGTCTCTGATTCTTTTTTTCAGAAAAACCATTAAATTTAGTCGTCCAGGATGGTAATAGTGATCCATTCTATTATCCATGGAACAGTCTTACTTCACTTGTCAACTGTGTGTGTATTTTCAGCGTTGAAACCTGTATTTAGTGTTAAGAGTTATTAAAATCACCGTGTCTAGAAATAACCTGGCTTGATTTTTCTTCCATGACCAGATTCATATCTAGTTGCAATATCATAACATTAAGATGTTCATTGAGTTTTGCTTCCTTCTGTTCGTGTTTTTACAATAAACTGAAAAGGGGAATGTGGAAGTTAATTACAGGCTTTAAGGTAATACCATGGTAAAACTTCCCGTCTGGTCAATTTATATACCTGATAAAATTTTTGTCCAATTTGCAGGTATTGAGAGCATTTTCTCGGTGTGAAATAATTGGCAAACGGTTCCCTATATGTCATGTACATATTCAGGACACAGTTGTGGAGGTATGCCTGCAAACCCCAAACGCCCACCCCCCCTATTCAGGACACAGTTGTGGAGGGTATGCCCTGCAAACCCAAACGCCCACCCCCCCCCCCCCAAAAAAAAAAAATAAATAAATAAAACAAAGAGAGGGAGAGAGATACGAAAAGAAAATGTCTTACAAATTTTATGTGTTATTTTTAATCCCCCCCCCCCCCCCAAAAAAAAAAAAATAAATAAATAAAACAAAGAGAGGGAGAGAGATAGAAAAGAAAATGTTTACAAATTTTATGTGTTATTTTTTAATCCTTAAGATTGCTATATATGATAGCCTCAGTGAGAAATTTTATTAACAGTTACTCTGATGGTAGGTTTCAAGTTTTAGCACCACTGCACGAAAGTTTGGTGGGAACTTCAGCTATGATGTTCAAAGTCCCATTGGATGTGATGAAAAGGATTATGTACGTTGGAGAAATTGTTTGCAGAGGGATTTCACCATTAATGGGTAACTGAAAATTTAATGTTCCAACATTTGCTTCTTCTTTAATTCTTTTTTATGTTTTAGTGTATGTACAATTATAATATAGTTGTGTTTTCTGATCACGCTTTAAACTCATGCTATTCAATTACATGCAGGTTCATGTTTGATCCTTATGGGAAAATTGTGTATGATTACATGGGAGGTCTAGAAGATATTAGAAAGGCTAAAGTGTGCATGTATTTCTAGCTTTATTGGTTTTCAATTACTTTAGGCAAGTCCCAGAGTTCATTTCCTAATATCATATTTTTGCGGACGTAGGTACGAACTGTGATCCCAGCAAGTAATTCTTTTCAAGAGGACTGTGGTAACTTCTGTTTGCAATATGCCTTGGTTAATTTTTTTTCCATTTAACATGAACACAGCTAACTGGTCCATGTACTATATTAGTTTTCAGAATACATGCACACGGTTAATTGTTAATCTTATGGTATTCATCTTGCTGTATGTGACTCCATTCTCTTTGCAGCTCGCATTCTGCGAGCAGTAAGAATTGCTGCCCGTTTAGGATTTCGCTTTTCAAGAGAAACAGCTCATTTTGTTAAGATTTTTGCTAGCTCAATTTTGAGACTTGATAAGGTATTCAACCTGCTGTCCTTACTCTAGAGTTCTGCAAACATTAAATCTACATTTGACTATCCTGGCTGACTTAACTCTAGTGCTGAAATATCCCAGGGAAGGCTTCTGATGGAAATGAATTACATGCTAGCATATGGTGCTGCAGAAGCTTCTTTGAGGTTATTATGGAAATTTGGGCTTCTTGAAATACTTCTGCCCATTCAGGTCTGCATGTGATATTTTAAATTTTATATGCGAGTTCTTTTGCAGGTCTAATATTTCTTCAACATGCAGGCAGCATATTTTGTTCGCCATGGTTTTCGGAGACGTGACAAGAGAACCAATATGCTTTTGGTAATTTTAGTACATATTATATTTTTTATTACTTCTTTGTGATTGGTGAGAATGTGCAAGCTTAAGACAAACTCGTTTGAAGGGCTGACAGAACCAGAAGTGCCTGTAAGGTGTCAGCTAGACAGACTGTTATCAAGGTGTATGAGACAAATGTGCAAAAATCTGTGCATAATATTTGACTTATTCACTTGTTAAGCATTAGGGAAAACATTTGGGGGAGAAAGGGCCTTCTTGGAGCTGGACACTGTACTCCTTTTAAGAGTCCTAATGATATTCCAAATCCTAAACTAACCTAATGGGGGTAACTCCAAATACATTCAAGAAGATGACAATCTCCTTCACAACAATATTTCTTATCTGTCCATATAGATATAGACTTGCCTGTGTTAGACATAATGGCTGGGTTGTAGGTACATCACACTATTTTACTTTGGAAGTTACAAATTTTTTGATGTGATGTCCATTACAGGAAGGCATTTTGAATTTGTATTCTGTCTCTAGTCAAATATTCTGTTATATGTTACTTGATCATACATGGCAATTTAACGAGCAAGTCATTGAATTGTTTGTTATTCGATCTGCAGTCTCTGTTTTCCAACATGGATAAACTTCTTGCACCTGATAAGCCATGCAACAGCAGCTTATGGTAAACTTTCGCATTGGCATATTTCAATTTTATATTTCTATAAATTGCAGCAGATTTTTTGCAGGATGTTTCCAATATGGCTTGATCACTCCCGATATAATAGTTTTTATTCACGTTATTGTAGATCATGTATTTGTTGGTTGAGTGAAACCTTTTGATTGTTATGCATTTCACAAAGAAAAGGTTTTTATGTGTTGTTCCCTTTTATTGTAATTTTTTTAGCAAGTGTGATAAATATCATGTTGAAGCATTTTGCTTGTGGCACCTCAGATATATGGTGCCTTTCAAGGAATTTGTAGATAACTAGATAATTCTTCCTGAGACCATGGAATTATTTGTGGCTTCTTTCAAATTGGTGGAACCAACCAGCGCTAATCGCAAGTTTGCACTTTCAGGGTTGCGATCTTAGCATTCCATAAAGCATTATCTGACCAACCAAGGGATCCTTTGGTGGTTGCGGTATTTTGTCTTGCTGTCTATAATGGCGGAGATATATCAGAAGCGGTAAACATTGCAAGGAGCATCACCAAGCCACATGATGTCACCTTTTATGAATTATCAGAACCTGGAGTTTTGGATTCAAAAGCATTGATCAATGAGGTTATGGATCTTGCAGCATTTATTAAACGCGTGTTAAATATGATGACTGATGAATATTATGTCTCTCAAGCAATGGCAGAGTATCCTAAAGCCCCGCGTTCAGATCTAGTAAGCACTTTCCTTTCTTTTCCTCTGTTACCCTGTTTGAGGCAATGGTTTTAGGGACAAATCCAGTAATAATTTCCTGTGAAATGGTTTTCTTGTCACTAACAATGTGTAATTTGATTTAGAAGATAGTTTATATGATCTGTTTAAACAACTTCACAAAAAGTTGCAGTCTTTTTAATTTTTAACGGAAGCGTGTTAAAAAACAAAATTATAGCTGCCTCTGGCGTCAACTAATTATCAGTATCATCAGCTTCTCTTCATAAAGTGTAGGATAGATGCCGACTGATCCCTTGCATCTTTTTAGTAGTGGATGCAACTCTATTTAATGTCTTCTGCTTTATTATGACTGCTTCAATGTGTTGTGTTTGTTTTCTGTGATTAGGAACATGCCTGATTCTGTCTCTAATGTGTGCAGGTATTCATTTCATTACCCTTGTATTTAAAAGCGTGCAGGATTTTCGACTGTGTAATACAGGGTAGAGAGAAGGGATTCGTCCCTAAACAAGGTAGGAAGATAAATTATGAATTATTAGCCTTAGGAAGCTTGCGTGAGATTAGGCATACTTTTGCAAGGATCGTCTTTGATACTGTGTACCCTCCCACTTTAACATAAACCAATTCTTTGTACTCTGGCTCGACAATATTCGTGTTAAGAGAATTATTTAAAAAAGATTAAGAATAATTGGAAAAACATCACTTTTTGTTTTTCCAATCCCTAGTTTTGTCTGCGACTCTTTGTTTCTTTTTCCTTCTTAGTGGGTAGTGTGAATTAAAAAAAGGGCTTTATTCCCTTATACTGTATGAATTCAAAATTTTTGTAGCGATAATAGAAGGACAAAGCTTTCGAACTATATTCTGTCGTTTAAATTATGCTCTCTTTGAATTTTAATGACTACCATCCTCAAAGAAAGAACCATGTGGGCCAATGGTCACAGGTGAACTATTAGAATTTTATATCAACTAGGTTTTACAATAAACTTTCTGATTCAGGACTATCAAGACAGCCATAATAACAAAAAAATTTCATGCTATTTATTTTCTGTATAGAAATCGAGATCCCAAGTAACACGAACTCACAACCTAGAGACGAAGCAGGATGGTATTAAAACACTCCTTTCAGGAAGGCGTTTTCAAAGAATACAGGGCCCACCATAAACTGATCCTACTATGGAAGGCATCAACTCAATCAACTATTATACATCCATTAATGAGAAATCACCTCACAAATACCGAATAAAAAAATATCATTAATGAGAAATCACCTGCCTGATAAACAATTTATCTTCTTAGCCTATCAGCTCTACATTCAAGCCTTAGCAGCAGCAGGTGGAGTAGCACCACCAGTAGTTGGTCTATAAAAGAAAAATGTCTTATAAGTCATTTGATTGAAGTAAAGCAGTAGCTTAGTCTTTCAAATTCTAACTTGTATAATCATTATAAAGAATACAGCAAAGTGTAAGACAGTATCGGCAAAGAAAGATAACAAGAGGGTACTTACAGCCCAAAAAACACTTTGAAAGAATCGTAGATACCCCATTGGACTCCAGTAAGGGTTCCAATCATGACAATCCGGAGAGGAAGACCGCGGGTGAAGAGACCCCACCATCCTAGCTTCTTGATCGCCTGTAGCAGACCAAAGCGTTAAGGAAAGAAATGCTGGTGAAAACAGAACAAATGGAGTAGAAACTCAAGTAAAAGAAAAATATTCATAAATAGAGAAATTCACTCACATCACCAGCAGTTGCCCCCTTGGCATTGTTCAGGAAAGACACCAAATTGTCAGCAGGATGCGAGACAACAGCACAGAGAACACCAGCAAAATATCCACCAGCAAAGCTGACTCCAAGCTGCAAACTTCTACTGCATTTGTCTTTTGGAGTTGGGATTGCATATTTGTACATCAGCTCCACTATATTCTCAAAGGATGCAAATTTCATCATTGTATCTGCGAATTACCAATTTTGACTTTTAGCTTCTAATGCAAGGGGATGATTGAAATTCATGTAATGAACACATTCATTTAAGTTCATGTAGGTGTAAACGGACTAGTACGCCACTGGTGACCAGCCTATACGTAGTTCTGAACTTCCAAAGGTTTCTAAACAAATTAGACAGTAAAAGGTGGTAACAAATGAATTTTACTTTATGCACAAAAAACTATATATATGCAACATGAAATAATTGAAAATGTTTCAGCTTACATGGAATCTGACGTCCCCAGAGTGGAACCAGCCCTTTGTATAACCTGTGAGCATTAAGAATTGATCATATAAATTCCTTTACAAGAAATCCTGAAAAATTAGTTAACAATGAGAAAACAAAGGATTTCAGATACGGATGCCATACCCAGCATAGCCTTCTGCTCTGATAAACTTGGGCATCCCATCGGCCAAGCCACGTGCAAAACCAGGCTGAGTTTGCACACGAACCTTCACTGCCTCCATAGGGCAGAGAGCAACATCAGCAATCACTTCAGCAGATGCAGAACCAGCAAGATAAATCAAAGTTTTATACTTGGTTGCATATTCAGGCCCAGCAATGTCAGAATAGTACTTCTTGAAAAATTCGTAGAGTCCATATTTGAAAGCACCCTGAGCACTGTAACCAAGCAGTGTAGGAGCCCATCCCCTAAATAAACCTCTAACTCCTTGCTCCTTGAGCAAGACCCCAAATCCAGATGAGATGCTTTTGTATTTTGATGGGTCAATCTGAAATATAGATAAAATCAAATGTTCAATAAACCTCTAACTCCTTGCTCCTTGAGCAAGACCCCAAATCCAGATGAGATGCTTTTGTATTTTGATGGGTCAATCTGAAATATAGATAAAATCAAATGTTACTGCAGACTGCAGTTGTCCTAGTTATGGATTTGAGCCATTTGGCCTTGTCCTCTTCATATCCGTCACTAAATATTTCTTCTTTTTTTTTTTTTTTTCCTTTTGCTACTGGTGTTCAACACCCAATCTCATAAATTTCTGACCACTCCTAGCTAAATCTCATTGCAACTGTAACTAAATAGTGCTAAAGCACACAGAGGCATTGATGTTAATGTAATAATGTTGATCATTGTCATAATTTTTTCTTTTCTTGTTTTGTTTTTCGTTAAATTTTTTTCCTTGGAGCTTTTAATATTAATTCGACGTTAATATTGACCATCCACAGAAGCCATACACACGCTTCGAAAGAACAGCTTTCAAAATAACCCCGCGATATTGGAAGGCAAAAAATCAAATAAGAAGACCTACCGTCAAAGTCCACGGCTTTGAAAGCCTTGTTACGTAACTCCCGAATGACCGAGGAACCAACCAATACAAATATCCAATTCAATTTCGCTTTAAAAAAAAAAATAATAGTGTACCAAAATAAAAAATCATAAAGGCCTTCTACAGAACTTCAAACGGTCAAACCTAAAAATCAGAACATTCAAATTTCGCATACGAACAAAGCTAACTATGTTTGCTTTGCAAATTGAAATCAACACCTTAGTTAGAAAAGAAATTAATAGAAAGCATCAAATTAAAAATGAACATTTGAAATGCCAAATTAAGAGGGAAATAATTAAGAGAACTGAAAGGAACAAATTAATTAAATTAACAACCTGCATATTGCACTTGACGAGATCGAGAGGAGTAACCGCCGTGTGAGTAAGTCCACAGCTAAACATACCACCGGCCGCAGACGCTGCGTAGAAAGCCGGTGAGTACATCTCAATCTTCTCGTTTGGTGCCGGAATCACGAAGGTCTTCGACAATCCACTGGACTGCGATGATTTAGAAATGAATGGTGATTGATACAGTCCATGGCTGGAGTTCACTGAAGAGTCCAAGTCAACGAGTCTCTTTGATGAAACTGAAGGAGAGTAGAGAAAGTTGGGGATGAGAGATTGACGTGAGTAATCGGAGATGGCCATCGAATTGAATTTTGTTTGATGTTTGAGAAACTGGTAGTGTTTCTGCTATTGTGTTTCTCCAAAGAAGAAGGCAGAAAGTGGGAGGGTGTGGCTGGTGAGGAAAGGAAGTGTATATGGCGGGAGAAAGTTTAGCGGCAACGTCTGCTTTTCAAAGGACTGCCCTCCGTTTGCGTGCCACTTATAAGCTTCTACTGAAAATGTTGCCCTTCAAGTTTTGGTTGATTTACGTAATATTACTTTTATACCTAGTTTCTAATTAGGAGGCCTTACCTAATTTGACCAACATAATTCTTGGGTTTGTCTTAGGACACGTCTGTATATTTACTCGGTTTGTTCCGTTGAATTAGAAAGTTGAGTCGCAATGTCTACTTTTCAAAGGACTACTCTGTAAATTGTGCCCTCCATCTTTTGGTTGATTTACGTAGTATTACTGTTGTTATTATACCCTAGTTTCTAATTAGTAGGCCTTGCCTAATTAGACCGAGATAATTCCTGCGTTTCTGTTAGAACGCACCTGTAAATTTAATGAACTACCATCTTGCTATTAAAAGAATAAAAGCCTCAGCCAAAGCTATCTTTTGATATTACAAAAATATTTTTTTGAAAGCTTTATTGAATCTTTTTTTTTTATTATTATTATTAACAAGTCCAATGGAGCCAAAATAATTATTGTAAAAACTATTGTGTTCGATGACTCAAATTCGAGAACTTTCACTCTTCACGTAAGTGAAAAAATCAGTCAAATTATCACTGATTGAGTTAATTGAATCTTTTTAAAATTTCATTCGGTTAATCACAAGATCCAAATAAAAGCAACACAAAAGATTTAAAAATTTTGTTTGTGGAAATATAGATAATTTCAATTTATTTTGATTATGTACTTTGACTTTTTTTAAAAAATAAATTGTAAAGTTATGTCGTAAGAGGTCATTGGTTTATGTAATTTTTCATTGTTTTTTTGACTTTTTCTTCCTCAACGAAGCAATTGTAAAATTGTTCAAGTAAATATTCCAAACGTCGTAACTTTATTGGTGGCGTATTTGCAATAATTTTCAAATATTGTAGCATTTTTAGAAGAAAGCCCATTTGAAAATTCCCAAAAGCAGCGACGCGTATGAGAATATGTTCCACTAGACAATCCAAGTCTACAAGTAACCTTGCGGGCTACGGACTTGAGGGCGTCAGCTCTTTCGCAAACAAAAGAGTCACGCCCCCTTTGACGAGTAAAGGTTGAATTGAAGCTTCTCCTGCCATTGGCCTTAATTTTTTTTAAATGTATATAAATTCATTAGATGTTTAGTAGGGTATAATAACACTGTGTGGTATAGGATCAAATTATATTTCTTAATAGCCTTTAACATATGATAGACTACTACAAGAGAAGTTGTATTTATATTATATCATATTTGATTAGCTTGGAGAATTAACACAAGGAATCTATTGATTCTCTCCCAAGTAATTAGATCATATGTCCGATGATTTGGCCTTAATTCACCAGATTAGCGCTAAGCCCCATAAGGCCACATGTAATTGCAATTAATTCCGAACATTCAACATATTGGTCCCCTTAGTAGCACCATCTTGATGAAATTAATTATATTTCCGGATCAATGATCACTAGCCCCAGCAAAATTATTCAGCCATCTAATTAAATAAGAGATTGACTGCAAGTCTAATCCATTTTATAAATACCATGAAAAAAATAAAGCAAGAAAGAGCACTACTGCTATGCTGGCTACAGGCAATTTATAAGAAAAGGCGCTTAACTTGCAGTAGCAGATGGCCCACAAATCAAAACGCAATCCAAGTACACGGTAGCACTAGATAGGCCTTGATGCTGAGGCTGAATATTCTCCACTCATTTATCACTGCTCTCTTCCTTGCATTACCCTTTTCACTTTCAAATTGCATACTTGATAAACTTCTCCCTCTAATATTCAATCCAAATTGCAAACTCCTTTAACTTTAATAATTGCTTCTGCGCCTTTGTCTTATATCCTTCACTGTTGATTTGGGTCTGTGCTTCAATGGCTTCATTTTCAGCTTCTCTTCTTAGGTTCCAACCATCGCTTCATCATTCCAAGACTAGCCTGGTAAAAAGCACTACTCCCTTGTTCCTTTCAATCACATTACACTGCTCCATTTTTACGTTTACAGTTCAGAAATTAGTTAATTTTGATTGAAGAATCAAACAATTGAGTCCCATTTGTTAAATTTATGTTATTTGTGAGCAGATAGCAAGCAGACATAGTTTAAAGTTGGTTTCAGTCAGTTGGGCAAAGATTGGGTTCCCTAGCTTAAAGACCAATGGTTTTCGCGTCTCCTGTGCGGTAATTCTACCACATTTGCCTTTTCTCGGTAATGTGACATTAATTATTCATTTTATGTATACAATTCTTGTTATTAGCAGGCAAAGCCAGCGACGGTAGAGAAAGTGTGTGACATTGTAAGGAAACAACTTGCTTTGACTCCAGAGAAAGAGCTCACCCCTGCAACTAAATTCTCAGAACTTGGTGCTGATTCCCTCGATACTGTAAGCCCTTTTATTGTTGCTAGTCAGGTTCTATTCTGTCAGTGTTATTGTTAATTTGAATTGAAAATGGCGTCATCCAAATCTACCCAGGTGGAGATAGTGATGGGATTGGAGGAAGAATTTGGCATTAGCGTGGAAGAGGAGAATTCTCAAAACATAACAACAGTCCAGGAAGCAGCAGACTTGATAGAGAATCTACTTGAAAAGAAAGCTGGAGCTGGAGCTGGAGCTGGAAGTTAAGTTTTTGGAATGCAAGGGTAGATTTGCCTTATTTTATTAATTTCACCGTCTCTCTAGAAAGCTAGCTAGCTAGATTGATTGAACTTCAAGTTTTGTAATTTATTGGTTGCGGAAGTAATGGAGAATTTTCCTTTATCGGATGCATAATGTTTAAGCATAGATTTGCCTAAACTTAAGCCATAACTATCCATTTTGGCTTTTGCTTTATAAGCTTGTCTTGCATATTCTCGGTAACAAAAACACCTACACAAGTCTGAGTACTCAAAGTTCATACTTTTCACTTCTTATATATGGGATAAAACCAAATAGATCACACAATATTAAATTTGCTTTATATGATGTATACAAAAAATATTCGTATATTAAAAAAATATTGATAAAAATAAATGAATGTTTAACATACACTTTAAAAATAAATTTTATATATATTTTTTTTGAAGGAAAAAATCTGATTAGTTAAAGTTATAAAATAATAATTGAGGGTTATTAAAAGAAAAGATTTTACACTTACAAAATTCTTTTATAAGAATACCATTGTGGGCCCAAGTGTGGATATCACAGTGCTACAAGCAAACTCAACAAAGGATTCAAAATATATTTCATCACATTTATACTCCATTTGGGAAATAAAATCAAAATGTAAAATTCATTTTAAATTTTATACATGAATTTTTTCATTTTTGAGTAATTTAAAATAAAAAATTTATTTATTTTTATTTTTAAAATATCGTTAGCATAATAATTTTAAAAGGTTGGAAAAATAAAGAATTTACATAAAATTTTAGATTATTTAAATTTATGAAATTCATTTACGTCAAATAAAGCTGATTTTATTTCTAATGAATAAAAGATAAAAAATGATAAATTTACAAAACTCACAAACTTATAAGTAAACTTTTTAATTAATTTTCTTTATTTTATTACTGATTTTTTTCAAATATTAGTTCTTAATGGCTTTGTTTTTATGTTAGCACTTATTATATCATAGAAAAAAAAAAGCAGCTTTAATTTGTTACCAACGAGATTAGAGCGGTCCCACTTGTCAGGTAAATCAGGGGATGTGTGTCGTGGTATATCCAAACGGTTGACCAAATAATACAAATTTACCGCGCCGCCAAAGCATTTCTCTGTCCGAAACGCAATCCACTGGTCACCGAGATACCGGGTGAAATTGAAATAAATCGGCCACGTCACCACATTTTCGCTTTTGGATCTATCAACCATTGGGTCCCCCCATATTCTATCGGCACAATCCCTCTCCCGCGAAACTCGCATCGGCGTCAACGCAGAATCAAACGACTTGCCGTTTTAGGCCAAATCTTCACATTGCAATTTCATTTCAACATGAGCTTCCCTTCCTCTTGACCGCGACCCAGAACAAAACCAACTTCCATCTATCTCTATCTCTCTCACCTCTTTCATTTCTCCGATTTTATCGAAATAAAAAATCTAGCTTCCTCGAGATCCTCGCTTCAGTGTAACGTACTCGCATACCTATACGTACATATCTATAAATACTTTTTCAAATGGATCGGAGGAGGACCGCAAGCCCTGTGTACTCACGGCAGTGGAGTGGTAGCTCTAGCACAGGATCGTCTTCTCCGGCCATGTCGCCGGCGCACCCTAGCTCACGGCTAGGAACAGGTATGTCTACAATCAAGCGCACTCAAAACGTTGCCGCGAAGGCTGCAGCGCAGCGTCTTGCTCAAGTGATGGCGTCGCAGACCGCTGATGATGACGAGGAGGATGACGATCTAGGGTTCCGATTTCCTCCGGCACCGCCAGCTCCATCGAGTTTCAGTAGCAGTCTTAATCATAATGGAAGCAATAATATTACACCTGCTATTTCGCTTGCCAGACCTAATAGATCTCCTTCACCTGCGGTAATTGGGAGACCTTAATACCTTATACTCTGTGCATTTGAGTTTTTATTGAACAATTTGAAATGGAGTCAATGTTATTCAATTTTAGGGGGCCTCTATTGTTTGGCGATAATGATTGAAATATCTTGGACACATATTACATTTACAGTGTTTATGCATACCAGCAGAAATTGCAGTAGTGAAACTATGGATCTCCGTTTTTTTTCTGTGATTCCAAATATTGCCGGATATATTTTGAACGCATATACAACTCAAAAAAAAGTAATGTTTCTGTCTAATTTTAGTTGAGTTGAACTTCACTTGTGAGCTAATACTTGAGTTTAGATTTCGAATTTTGATATGTTTGCCTTACTTCTTATTTAACTTTGAAAAGTTTGATTGAGGTAATTTACATATTTAGATAAATGTTATGGTTGACGTGATTAAGACTAATTGGAATTTTGATATTTTTAATTAGTTAGGTCGGAACTTTGCAGAGCATGTTCCTTCTGTACGCTCCACTTCAGCAGGAAGGCCATCGATGTCTGTGCGGACAGGGACATTGGTAACACCTAGCAAATCGTCAATAAGAACTCCAATTTCTATACCTCCCATTGAGCCTCCTAATAGGACTAGAGAAAAAAGGTTATCAAACTCTTTATCTCTTGTATTTTTGTTTGATGTGGATGAATAGCATATGTGTGTCAATGAAAACTTCTATTGAGAAAGTCTTGAGAAGTGCCAAAGTTTACTTTTAAATGTGTAATTCTATGACATATGACACTGCACATTTACCTTGATGCAATTTTGTTGAATAGCCTTAAGCTGTAAGTCTCTCATTCCAATTCAATCATAGAAAATGATTATTGTCTTATCTTAAAATGCATTTGAATTCTGTTCTGTTAATTTATTTTTTGAGAATGCTGGGTGAGTCCATGAATAGTGGACATTAGTTAAACCATTTGAAAGGAGGAGCAGCAGCATTCTGGTACCCAAATTCGTAAACCATAAGCATAAGCTGATTTTCTAAATTTGGAATAAATTTGAATTTATGCTCACGGATTTTGACTATCCATTAGTTTATTGAAAATTATTGTTGCCTATTATTGCAGGTTTACTTCAGATGTGGGACACCTCAAGACAAAAGATGCAGTAGATCAGCGCGAAGCTTCAGCTCTTCGTGATGAGGTATGCCATTCCCACCAATCATTCATAACAAACATATACAATCTTCATGATTTAATGGTGATAACTATGGATGGGATAGCTAAGAAGTATGCTTGAAGCTAACATGAAATTTTGTGCAGCTTGATATGTTACAGGAAGAGAATGAAGTTATAGTTGACAAGGTAAACAACCCCCTGCTCAAATCTAATTCTGGCCATATTCTGTGATGTTTACCATTTATGCTCGAGTTTGCTGTACAGCTTCGTCGTGCAGAAGAAAGGCGTGAAGAGGCTGAGGCTAGAGCTAGGGAGCTTGAGAAACAGGTCATTTATATCAATCAATAAGAACATTTTTCTCATTTTTAATATTGTTCTTATATGGTTATGTTGATACCAGGATGAATTGCTACAATTTTTTTACTGTTTATTACCAAGTAACCATTTTTGCTCTTAATTGTGCTTGTGAAAAGACCAATAAGGATAAGAAAAAAGGTTTCATACTGTATGAATATGTTTTTCTTATGAATACACTTAAACACTCGTTTCTATTTCCAATTCTATGTTCATAGGTTGCTACGCTTGGAGAAGGTGTATCTTTAGAAGCCAAACTGTTGAGCAGGTAAAGCCTAGTTGATTGTCTGATGTCATTTCCACTGTTTGTTGGATGTCTGATTCTATTTTTATTATGCATTTGCAGGAAGGAAGCAGCGCTGCGTCAAAGGGAGGTGAGCTGGGTTTATCGTATGGCTTTGGAATGCATATGAATTTAATTTTATTATAGTTTCTTTTTTTTTTTTTTTTTTTTTTTAACTGTTTGAGCAGGTAAGCCTAGTTGATTGTCTGATGTCATTTCCAACTGTTTTGTTTGGATGATCTGAATGTCTATTGTTATTAATGCAGTTTGGCCAGGAAGGAAGCAGCGCTGCGTCAAAGGGAGGTGAGCTGGGTTTTGCGCTATGGCTTTGGAATGCATATGAATTTAATATTATCAGTTTCTTTTTTTTTTTTTTTTTTTTTCAATTTTATCGGTTATGGCTTTTTTTTTTTTTTTTAATTTTAGTATAATTTCATATGGAATTTAATTTTAGTATAGTTTTTTTTTTTTTTTTTTTTTTTCAATTTTATCGTATGGCTTTTTTTTTTTTTTAATTTTAGTATAATTTTTCATATGAATTTAATTTTAGTATAGTTTCTTTCATATTTTTTTTTTTGTTTTTTTTTTTAACCTTCTAGGACATTAAAGGCCATTATGAGAGCTGTTTTCCCTGATTCACATATTCTTCTTGCTTTATGCTATTTCTAATAGTATCAATAAAGACCTGCTACTGATAAAATGCCTATTGTCATCTTCCTTTTTCTGTTTTGGTGCTAAATTTTGATTTTGCATTTGCTGTTTTCTTCAATCATATAAAATTTCTTGTTGCAGGCTGCTCTTAAGGCTGCAAAACAAACTAAAGATGGGAGAGATGAAGAAATTGCAGCCCTTCGTTCAGAACTTGAGGTATAGTATGGTAGCATCGCTGGTTCTAGCTCATTGTTATCAAGTTATGTTGCAGTACATAAGGTGCTCCACTTGTTTTAATCAGAGCCTAAAAGAGGGTGCTACAGCAGCTGTGGAACAGTTTCGAGAAGCAGAATCGGAAGCAAAAGCTCTTCGAACAATGACACAAAGAATGATATTGACTCAGGAAGAGATGGTCTGTACATTGAAACTGAAGAAAGCTTCATAATTTGTTGTACAGATTGATAATTGTGTACTATATTTGCACTTTAGGAGGAAGTGGTCTTGAAGAGATGTTGGCTTGCTCGTTACTGGGGTTTAGCTGTACAGCATGGTAATGAACAGCATGGAATGTAATGATTATATTTTTATACTCTCTTTTGGTTAATAACTTATGAATCATTATCTTTTTGCTGCCTCTTCCTTGTTATGTGTAATGTTGTCATTAAATGGGTATTTTGTTCATTGATTTTGTGACCTATTATTAAAATCCCTTTTTGTGACTTGACAGTTAACTTTATCATCCTCGGTGGCTGATTAATTTTATTTTTATTATTTTAGCTTGGTGAACTAAAGGAGCCTATTGTTAATTCGTTCGCGTTGAGTGAATCTTTAGATATTTTATTGATAACATATGCTTTCTTCTGTGGCTGCTTTATAGGCATTTGTGCTGATGTAGCATCTTCAAAACACGAGCATTGGTCCGCTTTAGCTCCTCTTCCATTTGAAGTAGTCATTTCTGCTGGGCAGAAGGCTAAGGAGGAATCTTTAGATACAGGCTAGTATATTAAATGGTTATTAACTCTTTTTCCTGTTACTGTCTGCATATGTTGTTCATTTATTGCATTTGCTGGCTTTAGCTGAAATATCCATATTTAATCAGGTGGTGATGATCCAGATAGGGGTAAACTTTCTCGTGATTTGAGTGATCTAACAGGAGAAGGAAATATTGAGAGTATGCTTTCAGTTGAAATGGGATTAAGGGAACTGGCTTCTTTGAAGGTTTGTTTTATCATTTAAATAAAAATTCCATTTTTCTTAAGTTGGTTTAGAATTCCATCGAAGCCATTACTTGTGGGTTGCATTTTTCTGAATTAGGTGAGTGCTACTTCATTTTTTCTAAGAAGTCGTTTAGTGAGTATATGTTGTTAGTGATTTTGAGAGGTAGTACGCTTCCAATTTGCCCATCTACTTGATGCGGATTCAAAGGATTTTGGGATTGTAATGGTTTATATCATTTTTTGTTACACTTGACATATGCCATTTAATTTCTTGATTTCTTTTTGAAATTTATTTTGGAAAGTGTTCCTCAACATATTCTAATTATTTTCTTCTCACCCCATTTTTAAGGTTGAAGATGCAGTTGTGCTTGCATTGGCCCAGCACAGACGACCAAGTATGGTTTAAAATCCATCTCAGATATATCTATCATTCATATGTTGTGGTTCTTTTTTATGTCCTGATCATTAATCTGGTTTATTGAAATTTTTTCTTTAATCCTATCTGTTAACTATCTGAATTTGTTAAAGTCGTGTGCATTCCCTCTTAGTGGAATGCCTTTTGTCCTTTGCTCTTTTGGATTCTCCTAGCTATTAATTCTGAGATCTTCCATCTCAGGAGAATGTTTTGAACTACTTAATAATATGTATCTATATGGGATTTAATCAGTGTAAGGGGAATTTATTTGGAGATCTATGATTTTCATTTTGAGGAAGTCCATAGCTGGTAATAAAATTTACCTTTCCTTCCTGTTGTTTGGTTTTTCAGATTTGAGATCAGTCGATCCCAAGTTTACGGAGGCCTTTGGTAAGAGCATAATCTTTTATTGTCGTCGTAATATTATGCGTCGTGACTCAGTGGCATTCCTTTTAATATTTCACCCCCTCCCTAACTGCAGGATTAAGCGAAGGGGAGGCTGAAGATGTTATTTTCAAAGAGGTTAGTTATCTTGTTTATGAATTTATTTCATTTTCTTTTTCTTCATCTCTTGTTGGCAATGCTATGAGCATTTGAAGTGGTATGAGGTTATGATGTCTCTCTTCTTTGATCACAGACAAGATAAGGGGAATTAAGGATGAAAAGATTATTTTTCTTAATATGGTTATGGTGCTTTCTCTTTTTAAAAAATGTTATGCTCTTTTGTGATCTCTGTCTCTAGGCCTAGGATGTCAAGGTTATACTGTCAACAAAGATCCAAAAAGTTATTTTTAGGCAAGAGACAAAGGAATGCTAGGCATCAGTTCTCCTATGTTTTCTCTTTTTATAACTCTGGCTTGAAAGCTTAACCTAATCCTGCCGAAGTATCCTTGATTTGATTGGTTGATGCTGCCAACAGAAATGGGTCTTGCACACGGTATGATTTTAGTGGACAATAAAAGAAGAGCATGCCTTGTACCATATTAGCATATGCAAAACAACTGTCTGTTTAAGCAATCTGATATTGCTTAAAGTTGATATTGTTAAGAGGCCCTTTCAGATCTGTCTGTTATGGTGGTTTTTCTTGTCCTTTATCCACATACGTTTAATTAAAATTTTCAGTATCTTTTAGAACTAAGACCATCATAAACATTCCTTTGGTATCTTTCTTATTCCTTTGTTTTTTTCTGGATTTCATGGAAGCCTGCACTGTTTCTCATCAGAAACCTTTCAGTTTTTGTGTTGGCTTATGACATCTTGAGATTATTAAGTTGTAAAAGAAAGTTCCATATGCTTCATCTGGAATCATGATAGTTTGGGCAGTTAATTAGTACTTTATTTAAGTTGACTAATAAATTCCTAAATTATTTGATGTGCAGGCATGGCTAACATACTTCTGGAGAAGAGCCAAAGTGCATGGTGTGGAAGAGGATATTGCAGAAGAGCGGCTTCAGTTTTGGATCAGTCACAGTGGACAGTCCCCAACATCACATGATGCTGTGGATGGTAAACTATTAAACTTTTCTATTTTATGCTTCTTTCTAGTTATTTATAATGAATTAAATATTTTGAGTAAGCAGGCACTCGTTTGGGATTTCCTCTGCTTTCCTTTATGCTTTGGCTGGAAATATATATATATATGCAGATTATGCATGACAGATATACTTGTCTCACATATCTGTCCAGTGAGGTCAAGTGTAGGATGATAGAGCCTATTTAATACAGCTTATCTACTGTAAAACTTGGACATAACTCTGTAAAGTATCTGAACCATGCATAATCAGTTTCATCAATCTTTCAATTTCTACTGGTCCATCCTGGATGATATACTGAATCAAAAATTAAACACAATCAAGCATTTAATACCTTACAAGAAAGCATAAAGCAAATCCAGAATTCACATTTCTAAATACAAATAAAATATAAAATCTAGACCCAATCTTTTGGAATTACAGTATGTCCTCATAAAAGTGTCTCTTAGGTAAAAGAGGAAAAGATGTTTTATTAAGTGGTGAGATCGATTAAAGAATGTTTTGGGTTGAAAAGTAAGGGATCTAGGTTGATTTGTATCTAAGAACTAAGATTGTGATGATATGAAGTTTAGATTAGCTTGCACCTCACTTTAGTTATAAAATTATAAACCCATTGCAGTATTGCTGCCATATTAACTTCTTGAAAAATTCTCATCCATGGTAATGGCAGTTATACAGTTATAGAACTATCATGGTGAGGAAAGGATGAGTTATAGAACTATCATTTCTAAATAATATTTCATTTTGGTGTCATTACTGTAGTTGAACGAGGGTTATTGGAGCTGAGGAAGTTGAGCATAGAGCAACAGCTTTGGGAAGCATCTCGGAAGGAAATTGACCAGCCTTCTTATGGTTCAGTTGCCAATCACAAGTCTACGGCAAATTCGGAGACCTCTTCACATTGATTGTCACGCTTGGATTAATTCAATTTTCTCGCTTAATCTGTTTAGCCAGCTTGCGTCAATTTTATGTTTTTAATTTTTGTTTTTCTGTTTTGTTTCTCATATTCCTTCTACATTCAATTTGTTTTCTAGGAATTTTCCGTGTCACGTGGCAATGTCATAATTTGATGATATATAGTTGATATTTGGTGCTAAGATCAATGCTATAATTATTGTAGCACTTGACTCAGCTGTGGAGCCTGTAATTAAGCTGTTAATATGACAAATTGGTTGGAGTGAAATGCTTCGAAGTATATTATATGATCTATTCCAAATTTACCGGGTTAATGATGGGACCAGGCAGGTATACATGATTATGATATTGGGTCGATCCTATCAATTTTCAATCCTGACCCTTTTTCTTTTTCAATTTATAATTTGTGAACATGAACTAATTCTTATTTCTCCTTAATGTTTTCGTTTTTTTTTTTATCAAAGACATCTTTAGCGTGTACGCTTTTAAATAACGTTAAAGAGAAATCCCCACTTTGGGATGCAAGGTTCATATGTATATTTCGTACATATTCATGTCCTGCCTATTAATAAATGTATTCTTTTTGTTCTTTTCACCCGAGTTACCTTTTTCTCTTTAGGAAAATTAGTTAGAATACATAAGCTGAAATATTTTAAGAGAAACGGTATAGACTGTGGAGTGCGGAAGGCATGAAAATGAAATATTGGAACCAATCTGATATGGCTGGCAAGTGTCGCATGTGACATATCAGCCACGCCTAGCCAGTAAAGGGAATGGTCTCAATAAAATATAAAAAGTGGATTAGCTTTTCCCCACTGCGAATATAAATTGATATAAAAAGGAGCCAAGTGAAAAGAAAACAATAGAAAGGGCCAAAAAAGAAAAAAATAAAGATCTTTTGCTTTCAGTTTAAGGACACCAAAAGCCAGCATGAACACCCACTCTCATCCACTATAACACATTTTTCAATCCTGATGCCCTCAACTACTTATTATATGTTAAAAACTTTCAACTCAATTTCTCTTTCTATTATTTAAAAAAGCCCAGATTAGTCAAAATACTCTATTTTTTTTCTTTTCGGAATAATTATCACTTTCTAAGAGAATTTGCATTTCTTAGCACTGAAATTGGGATATCTTCTTCCCATACAATAAAAGTTCAAAAAGACATCGTCAATTTGTATAGCAATATTAGTGTGAAACGATGGAACATAATTCCCATAAACAAATGACGCTACTATGATAAGTAATTATGCAAATAACAAGACAACAAGCCTCGTACTAATAACAATTAATCCATTTCTTGCAAGTTGGATAGCCACATAACCTGCCAAACAAAGGGATAAATTTTGTCCTCTTGCTGTTTGTTTGTTGGCTTCTTTAGCTTTTCCTTCCCTTCTTATTGTGAACAGACAAGCATAAACCCCATCTCCCTTCATCCTTTCTGTTAGGGTGGTCCAAGAAATGAGTAACATCACATATATAATATAATATAAATCCTCAATTTTTTCTTTTCGCACATTATAATATCCATGTTAGGTTAAACCCTAAATTTTCATGCTTATTAAACTAGGGTAGGGAAACCGAACCACCACAACCTTATCTCGTCTCTTTGCCATATTTTATAAAAACTCATTATTTCTACACCAATAAAGAAATTCTCTAATCTGATTTTGTCAAGCTATGAGAGGAAGAGGACCCATTAGAAGCTATTATGGGTGTTTGTGCAACTATGATGGGGAACATGTGGCGTGTTTGTGAATCTTTCTTTCTGTGAGAGAAAATTTTGGAGTAGATGAAGGATGGAGAAAGAAACCTTCATTATATTATGTTCAGAATACCCATTTTACTAAAAAGTGTTTGAGGGAACAAATTCAATGTCGTATAAGTACAAAAAGAAAACTTAAGCAAAAAGAGAGTAAGTAGAGACTGAGGACTAGAACTTTTGAAAGAAGCATCATTTACTGTGACTTGTGTACATCACAAGAAATCTCATTACTGATCATTCTTTTCTTTTTTTTTTTTAATTGTAGATAATCTTAGCATAAATAAATCAAAATAAATAAAATAGAAAGAATAGTTAATTTCAGATTTGGTGATTGCTATAATTAAAGATGCCTAAGCAATGTGAAAAAGATTTGTTCTGTCAATGAATCTTTAAGATTTTATTTTTCCCCCTCAAAATTATAAAACAAGATTTGGGATTGTACTTGGAGATAAAAAGGAAAGGTCAAAAACCAATCAACTGATTTGTTTGGAAAAACAAAAAGGGAGTGTAAGAACTGTTGAATCTTGCCAATACCCATCAAGGATATACATAACCACATTCTTTCAAGAAGATTTCTTTTCAATTTTTTATTTATTTTCCATTGAGAAAACTAATAATAAACACAGCCCTTTTTCTCTCATTTTCTGAGAAATAGAAAGTAAGCTTATAAAGCCACTTTCTGAAAAACACAATCTAAAAGAAGAAAATAGTTGCCTAAAATATTTGCGGATTCCTCCTTGTCTTGTTGGTTTAGCACTATTGCAAAAACAAAAGAAAACAAACTTAGCAAAGAGAACTGTAATTTCCGAAAATAAAATAAATTTTAAGTCTCTTGTAAAGCAAACTCAGATTCCATTCTCTCTTTTCCTTTTCAAAATGGCAACCATATTTGCTGACTCAGCATTTTACCCTACAATAAGCACAGACAGAGACCCGAAGCCTATTAGTCATTGAGTCTCTTACACATCTCTTTCAACGCCATTTTTAGGCCTGCATACAAAAAGCAGGAACTGTAATGATAATAAAATACAAATCTGTAGCTATTTATTTAGTGCTTCTAGCCTTACCTCTGTGTCCTCCACTGAGCAACATTTTTAAACAGCCCTATCTTCCCAACTTCTTTGTTCAGACATTTCTTTTCTTGCTTTTTTTCATTTCTGCAAAATTATGAATTCTCAAACATGGAAAACCTTGGCAGTTGTTCTGTTGTGGATATCTATGGAAGTGGAATCTTCTTTATCGTCTTTATCTCATCTTGATAAGATTAGTAGGCTTCCTGGCCAACCCCAAGTGGGTTTTCAACAATTTTCAGGTTATGTTACTGTTGACGAAAAGAAGCATAGAGCTTTCTTTTATTATTTTGTTGAAGCAGAATTAGATCCAGTTTCGAAGCCTTTGGTTCTCTGGTTGAATGGAGGTTTGCTTCAAAATTGAATCAAACCAGAAAACAAAGTTACATTCTTTGAATTCACAATGTGTGATTTAATTAATTTAAAAATGGTATTTAATTGCAGGGCCTGGCTGTTCTTCTCTTGGAGTAGGAGCATTCTCTGAAAATGGACCTTTTAGACCAAATGGAAAGGTTTTGGTGAGAAATGAATATAGCTGGAACAGAGGTATAATTATTACTGTAAATCATAAAATTCAAATTTCAAGTTTTTTCTCTTCATATGTATGTGTAAACTGAATAGAAATAAACATTTTAACGTTCATGAATAATAAATGTTGCAGAAGCAAATATGTTATATTTGGAGACACCAGTTGGGGTAGGATTTTCTTATGCAACTGATAGCTCCTCATATGTGGCGGTGGATGATGAAGCAACAGGTATAATAATAAATACTCTTTATTTGTAAAGTAAGTTGACATGGAAGAAGGGCTGCGATGCCTGGTTCCTGGTCCTGGTCAGAGACCACTGTGTTAGCGCCGAGATAGATTACCCTTCAAAACGAGCTAATGGGCTCAACCTATTAAATTCAGCACCTTCATTCCTTTTGTTAAGTGAAACAGACAAAAAAACAAAATAAACGCTGTATTAAACCATTTGCAGAAAAATTGTTGCTTTTTGTTTTTGTTTTTTTGATTCTTTGACCAAAAAGGCGAAAGTTTTCTCTTGGGAAATTTATGGTTTATTGAGAAAGTAGAATTAACCTGCATTTGCTTTATGAAATTACAGATAAAACAGTGTTTTGTCTCCCCACTGTTACTCTTTGGCCCAAAACGAAAAAAGAAATTAAGAAAAAAGTTCTCTTTTTGCTGTTTTCTGAATTTGAGGTTACTGAAAGCTATTATTTACTTGCATATGTAAGCTTTAAGCTGAAGTCTCATTATGAACTTCATTTGCTACTTCACATTCTATTAAAGATTTTTTATATATAAAAAAGAAAAAAGCTTTCTTTCATAAGGCTTTTATAATATATGTATATTAGTACATGCCTTCTGAAACGATATTTCGTTTTGTTTTCTTAAGCCAGGGACAACCTTATTTTCTTGCAACGCTGGTTCAACAAATTTCCTCAGTACAGGCGTAGAGACTTGTTTATAACAGGGGAGAGTTATGCAGGTAAAATTCAATTTCCAATTTTTTTTTTGTACCAAACTGTAAGACAAGTCAATTTAATCATTGCTGCTTCATTTATTTTCCTAACTCCAGGTCACTATATTCCTCAACTTGCAAATCTTATGATTGAAATTAACAAGAAGGAAAAATTATTCCACTTGAAAGGCATTGCAGTAAGTAAAAAAATATGTATATAAAAAACCTTTCTTCATTTAACTATTTAATCCATTTAAGTAGGATTAATGATAATTTACTAGTCTATCTGTTGCAGCTTGGAAATCCTGTTCTAGAATTTGCTACGGACTTGAATTCAAGAGCTGAGTACTTATGGTCACATGGTTTGATATCAGATTCAACATACAAAATGTTCACTTCTGCTTGTAACTATTCAAGATATGTTAGTGAATACTATAGAGACTCAGTTTCAAGCATTTGTTCGCGAGTTATGAGCCTTGTTAACAAAGAAACTAGCAGATTCGTAGACAAATATGATGTTACTCTTGATGTTTGTATTTCTTCAGTACTGTCACAATCAAAAGTTCTAAGACCACAAGTAAGTTCTTTCTGCAATTTTCTTACTTCCACATTCCTTTCAAGTCTATGGTTCTTTTTGGCATTTACTACTTGAATTACTGCTTAGAAAAGCATCTAAACGTTTAACATCTAAAATAGTGTTAAAGAAAAAAGCTGTTTCAATATCAATGCTAAAGAGACTATATATAAATATGGTTGCTTACAAATCTTCATTTGCAGCAAGTATCTGAGAGGATAGATGTATGTGTGGACGACGAGACGACGAATTATCTAAACCGAAAAGACGTGCAGAAGGCTTTCCATGCTAGACTTGTTGGAGTTAGTAAATGGGAAGTTTGTAGCGAGTAAGTTGTTCTTGTCCTTTTGATATATATATATAGCAAACACAAAAACAAGACCAAGAAAGAATTTTTTATATCAGCATATAGCTCTTCAAGGTAAAATTTCTTGAATGTTACCATTTTTTTTTTTTTTTTTTTGGATTATCACAGCATTCTTGATTATGAGCTGCTCAATTTGGAAATACCAACAATCTCTATTGTTGGATCACTAATCAAGGCTGGAATTCAAGTATTAGTTTACAGGTAAACTTGAACTTAAATAAGTTCTTAATAAGATCATTTATATCATTGTTGTGTTTTATAACAACAAAAATCTTACAGTGGAGATCAAGATTCTGTTATTCCCTTGACTGGAAGCCGCACCCTTGTTCATGGACTGGCAAAGGAGTTAGGACTGAATACAACTGCATCTTATAGAGCTTGGTTTGCAGGACAACAGGTAAAAAATATATAAAATTAATATTTACCATTAAGATGTATCTAATTAAGTTAAGCATATTTAGTAATAATATTAGAAATTAATTGTACTCTTTTCTTTTTATTAAGGTTGGTGGATGGACTCAGGTTTACAGTAATTTGCTTTCATTTGCCACTATAAGAGGTGCTTCTCATGAAGTTCCATACTCGCAGCCTGAAAGATCACTTGTGTTGTTCAAGTCATTTTTGCAAGGCAAACAACTACCTGAAATTTTCTAATGTGCTTTGCTTGTGAGGTTTAAAGTTATATACTCGGAGATATTTTTGTGTACATACATTAATAACTGTGGTGTTATAGTCAGTAAAGCATTTTTGTCTTTGCAAAGAAAAGTAAAGGGAATCATCAATCAAGGTTCAAGAATCTTGTATGAGGTTTGGTTAATGTAAGATCTTTGAAGTGCAAAAATCTTTTGAGCAGTGTCAAATTCACTTCTTCTTCTTCTTCTTCTTCTTTCATTATCAAAATCATCAAACCGTGTATTCTCAAAATGATTGGATTTAGGGTTTACAGAAAAATTAAATATCTAAAATTAATATAATCTTTTTTTTTAAGTTGTTTTTTCAATAGTTAAATAAATTTCAACGAGGTAATTTCAAGAACTGTACTTAAAATCCAAGATTCAAGAAATTACTATATATTTAAGAGTGAGAAAAACTGATTGAAACAGGTCCATACATTTCCATTTGGAATAACTCAACTTCGAATTGCAATTTTCATTACTAAAGTAAGCCATTATTGCTAATTCAATCTCACTTCTTATTGTTAATAAATTGCAAAGGGGACAACTTTATCATACTTAATTGTACTGTAAGTTCAAAATTTGACTTAAAAGTTCCAAACTTTATTACTTTCCTCTAAGCAAGGGATCTCATGTTCATGTTTTTTTTTTTTTTTTCGAACTTCAAATATAATAACGTTATTTTGATCCATCACCGACCATAGGCACTCCAGTCCCCACCAAAATAAATAAATAAAATGAAATAAAAGAGCTTCCTTTTTTCTTTTTTCAGGTAACCTTGCCCCCATTGATGGGCATGACCTGCAAGTTACCAATGGACCATACTCAAGTGTGATGGCCATGATTGCACAAAACCAACGTAGCCCTTCTCTTTCTCTTGCCACTTCTTTTGCTTTTTCATATTACTTCCTTTCTTGCCTGTACGTCCTCTGTTTCTTTCTTTCTTTCTTCCTTCCTGTCGTCCAATAATCAACCGCCAACCCCACCTGAAAAAGCGGGAACTCTACTTTTTCTGTATTATTTTCTTTTTCCTTTTCCTTTTGTCAATGGAAAAAAAACCGCCACCAAAATAAAGCAACTGCCTGCCCAATTTTGTTTCTCTAATTTGACTCTCTCTAACTGGTTGCAGTACCAGACACAATAGTTTCCTCATATTTTTCAAAAGCAAAAATAAAATCCAAATAAACCAAGAAAGAAAATAAAAAAACATGGCAAAAGAGCAAAAGGAAAGCTCTGCATCAATTATCAACACCACCCTACAGGCCCAGGTAATAACCCTTTTTTCTTAATGCATTAATCATTATTACACATATATGTATTGATACAATATACATATGAAAATCACACCTTCATACACTTTTTCCCTATCTATCACATTGTCAAATATAAATTTGAAGATCCGAGGATTTTTGGGAAATTTGATTTTCGATTCTGCGGTTTATGTATGTGGGCATTGCAGGACAAAGAAGAAGAGGGAGAACTGGACTTGGGATCCGACGAGGCTGACACTCCTTTACCTCTCACTGTCACTTCCCGGGTAATTAATATTTGATGTTTAGTTTGTAGAGAATGAATGAAATTGGAAGTAGCATCAATCATAGATGGAAAAATTATGGATTTTTGCAGGTATTGTATATGTTGGGAGATATAACATCGGGTCCAGCATATCGGTTTGCGCAATGGCTGGAATTGGTTCGTAAGAGAAGTGTGAAACATCACGCCTCTGGGTTTCCTCGCCGCCCTCACGGGCTTGACACTATGACCTCTGGGTCTTGCATTCCTCTATCTCTCTTATCTTTACATTGCCATTTTTACCATAAAACTAATTAATGATCATCGACCGTTATTTTCATTTTAATTTTAGATAATTAGGTAATGGTATTATTTTCTCACAAAAAAAAAAAAAAAAAAAATTTAGATTAATAGGTAATTGGTATATTTCTCACAAAAAAAAAAAAAAAAAAAAAAGAAGTGATGGGATTATAGGCTGCGATTTGGAACTAGCCTTAGTTTCTGGAACTAAATTTAGAATTGGAATTGTTAAGCTCTGGAATTGGGATACATGCCCATTCAGAACTTGAAATTTTCTATTATTGGAAATCAATCCAAAGATTTAGCCTTTTGACTAGTGGACTAGATTTTTTTATACAAATTAATAAAAGTAAAAAAAAAAAAAAAAAAAAAAAAAGAAGTGATGGGATTATAGGCTGCGATTTGAACTAGCCTTTGAGTTTCTGGAACTAAATTTAGATTGGAATTGTAAGCTCTGGAATTGGGATACATGCCCATTCAGAACTGAAATTTTTCTATTATTGGAATTCAATCAAAGATTTAGCCTTTGACTAGTGGACTAGATTTTTTATACAAATTAATAAAAGTAAATGGCGGGAGTTTTACAAATCTTAAGTTGTATTTGTAATTTGAGTGAAGTTAAAAGTTCTTGATTTGGTTTATCTGTGGATTCTTGTAGAACTTGCATGTTGAATGCTTTTGCAACTTATATGAATGCATAACCAACAATTGGTCAAGTGATTCCAAATGAGTTACTCGGTCCTCACCTGCCTGTTGCGGTCAAATAAGTAAACAAAGGATATTTCAAGAAGCATTTTGGTCGTGCAATTAAGGAGTTGAAATTTGGTTGTTTTATGTTTCAGTGCTAGAGAATTGCTTATTGATCCAAAGAGTGATCCCCCTCCTGAACAAGCTTCAGAGATCAGTTTATGGGAAAGGCTTGGTAAAGCAGCAATATTGGACATTGAGTCGAGCTCTTTTTCTTGGGACATGCTCTCTTCACTCCACCACACTGAGCATAGCAGTAGCACCGAACAATCTGAAGATGAAATGAATAAAGCACTTGAGGTGTGTGATCTAATTTAATTATAGCATTTATTGAGTGTCTTCAGCCTCATACTTTATTTGAAAAACCAAAAGGTGTGTGATCTAATTTAAGCATGGCTGTTGCTGAGCTTCTTCATTCCCTCCTCAAAGTTCACCCTATGGTTCACACACACACACACACAGAGGTTTACCTCGCTTCTTATTTGGATTTCTTAACTCCACTTTGTCAATTGAATAGCATGAGATGGATCATCGGGTTATTGATAAGAAAGCACTTCAGTATTCATGTAAGAAAGTAGTTAGCAAACTAGTGTGTTTTGTATTTTATGCAATATTTTTGTGAAGACTTCTGTAAAGGTGCAAGTAGCACAACTTGGGGATCACTGTGAAGAGTGATGTGTTTCGCCTGTATATGGACAATCTCTTTCCATCAGCTGCCTCAAATTTTCTTATGTATTATGCATGTAGGTAACTGTAAATTCTGGGGGAGTTGTCTTTTTTGCTTTATTCAACCAGCCTGGAATCAATGATGCTCTTCCTAAGGAAGCAGCAGCAGTCATAAAATTTTCATCTTCAAGGATGGCCACACAGTCAGAACGTCTTGGCTATGAATTTGCGAAGTGGTTAGGAGTTAGAACTCCACAGGTTATATTGTTTTTCCCTGGTATTTTGGTGATTTATTACCATTACCTAAACCTTTCTTAGACATCCTGCCTGCATTCTCTGTTTCCTTGAAGATAGTGCTTATCCTGATGATGCATTGCAGGCTAGAGTCATTCATAATTGCAGTGCTGAGTGGCTCCAGATTAAGGAGGCTGCTGAAAAAGCAAGAGACACAGCAGCTTCAGAAGGAGATGAAGTTGGTGAAGTCACGTGTTCGGAACTTCTGGAAGCTCTTGAACTTAGCCGATGCCTTCTTCTAATGAGGTGAAGTCCAATCTGATTTCTGAATATAGCTTTCTATAGTAAAATGTTAGGAACCAGACTGTGGAATTAAAAATTTTGGCCCCACCATAAATTAGCCATTAATTTGATGATGTTTATCTGTCTTCTTGTTGACTGTTACAGAGTTAGAGAATGAGTACAAAAAGGAAGTCACAAATTTTCATTGATAATATTGAAAATAATTATGAGAATCAAAACAGTTACAAGAATCCATGTATAAATATCCTTTTTCTCTATCTATGTTCCCACGATTATTCTTATTATCTTCTGTTTTCTCATTTTCTCATTCCTGTGTTCTGCTGTCTTTCCTCGTTTCCAAATGTTCTTCCATGGAGATGACTTTCCCTAACTCTGTTGTCTAATTTTGGTCAATTTACTTGCTCTAATGGCCAAAAACTCCTGTTTTGCAGTTATATTCATGGATCTCCTTTGTTGGAAAGTTCAACTGCATTTGAGTCTCGTGAAACTGCAACAGCTCTTGGTAGGGTCTTGATGTTGGACCTTGTCATCAGAAATGAAGATAGATTGCCTTGCCGACAACTCAGATGGCGTGGAAATGCAGCAAATTTATTATTGGCTGATCAAATGGCCTCTGCAAATGTAAATGAATTGGAGGATGCTTTTGATTCTGCAATTAACCGATACCGACCAAGAGTTGTTAGAGCTCTTCAGAAAGAAAGGAGGGCAACTTCTGTGGATAGTAGATTGTCCTCTCATGAGTCAGGACTGGTATCACAGGGTTCTGATCTTTCTGATGTCACGGAATCCCCAAAATCTTGTTCCAAGAGCCTGAGAAGTCAAGCATCAAACGAGTCAATATTTTCTGAACTCTACAGGAGCCGCATTGTAGCCATTGACTCTGGTGTTCCTCGGAGGCCTCCTGCTGGAAAACGTGCAAATGACCAGGCAAATTACCCAAAATTGGTCGAGTTACTTCTTAACTGTTCCGATTACGCTTCTAATTTGTTATATGATATAACTGGAGGGAAATTAGGATCTCCTTTAGAAGACCCCAACATAACTGATATACGACCAACAGAAATTACTGCAGTTGTTCAAGAATTTCGTAGTGGATTTCGTGCAGCTCTTAGGGATCTTCAAAGTTTCCATATATTCCTTCTAACACTTCACCAAAAATTGGATGCCCTATTACGAGCATTTTTAAACATTACAAATAGAACTGGGGACTTTGACAAGGAAGATATAGTGGTTCCTGAGTCACCTTTGCATGGGGGTGTTCATTGTCCTTCTTCACCAACGCCAAGTAAGGACAGGTTCCTTAATGATAATAATTCAGATTTTAGTGATTCAGAATTGCAGAGAACAGCGCCAAGATCATCTTCAGGGAATAAAGAAAATTCAGACTCTCGTTCTCCCATGGCCAAAGAAGGTTGGCATGGAAAGTTTAAGGCGAGTGGGGAGCCCCTTCATAGCCTCCGTTTGACAACAAAGCTTCGTGACATCCATAAATTTGCCAAGGTTGGTATGCTAATTATCACTATTGAATTGTCTTTATTTCACACATATTCAAGATTCTAAATTTATTGAGTTAGGCAAATGGGATTATGTGTATTCTTATCCACCTTGCTAAGCTAACCAGTGGAATCTGCGCTGCATGTGAACACACAATTGCTTTTTGAAAAGTTTGATTTTCTAGAATGAGACAAGCAAAATGCATCAAAAGTTCTAACCTATAAATGGCATTAGATATAGTGAATTTTCAGTTTGGTAGTTGTTAGGGCCATTATCTGGCATTTGGCCCAGAAACTCAGAAGGCTTGAAGTTGAAACTTTTCGCTTTGGAAGTCAAATGTCAATTCTGGCCGCCAACCACCAGATCAAACAGCCTTTTAATATTCTGTTGGTCAAAAACTGAGCGTCACTTTTTCCATTTTTGCTTGATTTGAGATGTAATGATGCCACAGCATATCTCTATTAAAACTGTTACCAAGGTTCACAAGAGAAGAGATGGATATCAATACCTTTGACTTGAGACTTTGGAAGTGGTAGAAGAAGGAAAACAAAAGGGAGCCAAGACACTCTGTTCGGGACAGACAAAATGGGGTGTGGTTGAGGGGAGAGAGGAGGTGGTAGACTCGTGTCGTGTAATTATAAACTGATCAAGAGCGTTTAAACTATTAAAGATGATATAATATATCTTTGATGGACAGAATTGGTACACTACCCTGCCAATGGCTGCACTCACATTTGATGATACGGGTAATGAATAACAAGCTTTTACTTCAGAATTGTCATATGTTACTGAACCAGAATATCATTTTGTTTGAACAAAACGGTGTGTAACTTCTAACTTGAAATGGAAATGATACAAACAGCCCTAAGCAAACAAATAAAAATTTTAAAGGAGAACAAATAATTTGATTGTGCTACGCGAAACAGCATAAGATTTGCCTTAATTAAAACATTTTATCACTTGCCCTTATCTGTCTGAACTGTCATCATCACTCTCAGGTTGATACTGAATCAAATAAAGAACTGGAACAATGGAATGAGATGCTGAGAAACGATGCTATCAAACTGTGTCAAGAAAACAATTTCAATACCGGATTTTTCGAGGGCAGTGATAGTAACTGTGTTGTTGATGCTTATGAATTGAAGGTATGTCCCACTCTGCAAATGTGTGCATGACCATGCAGATGCAGGACCTGTTTTAAACCTCTGTGCAATATAGTTCGCCTATCTCACAAATCACATTTTATCTTCTTGTTTCCCTTCCTGGGTTTTAAATACCTTGTCATTTTCAATTAACTTACAGGTCAGACTAGAACACATCCTTGAGAGAATATCATTGATTTCTGATGCTGCAAACACAGAGAAACCATCTTCAATCACAAATAGCTTGTTCATTGGTGGGGCCTTAGCTGCTCGATCCATTTATACTTTGCAACATCTAGGAATTACTCATATATTGTGTTTATGTGCCAATGAAATTGGACAATCAGATACTCAGTACCCTGATCTATTTGAGTACCGAAATTATTCAGTAAGTGATATTTTTCCTTCTCGATTTTCACCAGGTCCATCCTTTTAGGGGAGTATGCTTTTTTGTTTTAGGCATTTAACTAACTCTGTATCACTCATTTCCAATATCCCAAAAAATTAGGAAAATTTTATTTTGCATCACAGCCAAAAAAAAAAAAATCAATAAGCAAATTTGTGATATAAACAAATTTAATGGTAATAACAAGAAGAGCTATTAATAGTTGTATTTATGGCCTCACTCTTGATGAATTTTGTAAAGATAATGATACCTATAAATCCTATGACCTTTTTCCCTATGAGAAGTTGATTTTTACTTGATGGAAAGCCTGGTGTTTTGATGTTTCTTCTGCTATGTTGTCCTTCTGGGAAAAATTTCATAACACTGCCCATTTGGCGACAATGCTTGTGATTATTTAAATTCTGAACTCCTAAACCATCACGTTCTAGCATATGTCTGGAATTTGTTAATGATAAAAGTATTCGACTTGAACAGGTATATGACAATGAAGATTCAAATATTAGCAGCATCTTTGAAGAAGCTTCTGATTTTATTGATCATGTTGAATCAACGGGAGGGAGGGTTCTAGTTCATTGCTTTGAAGGGAAGAGTAGAAGTGCCACATTAGTTCTTGCTTACTTAATGCTCAGAAAGTAAGTGCATTTTACTTGACGGGATAGATAGAGTGCCCAATGTGGCTGATCCAATGCATGTTGTGTTTCTGGTTGATGCAGGAACTTCACGCTATTACAAGCATGGAATGCCCTGAGACGAGTTCATCGACGGGCTCAGCCCAATGATGGGTTTGCGAGAATTCTATTGGATCTTGACCGAAAATTGCATGGAAAGGTGTCGATGGAGTGGCAACAACGGAAGCCAACAATCAAAGTCTGTCCAATCTGTGGAAAGAATGCTGGTCTAAGCAGCAGCTCTCTCAAGCTTCATTTGCAAAAATCGCATAGGAAGCTATCGTCGGGGAGCGTTGACAGTGCTATGACTATGGAAATACAAAAAGCACTGGATGCACTAAAAATGACAAGTGGAAGCGGAAGTGGCAGTGTCAGCCCCCAACAGTCCTCTTCTGTTATGGATGACTTGGAACTCGTATAAATTCAGCACAACTAATTTTCAGATATTCTTCTCCTGAGGCCGCCTACATTTTTTAATCCATCGTTCGCATGAAAATTTTGAAATTTATTGCAAATGATGCTGGGGCATGGGACCGGTAGGAAGATTGTAAAACACATTATTGGTTGTATAGTGGAAGGAAAATATATTATGATTTGTTACGAGCGTTGTGTATCACCAATCCTTATCACAAATATCATTATACAGTGCACAAATAAAGTCTGGAACTGCCAATCCTTTGACGGCAAGCTCCAAAATCTAAAATTGTATGATGCAACGAGACTCCTCTTACATTGCAAATGCTACAGCATTAATTTCAACACCCATCGATAGCACTCGAAAGAAATGGGAAAAACTTAGCGACAGAGGAAAGACTGTATTGCAGGTTGAAACTTTACATAACAGTAACAACAACAAAGGAGTATGGGGGAAAAAAAAAAAAAACTTAAATATAAGCTCATCAATGACTATCCGTTTATTATAAAAAGCTAATCAAAAATACCACGATCCCACTATCTGCCACCTAATTCAAATATCCATTGGTGATATGAGTACAGCCTTCAAATCCAGCCAGCAATAAAACATTGGCCCCAATTCTACCAAGTAGTCATTTTAACAAGACAGACTACAACTACATTGCCAATTTAAGTTACGACCATGCAGTACAAGCAACGCAGCAACGTGCAGGCAAAGGTTGCTGATTCGGACGGAGCTTTAGCCTACACAATGGACAATGCATCTGGCAATGACTCGGGAGACCCACTGCTACCATTGAGGACAATAACATTTCCATCAGAATCAACATCTACAATAACTGAGTCACCTTCTTTGATATCTCCTGCAAGCATTTTCTCGGCCATGCTGTCCTCCAGTAGTCTCATTATGGCTCTTCTCAGTGGCCTTGCTCCGTAGCTTGGATTATATCCTTCCTCAACCACCCTCTCTCTAAATCTCTCGGTCACTTGGAGCTCTATGTCTTTGCCCTTCAGCCTGTCAAACACCTCCTTCAACATTATATCAGCAATATCTTTAACCTCCAGCTTAGTGAGCTGCCTGAAGACAATCATCTCATCCAACCTATTTAAGAATTCTGGCCTGAAATACTGCTTCAATTCCTCAGTCACTAGGCTCTTAATCCTATTATAACTACTGTCCTTCTCATCATAATCAAGGTCAAATCCTATCCTGCGCCCTCCCTTCTCAATAACACTGCTTCCAACATTTGAAGTCATTATCAGAAGAGTATTCTTGAAGTCCACGGTTCTACCCTTGCTGTCAGTCAATCTTCCATCTTCAAGAATTTGAAGCATCATGTTGAAGACATCAGGATGAGCCTTCTCAATCTCATCAAAGAGCACCACAGTGTAAGGTCGACGCCGAACAGCTTCTGTCAACTGCCCACCCTCGGTGTAACCAACATAACCAGGAGGTGAACCAATGAGCTTGGAGACTGTGTGTCTCTCCATGAACTCACTCATATCAAGACGGATCATGGCTTCTTCAGAGCCAAAGTAGTAGGCAGCTAGCGCTTTTGCCAATTCTGACTTTCCTACACCAGTTGGACCAGAAAATATGAAGCTAGCAATTGGACGGTTGGGATTCTTGAGTCCAACTCGGGCCCGGCGAATAGCGCGACTGATGGCTTTCACAGCTTCATCCTGACCAATGACTCTCTTGTGCAAGGTCTCTTCCATCTTAAGCAGGCGGTCAGATTCATCAGTTGATACTTTCTCTACAGGAATTCCTGTCCAAGAAGAGACAATGTGCTGAATGTCTGATTCAGTGACAGTAGGACCAACATCCCCTGCCTCAGTCTCAGCCTTGCTCATCTCCTTGCCTTTCTCCACAATAGCTGCAATTTGTGCCCTTAGGTCCATTTCACGGTCCCGTAATTCTCCAGCCTGTCCAGAATTTTATGTACTCTAATTTAGTTAAATGAAATGCTAGGTACCAGCTATAAAGAAGCAAGGGGAAAAAAAAAATACTCGGAAGATTTTGGAGAGAGAGAAAAAGATGAGAGAAAGGAGGGAGAAGAAAAAGATTTTGGAAATTTTCACATTAACTATGTGGAATCCTACTGTCATTGTGAAATCATTAACCCTCATTAAAAAAATAATAATAATAAAGTGCATAGTCCTAGGGAACAAAAATCGAGCAGAAAAAAAAATTTTACCTTCTCAAAGTCTTGGCTGCGAACAGCTTCATCCTTCTCCTTTGTTATCTGCCTGACCTCTTTCTCAAGCTCCCTAGCCTCCTCAGGGACCTATAGAACAGACTTAGACATAAACAACTTGCATAAAGTTAAAACGGGTGATCATAGAATAGCTGGGTAAAAGCTCATGCCTGTGCGTGGCGAAGGCGAACCCGAGAACCAGCTTCATCAATCAAGTCAATTGCCTTATCTGGCAGAAAACGGTCACTGAAATGGGGAAAAAAAGAGCAAACACGAGATAATAAGAAACTTTCTGCCAGATTGAGCTTACAAGTGAAGTATAATACATTGCAAGGCAGTCATATCATTCACAGGAATAGTTCTAAGATCTACTGAGAAAATAATTGCTACCTTGTCACACAACATGCTGTGCATGGCCGTACATAAAACGTGCAAGTACTCAGAGAGCGGAAAAAAAAAGGACAAAAAAAAAGGAACGAGCTATTTCATAAATTGCAAACCTGATATACTGATATGACAACTGTGCAGCAGCTACTAGGGCTTCATCTGTATATCGCAGCTTGTGGTGTATCTCATATCGTTCACGCAATCCTTTCAGAATTTGAATAGTTTCATCTACAGATGGCTCAGGTACTTTGACTGGCTGGAATCGTCTTTCTAAAGCGGGATCCTTCTCAATGTGCTTTCTGTATTCATCCAGTGTGGTAGCTCCAATACACTGCATAAGTTAAGAAAAATAAGAAACCTGCAGACACAGGTTCAAGCATAAACAGCAATATACCAACAAAGCCACAGAGACTTGGGAGCTGTGATTACTTCTCTTATATAATCAAACAAGGGAGGGAAACAAAAGAAACCGTAACCACCCCCATAAAATTGGATACAACAATGAGATGTATGATAATAAAGTTAAACAATTACTTATTAGTCTAAAGGAAGAATGTGCTGCAACGGTTAGAAGTTAAGAACAAAAAATAATAGGAAGGTTGCAAAGGACAGACTAATTCAATTCAAACTTCGTCTCATGTCAAAACTAGTTGGAAGTACTATTTCTTTTCCCTTCAAAAGAATGATGCCAAAGTTACCTGCAATTCACCTCTAGCAAGAGCTGGTTTTAATATATTGGCAGCATCAATTGCACCTTCTGCTGCTCCAGCTCCAATTAACGTATGCACCTCATCGATGAAAAGAATAATTTCATCACTTTGTTTGATTTCTTCCATTAGCTTCTTCAACCTCTCTTCAAACTCTCCACGATACTTGGTTCCAGCAACCAAAAGACCCATATCCAGGGTAATAACCTACATTATAAAGCAAAAAAAAAACAGGCCACACATATGATAAGTTTTTTACCACAATAAGATGTTAATGCCAATCTCTCAATTATGAATAACGCATAGAATTATAAGTGCATGTATGCACATGTGACCAGGAAAAAAATTAATGTCACAGGTCACTGAATCCTCTGTCCAAAACAAACAGGATACCCGGTGTTGAGCATTTATTTCACCACCATGTATGGATCACACAACAAGCAATCATTTACAAGTTGCAGAGTGCAATCCAAATACATGTCGCACAGAGAAAATTGAAAGCAATTGTTAGGTAACAAAAGAAGGCCATTCTTATATAACCAAAAAAAATGTTAAATAAAAGCACATGAAAATAACTACTGTCCTATATAGCATTCTTCAATATATATATATATATATATATATACATATAGCATTCTCAATATATATATATATTATATATATATATATATATATATATACTTTGTTTCAGCTAATAGCATCAGCAAGGCCCATGCTACAACCTTTTTTAGTTATAAGCAACTAATTAATAGTACCAAAAACTCAAAGGAGCACAAAAGTAATCTGCACCTGAACACTGAACCATGTCAATAGATTGACAATTACCCACCTTCTTTCGCTCAATTGTTTCAGGGACATCACCACTTGCTATACGCTGAGCAAGTCCTTCTGCAATTGCTGTTTTCCCAACCCCAGGCTCTCCAATAAGGCATGGATTATTTTTAGTTCTTCGACCCAAGATTTGGATGACACGCTCTATTTGTGGCTGTCTTCCAACAACAGGGTCCAGCTTACCCTGAAAGAAGAAAGAATATCCCCTAAAACAATCTGAAGAATAGTTAATGCATAAAAAAAGACAGATTAGCATTCACTTACCTCCTCTGCTAACTTAGTCAAATTAGTTCCATACTCTTCAAGAGTAGGCATCTTATTGCTGCCACCTCCTGGTCCAACAGGAGCAGGAATATTCTCAGTGCTTTCACCCACCATGCGAATGACCTAATCACAACAACAAAAGACATACTTCAGTTAGTTTTAAATATCATGCACACAACCAAGGATTCAACAATAAATACAATTAGGTTAATCCAAGTAAAAAATATGCATTGTTTACCTGTGTGCGGATGTTACTGGGGTCAGCACCTAAATTTTCAAGAACACGTGCTGCTACACCTTCACCTTCACGAAGCAACCCGAGAAGCAAGTGCTCAGATCCAATATAGTTGTGACCTGAAAGATTCATGGAAGTTGGATTTTCAAGTTAAGATAACAATATTTTTCTAAGAAAAAGTTGGAAGGTAAGCATTCATATGGCAATTTATGCCTGCCTATTCCCAGAAAGTTATAAAAGCATGCATGAATTGTTAACAATAAAAAATAAAAAAGGATAGAATGCTCATAACAGCACAACAAAATTTATTGAATCCAACAGCATCACAAACACACAAAAGGTCAGTTATTGTAACCTAACGACTCCAGTAATAATAAGCATTTTGAAAAACTCACTAAGATTAAATACTCTGGTAACTGCATGAATCGGAATGGAAAATATAGTTTAAATCGGGCTCCTATATTAACCCTTAAATATTTGAATTCCAACAACAAAGATAAAGGTTCTCAGTTAAAAGGCAACGACTAGAATCGAAGACCCAAAAAAACATTGCCAACCCACTTTATGGTAGAAAGCTAAATTTGTGGCAAGATTAAGGAGGGAGGACAGAAAAAGAACCCTACCAAGTTGGCGGGCTTCCTCCAGCGAGAGTTCCAATACACGCTTTGCACGAGGAGTAAATGGAATCTCCACAGCAACAAATCCACTACCTCTCCCTATGATCTTCTCTACTTCTACACGTGCATCCTTAAGATTGATTCCCATAGATTTGAGCACCTTAGCAGCAATGCCAGTTCCTTCACCAATAAGACCCAAGAGGATTTGCTCTGTGCCAACAAAGTTGTGACCAAGCCGTCTTGCTTCCTCTTGAGCAAGCATAATTACTTTTATTGCTTTTTCTGTGAAGCGCTCAAACATAGCCCTAGGTAGAAATCGTTTAGCTTTCTGTTGCCTACGGGACATTGAGATTGCAACCCTGGAATGGAAATCTTGTCCAGATCTTAGCAATGTATCTAAACAATTTGAGTTTCGAAGGCCTGAGAATCCTCTTAATGTCAATGCTGGCGGTCGTGTACTACACATCATTTTGGTGGCAGTCCTCCTTGATGTTTCAGATTCTTGAGATAGGCCATGTTTTACCCCATGAGATAAGGCAGGAATATTAGTTGAATGAACTAGAAGCCTCGCCATGGATGCCACAAAAAGATTCTGCATTTCACGAATAATGTCTTAGAAAAATACAGGTGAAGAAATGAAGAAAAATAAAATAAAATGCATAAGAACTATGACATTGACATTCCAAACCGACAATTAGGCTGACAACCAAACATAATCATAGCAAAATGACATCATTGAAACATACATACACAAACTCCTCTTCAACAATGACATGAAGAACAGGTACTCTTTCATTGTTCTCAAATAAATTTATGACAAGTCCAGAAAGCACAATTTTCAAAGGCTGGAAAGCAAATGATATGTACAGGTGCAATACATGCAACATTATTGAAGGCAAAGTCGTTAAAAATACAACTTTTTGATCAATGGACCAAGAAAATTAATTGCAAAGATATCCCGCAAGCTATTGGGAACAAAAAAAAAAACCTGGAAAGGTATGACATTAATTCAAACAAAATATCTCCATAGACTGAAGCTTCTTAATAAGAGGCGCACATGCTTTCATTTCACTTCATATGAACAATTCAGATGTCATTACGACCTAAATAAATATCCTTTCAAACTAGAAATTTACAGGGAAAAAAAAAAAAAAGACTAAATTAAGCTCAATAACATTACCAAACCGAGCGCTCCTGTGTTTCAGCAAAATAGCCACTATAACTAGCGCCTATTCAAAAAGCAAAAACTAAATAAGACCTATCGCAATAATCCAAAAATCCCTGCAATGAATATACAATAACCACACACTTAAGACCTACACACACAGAGATTGTTCACCTGTAATATAGATAGTATTGGAGAATTAAAATCATTGGCAATTAACCAAAAATAAAACCCTAAATTGAATGATCGAATCAAAGCATGTATCAATCGAAAGCAGGTCAAAACCCTAACTTCCGAAGCTGAAATACAACCAAAAAGGAAAAAAAGAATCAAAACCTTACCTAAAACTTCAAAGAGAGAGAGATGAAGAACAATAGAAATGAAAATATAAAAAATCCAAACGGAGAAACAGACCTAAAAGGGTCTTTCTTTTTTCTTTTTCTTTTGGAGAAGAGAGAGACCCTCTTTTATGGTCGGCCGATAACCAAGGATAGATATATAGATGATGTGGTTTTTGTTACCTTTCTTCCTTCTCTCTCTAGATTTTTATTTTTTTATTTATATCCATTTTTGTTCTTCTCTGTATCTGTACCGTAAATTCCATCAACTTTCATGGACCTTCGCGTTCACCTAACGAGCTAAAACCACAAAGTCGTTTTGATAATCAATCTCACTGGCGGCTATTCACCGTCCGATTCGAAGAATACTACACGTGGTCAGTAGAATTATTTATTGACGAGCGAGCGCGCCAGCCTTATCTGTAGGTCAAAATAACCACATTGTCCGTCCTGTCCCTAGATTTTTTCATGTACCTAATTTGCCCTTCACGTGCTACGTCGCTGTGAATTAGCCGTATACGAGACTTGAATCTCATTGCTATTCTACACACTACTATAATTTTATAAAATAAAATAAAATAAATGATTTTCATTTTTTTTTTCACGCACATGTTTCCAAAAAAAAAGTTATTCAGATAAAATCCTTTAAAGGATTACAACTTCACTCTAAATTAGTAAATTTCTCAATTACTTTATAAATAAAGTTAATTGCAATGGCTTTTGATTTAATCATTTAATTTTTATCCAAGAATATAAGATGAGAAATTAACAAAAATGAATCAATCAAAATAACTTATTCTATTTGTGTTAAAAATAAGTCCAATTTATTGTAAATTGATTATTAAATAAATTGTTAATAAATTTGATTAATTACTCTGATGCATAAAGTTATGAATAAATAAATATTTTTGATATTTAGAAATTATAAATTGAAATATTTAAAAGAAATGAAGAGATATATTAGATATTATGTGGATGCTTAAAATGGCAACTTGTAACAAGTAGGGCCTTACGTTTTAGTGAATGAAATGGGTAAGCTACTTGAAATATCTTATAGGAGAATAGAGTCGGCTGCCAAAATTTGACCGTGGTGTCAACCTGAAGCCCAATCTTTCTTTATCTTTGTGACCACTACCCTTTATTTTTTGAATGTTTTTATATATAAAATGCAGGGTTCGAGAGTTGGAGTGCTCTTACCAGCAAATTTATGAACTTTCATTCACTCAAATGAAGTGACCATTATAGCATAATTACACCAATAATATTATTCTGTTTTTATGCTTATGCTTGCGATATTAGTATAATATATCATAAGTTGGTTTGACGCTCATACGGCCCGCTTCTTGTTCTTGGGTGGAATTTTGTTTTGTTGTTCAAATGAATCAACTCTCGTTTCATTTATTGTACTCGTACATATTTCAACGATACGTTGTTTTACATGTTAATTAACAATGTTCCATTTATTTCGGCCATCGAACGACAGGTCCCAACTCATTCGTTGGAACTTGAAGTGATCGGTAGGATAAAAGATAACAATATTTTCAAATAAATATCTATATTCCATTTATCTATAACTATAACTATAAATATTTTCTATCTATCTATAAGTATAAATTTATAGATCGACAATAATATTTTTAAAATTTTTAATTTTTTATAAAAAAAATAAATGTAATTTAATTCCACTGACTATATTAGTTTTACATTTAAATCTAAATTTTATCGACTAATAAATAAAATTAAAAAATATTAAAATAAAATAAAACACTTTTAATATTAATTAATTTAATACAACCTTGAGAAGTTTTATCTGATTAAAATTTTAAATTAATACCTTATTATGGAAGTTTTATCATATTTTAATTAGGAATTATAATTTTATTATAGAAGCTAAATCTTAAATTAATGCCATATTATATATAAGTCTAGCCATGTCTTATTTAGGAATTATAATTCTATTCTAAAAATTGCAATGTCATATTTAGGAAATTATAATCCTAATATAGAATTAAAATATTAAATTAAAGCCATATTGTCGAAGTTTTGTTATATTCTGAAATATAATCCTATTATATAAATTTTGCCATACCTTAAATAAAAATTATATATCCTATATCATCAAACTATAGTAGATATTTTATCTAACTACGAATTGTTTTATAATTTTATTTATATTTTATTAATTATTTCATTCAATTGATTTTTACTGGGAATTAAAAATGAAAATGAGCATTATTCTTTATAAATAAAAAAACATTATAAATCAAATAACCAGTAAGTACAATAAGAAGCAACGCATCCTGTTCATAAACACTATTTAAAATTAAAAATAAAATAAATAAAATATCACAATTTTAAATTTAGAATTGTTTTGGACATGGTGAATTTTTTTATCAACTAATATTGCTATTAAATATATTTAAAAAGTAAAATAGATATAATATATTTATTCTTAAGCCCATAAGTTGGGCTAATGAATTGATCGAGCTAAGTCCAATTCAAAAGGAGAGGAGACTAACAAAGCCCAAGGACGGCCAATTACATCAACGCTCATGCAGCCCGCTTCGCGTGATGCGGAAGCTATTCGCAGCTGTGTAAACGACAGCTCGCTTCTTAGGCACAATTTGTTCGTCGTTCAAATAGACCGAGTTGGTCCGCACGTTTTAACGTCGTTTAGTTTTCGATGTTAACAATGGAAATTTTGTCCGTCGTCCGACGACAGTTTTCCACCCGTGCGGAGCTTGTACCTTAGCATTCAAAGTAAATTGAAGGTACGAAAAAATTGTTGATATAAAGAAATTTGAGTAATGATAAATTAAGGTTTTAATCTAATTCCCAAAAAAAAAAAATTATGGTTTTAATTTGATTGGAAAAAAAAAAGCAATATAATTCAACACCAAACAAAAAATAACTCTTAAAACTATTTATTTGACACAAATGTTAAAAATCATTTTTTAAAAACTACAAAAATTTTGAGTCGAAGTACTAACGTTCAGTTCATACAATTAAGTCTCCCAAAAAAAAAAAAAAAAAAACGTCGTGTAGTTCGATGTTAAGCATGGAAATTTTGTCCGTCTCGTCCACGAAGTTTTCCCACCCGTGCGGAGCTTGTACCTTAGCCATTCAAGTAAATTGAAGGTACGAAAAAATTGTTGGATATAAGAAATGTGAGTAATATAATTGAAAAGGTTCTTCAATCTAATCCCAAAAAAAAAAAATTATGGTTTTAATTTGATTGGAAAAAAAAAAAGCAAATATAACTTCCATCACACCAAACAATAAAATAAACTCTTAAAACTATTTATTTGACAAGCAATGTTTAAAATCATTTTTTTTAAAACTACAAAAATTGTTGTAGTGACATACTAACGTTCAGTTTTTCATAACATTAGTAGCTCCCCAAAAAAAAAAAAAAAAAACAGAATAACTGATTCACTGTTCCCTTTTGATATTATAGCTTCTGCCAATTAAAAGTCATATTTTGGACCCAACGGTCAACATCTAGACCTAATATCTAAACATTCACATTAGGTTATCTTCTCGGTCCACAGCTTTCTCCTGTCCTAAGCATACGTCCAGCCTATAAGCAGTTCATCAATCATTCTAGTGCCACACCACCACACAATGCAGTGCATACGTCTATACTCGAACTGCCGTCAGACATCGTCGACCGCTTGTACAACCCTCGATAGAAATGCTACTGCCACCCAAAAAAAAAAAAAAAAAAGGAATATAGCACTGATTACTGTTCCCTTTTGATGATCATAGCTTTGCCATTAAAAGTCATATTTTGGACCCAAAAAAAAAAAAAAGTTAATTTCCACCTTCTTCGTAAGCTCAGCAGTTTCAATCATTCAGATCATGTTATCGAACTGTCAAATTTCCACTATGTAGCAAAAGGAATTTATTAGCAAAAGGACAACCAATTAATAGTTTCATATATATATATATATATATTAATGTGAACCACATAATTGCTGTTCCTTGAAATGTCAAGCTGCTATCTTCTTTATGTCGATGCGTAGGTTTGGCATATAGGATAAGGATGTATCAAAGGGGTATGAAATGAAGAAATTTGGAAATATGTTGTGCGAACTATATTCACAACTATGCTGATCTTTTTATTTCATTTTTACTTTCCCGTGCTAATTAATTCCTACGTGTTGTGTTAGTATCAGCTTATTGAATCTTTATTTTATTTGATAGTACAATAACAAAATAAATTTATTTATTTAAGCTGAATTAATAACCTGTTTATTAAATAGAAAAATTTATAAAATTACGGTATATCATTTTTAATTATTCAGCAATCAAATTTTAATATCATTTTTTAATTATTAATCTCATGGGCAGTTGATTCATATTCACATCCATAATTTAGCGATTCCACAATGGATTACACGTGATATCCAAACAAATGATGGTAAGTACAAAGTGATATAATTACTAATTAAAGAGTGAATAATATAATAATGTTAATTGCAATTTCGCTTCTGGGTGCATCAAAATTTGACTTTCTAATACTAAATTATGGCACTATAAAACAACTTTTGTTTTTATATTAAGAAGCAGTTAATAGGATTGTTTTCAGTAGTAGTTTAAGATAATAAATGCATGGGGTCGAATCGATGACATGACTATAGACTTTTATCATTATCACGCAATAAACGAATTTGGTCATTTGCTCAATTTATTAATTGAAATTCTGTTTCTTTACAAAATTACTATAATGCTTTCTACGGCTATTAATATAATCTTTCCTTTTTTTTTTTTTATAAAATTATTAGTGAGTGTAAAAACAAAAGGCATTAAGTGTAAAAAGTCTGACAGGAAAGTAAGCCGAATATTGAATAGCCGCTGCTAATCACATTCCAATGGCAAAGTGTCTGGTTTAGGGATTGAAGTTCATCGGTATCCATTTTAAATTACGAATTTTAAATTTTTATGTTCGTATTCATTTTAAATAGTCATTTAAGTATTTGTATTTGAATCTATTTAAAATACTCTTTAAATCGGCAGTAATATCCATAGTAAAATTGTTTATTATAGTAGATAATGGGTTACAGGTAACTAATGTCTTATACTCGTATTTTATCTATATAAATTGCAGATAGTAATTTCACTATTTTTATATCTTAAATTCATCTATAACTATTTATATTATCATTAAACGGATCGGAATTCTAGTGTAACCTTAAAATATCATTCTCATTTCCACCCTTAATTTGAAATTTGAAAAACTTTATTACTTCAATATTTATATCCGATCCAAATGTACAAATATGTGTGCAACCTGAAAAAATAATAATAATAATTTCTTAAAATATGCTCTTTTATTATAGAGAGAATATTCTTAATTTTTATTTTTGATTAATTAAAATTATGAATCAATTCTTGTACATCATATTTACTCTACTTATATATCCGATTAAAGATGATACAATTTCTGAAATTTAAAATTATTTAATAAGAAAAATTATTGTTTGAAACTTAATAAAAAAAAAAGATAATAACAATAAATTAATTCATGCTATTGCATTAATTTTTATAATTAAAACTACATCTTCTTTGACAACTTGATTTGCCACATATACACAGAACAATATGAAACTCCCACGTTTCATGGAATGTGATAAAACTGGTGTTTCTATATTCTTCTAGTGTCTGAAGTCTGAACTAATAATAATTGTGTGAATGTGAGTGGATCCCACAGTAGTAGTTAATTATTTGCGGGGGTTGAAATTTGAATCCTTTCACCTTTTTACCGTACCAGGAAAGATGTCTTATCTTATGATCATTATCACACTTAGGAGGTTAAATATTCGGTTTTGGTCCAACAAATTATCCAACAACAATTCGAATCAAAAAATAAATTCTAAAAATATAAAATCAACCGAACGGAATAAATATGAAAAACTAAATTTAAATATAAATTAAAATAATTGAAATTTTATACCACTTAAAATCAATTTTATTAAAAAATTAAATCAAATTAAATCGAATTAGTTCAGTCCAATCTGGATTTTACTCACACTAATCATTATATATTCCATCTAACCATGAAATTCAAGAACTGTTTGTGGGTATCTCTTGCAGATTAGCTTAGCCCTGTCAGTCCGTAGGACGGTGTGAGACCCATGCATGCAACTTGCAAGTCGCAAGGCCTTCCAAACAATTTCTTGTAATAAAAATATCAGTTAGAAAAGTTAAGAACATGATAATATCATTGATTGTTAAATAAAACTTGCCTAATCTAATTTAATGCATGATGCCTCTCTATATACAAGATCAAATAGCTATGACTGAATGACTCGTTTCATGTAAATGCCAATGGTAATTTAACAACTCATGCTTCTTGGAAGATGAATAAGTGAAGGAACAAATATTTAGTATTCGAACAAAATATTCTTAACTCATTGACAGCGTGATTCCTGCTAACGATGCATGGGAACAAATATATACTCGTAAGTGAAAAATTCATATTTGATTCCAAGGATTAATTAGCTTCTTTTTTTATTTTTAATTTATGAAAAGGTTCAATAAGATAAAATAACACAATGGACAGAGACATTAAAACTGGTGAACTCTTGCTCTTCAAACTAGAAAGAAAACAATAAAATCACGCTTGATTGGCAATTAACTGTGTTAACTTGCAGCATATATATATACACACTGAAGATCGGAAAATCATTACATGAACAAAAGAAAAAAAAGTCATACATATAAAATGATTACCAGTAGAAATGAACCACAACATAAATAAAAAACAAGACGAGAACTTGCACTTTAATCATACAACTTTATTCTTATGAAGAACACAATACAAAGATAACTAGGGCCCATTGTACTAGTAACAGAACAAATTACACTCAACATTTTGTGAACATGAGAAGAACTCCTCAGCAGATACTTGAACTGGAGAAAAGAATATATATGTTATATATATGCTTAAGTCTGCATTTTCTGAAGAACAGCAGTTCTAACGGTCTCTTCATCTTTTAACCCATCAGGAACCCTAACCATAACATCTTGAAGCAACATGTCCTTAATGCTTGACACACTTCCATGATGAACTTGACACTCCGCTTCTCTTAGAGCATCCATTAACCTCGCAGCTGGATGATTAACATTAGGGGAAAGGACTCGGATCATAGCTTCTGATGATCCTAAAATTTTTACATCAACTTCTATAACTTTGGCTCTGTGACTTGAAAAAGATCTGAAGATGTCATTGCCATTGTTAAGTTTATTATGATTATTATTATTCTTGGACATTATTATTGCTTGTTGTTTAGTTTCTAGTTCATCAACTTTGGCCTTGAGTTCTTTTATATAAGTCACCGCATCTGCTAGTAAAGATGCTTTATCCATTTTCGACACAGTAGGAACTACAGATCGAAGCGAATAGAATCTATGATTAAGCCTTTCCCTGCGTTGTCTCTCCGCTTCTACATGGTTTAGATGCGTTTCTTTACCTGCAGATTGCTTTCTTGATCTTTTCTTGCATGGATACGTACTTCCAGAATCAGAAGATGTTCGACCACCTTGTTGACTATTACTAACTCCATCTTTCTTTCTCTTTATTGATGTTTCTCCTTCATTTTTCTTTTCTTGACAAGTCTCCTTTTGATGAGAATCTGAAAAAATGCCAATGTCAAGAAAACAGGAAGAAGAAGGAGAAGCATTATTACCATTCTTAGGGATTTGAAGTTGATGAGAATTTTCTACTCCAAAAAGTGATTTGCAATGTTGCACCAGACTCCAATCTTCATTAATCAAGGTTGAAGATCCAAATTCAACAACTCCATTACAGGTTGAAATACAAACCAACGTTTGTATTCCGTGCATACGAGCTTCTTTGACCCTATCACAGTAATCATATAACTGTAACTCATTATCACCAGTCAACCAAATAAAATTCCCAGAGCCAAATGCCCTACTGAGGATTCCATCCCTATCAACAGCGTAGGATCTTGTTACAGATACCGTATAGAACCACTCATAGTCAATAACATCAACATCTGCCAACCCATCCATGTCCATTTCATCACTGAAAAGAGTTGGAAACTCTTTATTGCTATTAATCATTGTCGTCTTCCTCTTTTCTGGATTGAAGCCAAATTTATTGTGGTTGCTAGCTTTGGCAGCAAATTCTTTAGCGCCATGGAAACTACCATCAGCCCATGATAAAACAAGGGAACCAGTAGCATCCTTGGTTGCTTGCCAGAAGACGGCATAGAGCCAACATTCAGGCCGGCTTTGGAGGATGAACTGAAGGCGATGATGGAGAGGAGAAGAAGAATCTTTACGAAATGATTTCAATGAAGAAGAAGAAGAAGGGGACATTAAATCCTCCATCAGTTGATATATTATATGTTGTTTTATTTGTTTGGGTAGAGAGAGTGTCTTCGGATGGTCAATATATAAGGAAAGCTGGGGAAGACACATTTGAAAACTTTTTTTGTCTTAATCTTCCGTTCACCATTAATTATCACATGGGAAGGGTAGTTTTCTGGCGTTTAAAATCAAATACGCCGGTCCAAGTCCAAGAGTTAGTAAGTGAGTTTGTTACTTGTTTTCTCAATTACATAAATAAACCGAGGACGGTGATCTTCCATTCATTGGAAAACAAAAATTCTAAATTACCTTTTGCATAATAATTTTAGAAAGCTAACAGCATGGATAGCTTTCTGCTTTGAATTGTGTTAATTTGTGAAATTTATTTAGAAATTTGGCTTTTTTTGATAGAATTTTAATGTAATTATATTCAAATTAATAGAATTTGAATTCGTAAAATTTAATTCTTTACATTTTTATACCAAACGTAAAAATTTAAATTTATAAATGTGAAATTCATTTATTTCAAAAAGGGATTAAATTCCATAAAATATAAGTAACTACTTTCACCATTCAAAACTTTATTCAAAGAAAATTAATATACTGAAATTTTAATATATATTATATACATAAATTAATGCTAAGGAATGTTTCATGTGTAATAATCAAATGTAATTTTAGTAATAATATTTACACTAAAAATAAGTTTTATGACATTACATTATATTTCATTATAATTCGTGAAATGAACAGTAACATACCTTGGATATTTGGGGTAAATTATTTGGAGGGGCCATGAAATTAAATAAAAAAGGACAAAATTAAATTTTACAGCATTACATTATATTACTTTATAACTCACAAATAAACAGTGGCGGACAAAATTATTTGGATGGGCCATGAAATTAAACAAAAAAGGACGAAAAAATTGAACACTATTTATAAGAAAATCAAAAAAACAATTTTTCCTCCAGCCCTTGAGAAGGTCTTCCACTGTGTACGAGGGAAGTTCTCTTTTTTCTTTTTTAATTCTCTTTTTTTAGGTATATCATCTAAGTATCTATATAACTCAAAGAATAATGGTATGCAATTAGTCTAACTATTTAAAATAAATTAAATCTAATTATCTAACTAATAACGATGATTATAAAATAATACTAGCAATCTTCACCTGAAATTATATATATATATATATATATCTGTGTGTGTGCGTGTGAAAATGGGAAGGGAACATTAGAATTGCCGGAAAAAGGACACAGTTAGACATAATGGCAAAATACCTTTTAATTTCATTGCTAAAAATAAAATAAAAATGATTATTTCTAAAAAATCTTTAATTTAATTGAATTTTAATTTCATTCCTAAGGTTGCTGCTTCGGAATTTATCTCTCAGTTCAGGCTGATCAATCTTTGCAATGCCTTATTATAAGGTGGTTATGAAGGTTTTGGCTTTTCGGTTGCGGCCCTTTATGGATGGGTTGATTAGTCCTTTTCAGAGTAGCTTTATTCCATGACGTACTACGATTGATAATATTATTATCACTTATGAGCTTTTTTATTTTTTCCGGAGATCTAAGTCTAAAATGAGTCATTTTGCTTTGAAAGTTAATTCAGAAAAAACCTATGATGGAGTGAATTGGAATTTTCTGCGATTTGTTCTGATTCTTTTGGCTTTCCTAATTTATGGGTTTCTTTGATTATGGTGCTTTTGCCCAGTCATCTGTGGCAGTGCTTTGGAATGGGAGTCCTTCTGGTTATTTTGTGCCTTCTCAGGTCTGCATCATGGTGACCCTTTATCCCCGTATCTGTTTGTCCTTTGTATGGAGGGGGCTATCTTTACTGATTCAGTGTCAAATGGTTAGGAAAAAGTAGGTCCTGACCCGTGCTTCGATGGGTGGTCCTCCTATTAGTCATTAGCTATTTGTCAACGAATTAATTATTCTCGGGAAAGCTTTTGTGCGACAAGCTAAAGTAGTTCATGATGTTTTGGCGGACTTTTGCGGAGGCAGTGGGCAGAAGGCTAATCTGGCTAAATCTCGCATTTTCTTCTCCAGGACGTCTCTCGTCCTATGCAACATAGGCTCCAGCAGTTACTGGGTGTGATGGTTACCTCAAATTTAGGCAAGTATCTAGGGGTTCATTTACTTTATGGGCGGTCTTCTGTGGCACTGTATCAGGACATTATTCAAAAGGTGGAGGTTCATTTGGCGAACTGAAGGTCCCGTTTGCTTAGTCCTGTTGGTAAGGAAGTTCTTATTAAATCTTTTATTTCTTCTTTACCTGTTTATACTATGCAAACTGTGTGGTTACCTTCTTCTATTTGTGGGACAATTGATAAGTTGTCTCGTAATTTTTATTGGGGGTCTACGGTGGAGAGTCGTAAGATGCATTTGGTTAGATGGAATTGGCTTATCAAGCCTAAGAAGTTTGGAGGTTTGGATTTCCGGTGTGCCTGGTTGTTTAATATTGCTATAGTGGGTAAGTTGGGTTAGAAGGTTTTTATGCATGACACGGCTCTTTGGATCCAAGTTTTGACACATAAACATTGTCATGGTCGCTCTTTTCCTTCGATCTTGTGGGGTTGTGATTCTTGTACTTCGAAGGGGTTTGTTTGTAGTTTCCAACATCTCCAGTCTCATGTTCCTTGGCGGGTAGAGAATGATTGACAAATCAGTTTGTGGTGTAGTTCTTGGTTGTTTATGGGTCCTTTGGTGGATTTAGTAGAGTCTATTTCTAGGGGTGAGGAGCAGCTTCAAGTGGACGATCTTATTCATATTAATTCTTGAGATCTTTTTGTGTTACGTATCTGTCTTTCTGATGGTAAAAATTGAAAATCAAAACTTACTATGGTTTTGTTATTGTTTCACCCTCACGTACCTTTTTCAGTTAAAAAAAAAAAGGTCATTTTGTTACTGTGTGTATATCATTGCGGGAGATAATTGAAAAGAAAGGTAATTTACAGAATTTTTGTCAATATATTAGCAAATTGAATCCCCTTTATAGCTAGAACATGAAATTTTTCACCATGCAGTAACCAATTAGGACCATGACTTCGCTTGAAAATTACAAGTGTAACATCATATAAAAAATGAAGTCTCAAAAGAAGAAAAACTAATAGAAAATGAAATTAGTATATACATAGATATATTATATAACTTATCAGACTCGGTCTTCCATGAAATAATCACAATATAATTTTTTTTTCTCAATAAATAGTTAAAATTACTATTTTATCAAAAAAAATAAATTTGCGGGAGATAAAATTGAAAGAAAGGGGTAATTTAGCAGGAATTTTTTGTGGTCAATATAATTAGCAATGATTGAATCCCTTTATAGCTAGAACATGAAATTTTTCAGGCTCATGGCAGTAACCAATTAGGCCATGAACGTTCGGCTTGAAAGATTACAAGTGTAACATCATATAAAAAATGAGAGTTGGCCAAAAGAAGAAACTGAATAGAAAATGGAATTAGTATATACATAGATAATATTATAATAAACTTATCAGACTGCGGTCTTCCATGAAATAAGTCACAATATAATTTTTTTTCTCAAAGATAAATAGTTAAAATTACTAATTTGTTGATCAAAAAAATAGATATAATATATATATATATATATATATTTTATGAAGTAAGTATTTATATATTTTATGAATATATTTAGACACTCAATCTAAGTAAATTATTCTCTCATGTACATTATTCGGAGAGAGAAATTAATTAAAGGAAAAGATAATATTTTAAATGTTTAATCTGTTTCTCATAAACATATCATGATGTGGGGACAAAATCCCAAATCAACGGCATCTCTTTCTTTTTCATAAAAGTATTTATTTATAAATAATTTTAAATAACATGGATTTGTGATTTGTTGCTTAACGACATATCGTTGACGCAATAATACGGCTGTGGAACTCAAAATTCCCGAAACTCTTAAAATCCAGGAACAAAGCAGTAGATACAAATACTTGGAGGATAAATGATTTAAAGACATTAAATTCTTTAAAGGACCAAGATTTCTTTCCCAAGATAAATTTTTACTTTTAAAAGAAAGATAGGAGGCAATATAGTTCCATCACTGAACAAAAATATTTCGAAAAATAATAATAATAATTGGTATCTTCTTAGACAAAAGTATTGAAATATGGATATTCACCGAGTTTAAGTAAATATTTTTCCAAATTTAATAATCTACATCGAATAGTTATAAATTCTCATATGTTACTGCTAATCGATAAATAAACCTTGAGTTGATATTTTTATGGGTTTTTAATAAGATTTTGATTTTTGAGCTCTGATTTTAAGATCATGTTTACCAAGTTTTAAAACATCATCACGACTAAAACATTTTTTTTTTTTTTTTTTTTTTTTTTTGTTCTCCTCTCCTTCTCTCTTTAAAATTTTATCCATAAATTTTAGAAAATTAATTAGTATTTGGACAAAATACTTAAAAATTAGAGATAAACTCGAAAATAGAAATAATAAAATCAAAACAAATTTAGTTACAGATCACAACCCGAAATATTTAGCAATGAAATTAGTTATTTAAATAGATAACAGATCATTAACTGAAATTAACAACAGAAGGATAAATGCAATCACCTCTTAGCTAATTCTAATGTCTGCTTGAAAAACAAAAATGATAAGTTATTAATTTTCTGTAGCCCCAGTTGTAAAATATTTATTTAACATTCATTTTTTGAACTATTTTTAATTATTTAATTTCAAGCTTAATAGTTTTATTATTAACTTTGAAGTAATTAACAAGATCACAGATTAATCAAATATTAAACTATTTTAATTTGACTGCGCAGAAAAATTTGAAGTTCTTAATTAAAATTTTACCAAAACGATTATAATTATTAAGAACTAAATTGACAAGTATGACAATTTACTACTTCAAAATATTAATTTATCTTAATTTTAAAATAAAAATTAAATTATAATCCTTGCAACACACGGATACGATTATAGCTATAACTGGTCTCGGACTGCGTTGGGTTTGGGTTTCATGCACTGTTGATGGTGCAATTTTTTCACTCATCTGGTCAGTTTTTGTGTGCCTATTCTTCTTGGGCTTTTGGGGTATTGCCCTGCTAAGGTGGTAGAATTGTCCGGGAGGCTCTTAGTTGGCTTAAGCAACAACAATTTTTTAATATTGACTTACGAATGGATTGTCGGAAAGTTTGGCAAAATATTATTTCTTCTAATTTTCTGAATAATGAGTATTGGAATCTTATTGGTGAGTATCAATTTCTTATAAATGAAACCATGGTTTTAAAGCTAAATGAGTTATCATATTATAAATAAGATCGATGGTTTTAAAGTTAAATCGGTTCATCAGCAAGCTAATATGATAACTCATTTCTTAGTTAGTACAACTATTTTTTTTGTTCACCCGATTATTTGGAGAAATCCTCCATTTTTTTTGTCATTTTTAGTTTCTAATAATTCTATTATAAGTTTTTTCACTAAGAATTGAGATCTTTAAGTTCAGTTGTATAAGGTATAGGTCTATCGGTAAGGGTTAATTTGGATCTTTTTATTAAATTTTTGTTATTTTTCAATAAAATTTATAAGTTTAAAAGAAAAAAACAATTGATCAAAGAACGGGGAAAGGCTTTAAAGCTAACAAACTAGGAAAGAATGATAGAGGGAGGGGAAGGTTTTAAAGCTAATTAGAAAAGAACAAGTGGGTAATCATAAATGTTTGGAAACAACATCAAACAGTGATTTTCACAAAACAACAAAATTTGTATTGAAACAAGCTAAGCTTTTGTGTTTTTTTATATGAGACAGGCATAGGCATAGAGGTGAAGAAAAACAAAGCCCTTCTTCGTGGAAACTGGGAAGATGTGTATTTGTTGTCTGGTATATTGCACTATTTGAAATATTGCTCTAAATTCCAAATAATTAAAAAAATAGAATAAATAATTATTTGGAAGCAAATGTATGATGATGGGGTGGGGTAACCCAAAATCAAGGGCAGTTAGTTTTCTCTGTCCCATATTCACGGGGTTTACAAGAGAAAAATTAAAGGCATCTTCCTTTTCCTTAGCCAAACACAGCCTCACTGCAACTTATTTAAGATTCATGTCAACCCTTTGCTTCAATTTTCATTTATTTCACTTCAATGTGGTCCTTTTTTTCCACTTGCCTCCTGCTATAGGTTCCAATTTCTAATTTCAAGTGTGGAGAAGACTCCAATCCCGCTACAGCAAAGTTGATTAATTAATTTTATACATATGGGAACTAAAAACAAGATCAAACTAAATAAATTTCATACAAACTGTAAAATTATCACTGATAGATTGATTGTTAATAAAAGAACTTAGCGTTATTAAATCATTTCAAAATATGTAATGCTCGGTTAAAAATTAGCATTGATTAATTATATATTTAAGGCTTATTATTCTTGCTCCGTAATTATTTATTTGTCCCCTGATCAGATAAAAACTGTTAGAGCTACTATCCTTCTTGTTTCATAGACAATTTTACAATCTCTTGTTATTTAATTCAAATACTATTCTTGATTTTCTATTCTCACTACTATCAATCTCCTAAAAAGAAATTAAGAGTTTTTGTATTATATCTTCAAGTTAATCAAAATAGAGAAATTGTCGCTAGCTAATGCTGTAAATGGTTCAAACCACACATGGCCTTTCGAGCTACCGCAATAAGTTTAACAAGTCATGTTTAATTTTTCTCGTTTAGCTCATTTAATAAATTAATCGAACAGCCTTTCAAACTTTTTCAATAAAATTAATGAATTGAGTTCAATTATATTAATCAAGTCTATTTAATAAATAAACTGAGTTTGACTTCGAACTTACAAGAAAATAATTTATTTAATTATAAAATATAAACGAGCTTATCTCAATCTTTGTTTTTAAAGTTCAAATTCAAGGCTTGGCTCAACTCAGTTTTACGGTTTAAGCATTAGCTCAAATACATTTCTTGATTACTGATTGACAGGGCAGTTACGAAATGATCAAGGAATAATAGTAATAAGGAAGGAAAAAGGTGCAAATCGCAGAAAATTGGAAGGTGGAGATAGAGAGATAGACAAGTGTAGGGATGGGGAAAGTAACCGTTGAGCAACCAAATCCAAAAAGAAAAGAAGATGGGTTTAGAGAAAGACAGACAGACAAGTTAGGGTATTGATTGGGTATTAGGTGCGGTGAAGTAAAAGGCTTCACGAGATACTTGGGACCTCTCCCTATACTCTTACTCTTCTCCTACTGCATGCTATTGCTATACTTAATACGTTAAACATAAAATTATTATTTTATGAAATATTAATATTATAATGGTTCTTTTTTAATTCATAATTAATTTAGACATAAAAAAAAAATGTAAAGTTTAATATTCTTATGAGAAATAAATTTTAGTTATATTTTAATCTAATACAAAATTTGCAAGCCTTTCATAGTACAATAATTAATGCTTTTGATGGATTAAATCCTATAGCCCATAGTTTAAATTTAGAGAAAACGGGCTTTTTAGATTTGAATTTTTAATTTCTTACACCAAGCATTAAATCCCTCAATTTGCTTATTGCAATTTCTACCCATTTTGTTAGTATATTTAAATGATAATTCCAAGTTTAGCAGGTTTAAATGGTAATTTTTTTATATTTACATAAGGTATATAGGTCGTGTTTATTTTAACAATTTACAATAATTTTGACTAATGCCCTGCACTGTAAATGGTAATTGTCAGTTACTAAACATAGAAAAAATGATGATATATAAAATAAAATGGACCCACTAGAGAAGGATAAAGTAATTAGTTTGAGGGTTAAACTTTAACCGTTTTAATCATATGATATCACTAATAATAATATTGTCTTGTAAGGAGATATTGTGCCACTTTTGGTTATTAATTATAAGGCACGTGCATCTACTAACATGTTAATTTGCTTATTTTGCCCATATGAAACCAAAAAAAAAAAATGGTATCTAATTGAATAAGCCAAATGCTAATTGGGACCACAACTTAATTAAGATGCCTTATAGCACAAGTACACCCTCTTGGACTATACTTGCCTATAACCGATTCTATGACCTCAACCATAAATCAAACCAATAAAATTATTATTTTTTTAAATTTGTTCATATTTTATTTTATTAATGAGTATATAATTATAAATACTCTTATTTCAATTGGTCCATGGGCAAAGTCATAAATCCAATCTAGACAAGTCAATTCTCATAAACTATAGTTTAAATCTTAATAATTAATGATAATCAACATTCAAGTCTTCTAATAGCATAATGCATAAATTCATAAAAAAATTTTAAGATTTTAACCTGTGTCATCTTAAACTTTGTAAATAACTTATCATGTATTTGAAATTGCAAATTGCAGTAACATTACACCTATTTCTATAGTAATAACGATAATTTTTAAGATTTTTAGCTTTATGATTTGATGTATATATAGTTAGTATGATTTTTGTAAATATAATTTGATGTATATATAGGATTATCTTTTAATCAAATACTTCGTGCTAGAATGCCTCATGGTCATGCAATAGGTGATGAAAGATGGTAGATGAAATCATACTAAAATATTTATAATATTATCTCACTATTAATAAAATGAACAAAAAATTTAACTATATTTTGAGATAAAACAAATTACGAAATATTTGTAATATGTACTAGAAGTCACGTGAGATGAAATAATACTTTGTAGCTACGTGATAAGAGCTAATCTTTCTCAACACCGGTCAACTTATTAAAAATTCCTATAGTTTAGATTTTTAAAATATTAAAAATAAAAATACTATTATAATTTTGGTTTGAACTTGTAGAGGAACTAAGCAAATTGCATCAATTAAACTAATTGTTCAGTAAAGATTAAAACTGTGGACCTAATATTTATTAAAAAGAAAAAAAATGGAGAAAAAAACACCGTAAGGGTGAATATACAGCCAAACCAGAAATGTAGTAGTGATGATTAGAGTAACGTTCAAAGAGTAGCGTGTCAAATCCTTCTCTATAATCGACATTTTTCTTCTCTGCCTCTCACAATAAAAGCCTCCAAAAAGCCATTACCCTTTCGCTTCCGCAACGTCCTCCCTCTCTTTCCTTTTGCTCCTCTTACCTCCTTTTCTTTCTCTCACAACCTTTTTCAACAATTTGTTTTGCTTCCTTCACTTTCCAGAGAAAAATATAACAGAAAATCCAGAAAAGAAAAAGACTAAAAATGCTGTCTGGACTAAACGGCGCTGTCTGGATAGATGATAAAGAACCGCAGGACTCGACAACAAACACCATTAACATTAACGACAGTAGCTGTAGTATTATACAGAGTAAACAAGAGATGGGTTCGCTTTCTACCTTCAAATCCATGCTTGATGTAGAAGACGACTGGTATGTTGCTAACACTAGTATCCAAAATCATCAAGATGGTATTAGAGATATCACATTTTCACCAAATCTCGGTGACCCAGATAATCTTTTGCTTCATTCAGTGGATTCTTCCTCTTCTTGCTCACCAACCTCCTCTGTTTTCAACAATCTCGACCCATCTCAAGTTCACTACTTTATGCATCCAAAACCCACCTTATCTTCACTTCTTAACGTTGTTTCTAATAACCCTTTAGAGCATGGGTTCGATTTGGGTGACATTGGGTTTCTTGATAACCAGGCTACTAATACAACTACAACAACAGCAAATGCCTCATCTTTACTAAACAGGGGAGGTGGAGTATTAGGCAACTTTACTGATATGAGCTCAAACAATCAGATTAGCAGTTCTAATTTATGCACTGACCCATCCTTTTCTACTACCCGGATGCTCCAATTGCCTGAAACGTGTCCTGGGTTTGCAGGATTTAGGGGTTTTGATGAGAGTTCAGGAAATGCACTGTTTTTGAATAGGTCTAAGTTGTTAAGGCCTCTTGAAACATTCCCTTCAATGGGTGCACAGCCTACCTTGTTTCAAAAGAGAGCAGCGTTGAGGAAAAATTTGGCTGACAATGGGTCTAATTTGGGGGCTTTAAGTGGGATTGAGATAAATAAAGGGAAGAGAGAAATGAGTCAGATGGGTGAAGAGAATGAGAGAAAGAGAAAGTTGGGTAATGTAGATGATACTTTTGAAGATGTAAGCATTGATGGGTCGGGTTTGAATTATGACTCTGATGAGTTCACGGAGAACACTAAAATGGAGGAGATTGGCAAAAATGGAGGGAATAGCTCTAATGCAAATAGCAGTGTCACTGGCGGCGGTGGAGATCAGAAGGGGAAGAAGAAGGGGCTTCCTGCTAAAAATTTGATGGCAGAAAGGAGGCGCCGGAAGAAGCTCAATGATAGGTTATATATGCTTAGGTCTGTAGTTCCAAAGATTAGCAAGGTAAGAATTCTTTTTCCACAATTTTCTTGTGAATTCAAGTATGTTTTTTTTTTTCCTATTATATTCTTACAATCATTCAAACTGTGTGTGTATGTGAGAGAGGGTTCTCTCTGTATAATTCTTTGAAATTTGTTCATATTTTGTTTTGCATGTTGGAAAATTAATAAAATAGTTGCATTAATGCTTCTCACATGGATACTGATATACTGGTGCTTTACTTTATTTTTTGTGCCATTTCAAGGGATACAAAAGTTGTTGCATTGCAAATTCTTCGTCCGCTCCTCTTTCATTTATTTTTCAATGAAGCATGGGCAGATATTATCATTTTTTATTCAATTTGCATATGTTTGATTTTCTTCCTTCCTCTCAATAGTTCCACTTTCCCTCTTTGAGGTTTCATGTTCCTGAAAACTTTGAAACTGTCTGTTGTCCTCAGTCATTATTATTAGTTTTGCCAACAATATAAACTCAGGAAAATTACAGAAGAATGTAGCAATTGAAGAAGGCTGTTTTTTTTTTTTTTTTTCTAAAGATAATTTCTTTTTCAAATTTAGCTGAATACATTAACTATTTTTCTCAAAACTGAGCCTAGAAAAGGAATATTATTCCACTGTCCAAACCAAACTCCTAAATAAACATGTTCAGAGCTTAAAAAAATGTCCTCTGGTGTGCTTCGTTAAAATAATATGATGTGAGTTGCGTTGTTGTTGTGCTGACAGATGGACAGGGCATCAATACTTGGGGATGCAATTGAGTACTTGAAGGAACTTCTGCAAAGGATCAATGACCTACATAATGAATTGGAGTCCACTCCTCCTGGCTCTTCTTTGACACCCACCACAAGTTTTCACCCTTTGACGCCCACTCCATCAGCCCTTCCCAGCCGTATCAAGGATAAGCTTTGCCCAACCTCATTGCCAAGTCCAAATGGTCAACCGGCAAGGGTAAATTTCTCTCTTGCTGCTCCGATTTTGTTATTGCCTTTCTTGAATCCTACATTCTTGAATTTGCTTGTCCAATTTATATTTAATCTCACGATATTTAGGTTCTGCTTCTAAAATGTTCAAGGATACAAACTTGGAACTTCCTGCTTCGTACTTCTCATCCAAAAGTTTTTGAAAATTCTATTTCTTTCCATTAACAACTCTGTAACATTTGGTTCTTTATCAAGCGAAGAATGTATACTGGTGCTTAACTATTTTGTTTTCCAATGCAAGGAAACTTGTACGAAACAGTGATAGGATTTATGCCTTGTTTTTTACTTCTGGCAGAGCAACTTTAGTTCAATCAAAAAAGGAAATATAGTTTTATTAAAAATAGATTAGGAATCTCAATGATACAGTTTTTGGCCTCTCTGAAAATACTAGGTTGAAGTGAGAGTGAGAGAAGGAAGAGCTGTAAACATACACATGTTTTGCAGTCGAAGAGCAGGTCTCCTGCTCTCCACTATGAGGGCTTTGGATAACCTTGGCCTAGACATCCAGCAAGCTGTCATCAGTTGTTTCAATGGTTTTGCCATGGATATCTTTCGAGCTGAGGTACATTTTCTTCATTCATCTTGACGCTAATTTCCACATGAATAACATCTTATTCCACCATAACATGTCTAAAGAAGAAGGTAAATATATGTGTGTGTGTGTGTGTGTGTCTTGTTAACCTAAGTATCCGATATAGAAGATCCATCAATTTGGTTTCCAAAATGAATCTTACATGATTACATAATAAGGATTCAAGAATGAAGTATTTCTCACCTTCCATTTAGGGGTGAGCATTTGGTTCAAACCAAACTAAATGGACCTGAATAGGCATGGAGAAATGAACCGGAAATCAATTTTATTTCTTTGTTAGTTTATCCACAATCCTAATGTGTTAGATTTATCCCTTGTATTTTCACCAGCAATGTAAAGAAGGGCAAGATGTTCATCCTGAGCAAATAAAAGCAGTGCTTCTGGATTCAGCTGGCTTCCATGGAGTGATGTAGCTCTCATCCTGAACTTGGAGTTAAACCTGTATCAAATGGACAAGCGAGAATTCATGCAGAAGTTATCTTTTTCTCATGCCATGAGATCCTTTTGTAATACTAGTTTTCTAGCAATAGTTCTTTTGCAAGAATCAGAAATCTGTAATTTTCTGCTCTTTAAAGCATTTTAATGAAAAGTCCCTTTAAAGCATTATCATTATTTATTGTTATTTATGGACAGCCGAGGATTAGTTCACTGTCAAATATAATTGCTCATAAATAATATTCATTTGGGGCAAGAAGAAAAAATTAATTAAAAAAATGTCAACCAAACAAGCATGATTTACTTCCATAAATTTGCGCAAATCATGGACTGTAAAATCCCTTAGACTGAAATGTAGGGGAGGACCCTTGCTTGCTGGTCCTTGAGTTTATACACCTTAATGACGTGGAAATGACAGTTTATCTGCTTGATTGTGATTGCTTCCTAACTTTTTTCTTGTTTTGTAGCACATATTTTCACTGGAGATAAAAAAGAGAAAATATATTTTCATTTCTATAAGATTCAAGAAAGAATTCAGAACCTTTTCTAATCTATATATGGGGATATACGTAGAAATTTGGAGTCGAAGAATGTCTGAAGTTTGAAGTCAGAGGAGAATGAAATCTGAAAACCCAACGACAAAAACATACTACTTTTGAATCTTTTATAATGATGGCAGCCTCTTTCTTGGTCTGAAAAAATGAACTTTAAACTCCCTCCCTTTTGTCCTTGCATCAACACGCTTTTGAATAAACACAAAGTTGTACTGCGAATGCGAAGAATGAATGGTCGTGGTCGTATTAATGGTTTGTAGGACTTTGATTTTCTTCTTTCCTGTTGTTTCCCCACTACAATGTCTGTCACTGTAGGCTTGCTTTTGGAGCTTTTCCAACGTCATCTGGACTATGCATTCCCATTTTTCCACCCCACAACCACAAATATGCTTCCACTTTCTCATATTTACACCAAAATTTTGACACATACCCTATCCGGTGGAATAAAGATTCAAGATTCATCATTCAGCTTTGTTTAATTTAATTTTATTTTATTACAAGGATTTTGCATTATCCATGTTATAACAACAACAATTAGTGACTATTCATAGTCATCAACCTATTAAAAAATAAATATATATATATACGACAATAATAATTAACCCATTTGTAAAGAGTTTTTCTTTTTCATCTCTCTCAACGCAAAGTAATTCATAATTTTACATTTCGTTGCAAAATAATAGAAATTAACTACTAAATGAACGGCATAATTTCTATTTTTGTTACCAATTCACCTTCCATCCTTTTTGCCTATAAAAATCCAATACACTAATCGAGGTTAAAGACAGCAATGTAGGCCAGGCAGACTAACAATTTGACATTGATTAACCTTGCACAATAATCTCGAATAAAGCAAATACAATTCCTTCCCAGCAGATACAAGACTGACAAGAAGCATTTAGAACTGAAATCAAGCACAATGTAAGTCCCATGGATCCAATCTGATAATATTAAAGAAAAGGCGGCCTCCATACCCTATAATGGCTGCAGCTAATAAACAAGTGAATCGTTTGACTGCCCAGTTCCATAAAACCTTATCTTGAGTGGGCACGACATGAACATGCATGCTCCCCCATCATTCATCAATGTGACACCCCACCAAAGGAAACACACCACGTGCAAAGGCAGCAGTCAAGTACTGAAATCCCCATCTATTTACTGGGTTTCATGAGCCAACAGGAATGGGTCAATTCCTCCTCACAGCCACTCCCTTCTTTCCTTTAGTACACAAATTATGAGCTGCCAGCTAACATTTTGCATTCCCAATTAAAACTTCAAGACAAATACTTGCACAATCGCATCCAATAAATGAAGAGCGCCACTAGTTAAAAGAGAGCATAAGACTATAAATATGGAAACCAACAAAATGAACATTAGAAAATTGTTGGTCTGCCAAAAAAACCCATTAAGATGACGTATAAACTTACTTACATTACAATGTGGGAGAGGGAAAAACAGTTAAATGTACAAGGTGGGATGGTTTGAAAAAAGCAGGGCTACCATTGCCTTGCTCAGGATAGGGGGTATATATCATTATTATATATTATATATTATATATTATTTATATATATTATGTATAACTGGACACCAATAATACTAACTCCATTAACATGTCCAAAATTGGGTATATATCATTCTTGCCATCTATTTCTGAGATACCAACAAGCGTCCGTCTTAGAACAGGTTAAGACTCGCACCCCATCTCAAATTTCGCAACTGAAAAGGCTATAGCAAACCTTGCTTTGCTGCCTGTCTCGAAAACCTGGCACATAAGATTCACAAAAGTTAATTACAACGGTATATTCAGGAATAATTTTAAGGAGCATCAATAACCATCCTGTATTACTTTTTTAATTAAACAAAAAGATAAAGCAAAAAGCTCTTGCATTGAATATTCAGCATAGCTAATTTGTTCACAACCCTCAAAAATTACCTAGAATTTTCAAGGTAGCCCAACCTAACAATTCTCGGTGCTATGTGCTGAAGGAAGTGGCAAACGTTTCACTTCTTTTGCATCCACACCGTCCACCTCCAACAAATTCTCATCCCCCTTTGAATTCAGGGTCCCTGGATTCATCTTCTGCACCTCCTCTCTAGTGTAGATGAAAATCTTCCGAGCCATGCCAACAAATTCCCTGATTGTCAACATGGACACAATCAGAAAGACGAGACTAACCATAAGTGACTGAAAAAAATAAACGTCTAAGGCACATTTTAAACAAATGGTAAAGAATACATACTGCCAGGGATCATCTCCAACAAGCATCATATCGCCTTCATCATCCGTATACACAATCAACCAATTCCTTTTGGGAGCCAGGAGTTCACCGTCAAACTCAAACAACCTATCCAATTCAGCAATCAACTCATCATAATTGCCGAACTTAGTAAGGTCAACAGACCTACCAAGTGCAATCCCCTGCTTTTGAACCTGAAAATTAAAAAAAAAAAAAAATTAAACGATCTATTTTCGCTAAGCCAGCAATATTCATGATTTTGAAAGATGAAGATATGCAAGTATAAAAGTAACAAACCTTAGTACAACTCCTTGTCGAACCATTTTGAGCTTTGCCTTGATTGTCCCTCGTATGCAGGAGACCAGCTTGATATTGTTTCTCATGTTCATTATCATCAGCCATTTTACAACCTTTGGACTGGTCTGACCTTTGATCTGACTCTAATACATGAAGTCGATGACTTGATGAATGTGTATGATTGAGAGGCTCACTGACCATGTTTCTATGTGAGGCTGCTGGCTCGGTTGTAACTGGATTACGAAACAAGGGAATGCCAAAGAGCCTACAATTTCCTTCAGCAGGTTTCCCTGTCTCATGTTCTTGTACCAATGCAGGTTTTGGCACCAATTCTCTCGCATGAGCATGATTATCAAAATGAGACGTTTGTGGGGGTGGCATCAACCAATTTCCATGCGATTGCTCCATCCTATGAGCATTAAGCATGGGATACTCACTAAATGCACTGCATCTCATATTCCCCCGTATCTGGTAAGGCAAATCACGACCTTGTAAAGTAGCCTTTGTATTAGATTCTGATAACTTTTGCGACAGACCTGATGACATTAAAGGCCACGGACTAGCAAGCAAGTTAAACTTGCCTTCCTGATCCAAAACAAGCTTTCTGCTGGCAGTTGTAGAAGACTGGTCAACAAAGGATGAACCAAACCCATGGGAGGAATCAGCATTTGCCCCAAAGCCTGATAACAGATCCGTGTAAGTTGGCTCCTGCCTCCCAGAGGGTATCCAACTCTCTGATCCATGTCTTCTTGAAGCAGATACCACATCAATCTTCTCATCATCTATAGAAGACGGCCACATAACTGACTTTTCAGCAGTGTCAGATTCGTTGCTCTCCACAACACTGCTTCTCAAGGTCGCGAATTCTTGACCTTGCAAGACCCTTGAATATCCAATCGGCAGTGTAGGGTCTGCAGTTACTTTGGATGAACCTAACCCGACAAGAGAAATCAAGGCAATTCAAACCTTTGATCCAACAAATAGATCTACATAAGTGAACAGAATAAAATAGTAAGACTACCTTCTCTAGCAAGAACAGAGGAGTCTGGAGATGAAGGAACCATGCTGGATCGAGGTCTTTTAGGTCTGGGCACTGGAAGAGGATTCAGTGCCGGAGGAGCCAGAGCAGGCTCTATACTCCATGGTGAAACTCTATCTGGACGAGGTATAGCAGAAGTTTCATCCCACCTCACCTAAAAGCAACATTTAAAACTCCATTCAGCACTTAACGCAGTTATATAAGAGACATCCTAATAACAAGAATAATACCTTAAGGCATCTCCATTTAGATTCTGGCCACCTTGTGGAATCAGCATCTTCAATTCCAACAATTGTGCCAGTAAATCTACAAGAAGAAAATTATGTATATACAATAAAGTGATGACAAATTCTAGGAATGAAAAATAACCAACAAATGCAACTTTAAGCAGTTATGAACAAATGAAAGAGGGTACTTCTGCCAGTCACACCTTTGCTCAGGAGCTTCTTCTCCTTCAAATCTCATTTTAAACCTCATTCCAATAGAATAATTGTTCTTGACAGACTCCATATACCGATCAAATGGAACAATAAACTCAGACGGGCTTGTCCTGGAGCAAAATATTTATAAGAGCATTTAAAAACAGGCAGTTGCAAATTGATTCATATAAAAAATAATTGAGTTATAAATTGCCCTCAGAATATCTGTTGCAGTTAAGTTTGCATTTCCTTGATTACCAAAAGGTCCAGAACAAACAAAAAAATGATGCACAAATGAAATTATATCATAACCCTCTCAAATGATAAATTGCCCAGCCTGAAAACACCATCCTATTTGTGGCATATACTGCATACCTTGGCTTATAATAAACGGTGAACATGGTTCCTCTAGAGACAGCACGCGATGCTGTAGCAAGCACATCTAGATGCATGCTGTGACTGGATATTACAGAAGATGGAACATTTCCCTGCTGTCTCATTGCCCTTCTGACACCAACTCTAAGTTCTCCATTCTCACCTCTAAAACAAACCACACGTCAGTACCATCCAAGCCTATAACACATTGTTTGTAAAATGAAAAGATAAGCCTTGTTCAAATCTCAACTTCAGGAGAAGATGCAAACCTTAAAAATATAAAGGCATCTCCAGCAACAAGCCTTTTGGAGCTAACGAACACACTCCATCCACTTTGAAGCAAGTGCCTTCGCGGTTGCCCTGGGGTTTAACATTATGTAAATGAATCATATGTATAAAAGAATGCTACAAGGATAACTAGTTTACTTCAAATTCACATGGATAAAAGCAGTTTTTTTCAAACCAAGAAAAATTTTTAATATTAAAAGTAGTATTATTCATATGTTCACATCAGAGAGCTCGCAACGTATAGTAAGTGTAGAGCTCATAATCAAGCTTTTTGATCAAGTATGTGATAGTTACCTCGAAAAATGTGCTGGAAACGCCATTCATTTCCATGCAAATCCTTCGCAACCAATTCCTGAGTTGGTGGCTGCCTTGACATATCCTATCATGCACCCAAAATAAACATCAAGTTTTTTTTATAGGTTCAACTAAAATAAAGAAATTTGAAAAAAAAAAAAAGGGCACAGGAATCACTATTTATGACCAGACTTGATACTAACCAGAGGTGGCAGACATTCAACAGCATGTCGCCTAAGCACAGAAAACCCACCATGAGTGCTTGTGTCTGATGCAGTCAAAGTTTTACAAAATGAATGCACATGAAATCGGGGTGGAGGAGGTTGGGAAGGCTGCTTCTCAACAGCATTCTCATCTTGCTAAAATTAAGAAACCATTAAATTATCAGAAAATACAGTTCCAAATTTAACATCACTTACTTGAACACCACATATCAGTAAGTCACAATGAAAACGCACTTACTATGGCCTCAGGAACCAGTGTCACTTGGGCATACACCTCGTCCGTATCTGGTTCGGCCTACAATCAACAGTTGCAACATCAGACAAAGTCCAGATTCGCAAAACCCTCTTAACAAACTAAAACACCACACTACCTTCAAGTGGAGGTGGCTTGGGAGACTCCTTCTCAACAGCATTCTCATCTTGCTAAAATTAAGAAACCATTAAATTATCAGAAAATACAGTTCCAAATTTAACATCACTTACTTGAACACCACATATCTGTAAGTCACAATGAAAACGCACTTACTTTGGCCTCAGGAACCAGTGTCACTTGGGCATACACCTCGTCCGTATCTGGTTCGGCCTACAATCAACAGTTGCAACATCAGCCAAAGTCCAGATTCGCAAAACCCTCTTAACAAACTAAAACACCACACTACCTTCAAGAGGACGTTGATAACGCTACATAAGATCTTTGATGGAAGATCATATACTGGCATCTGCCGGTCGGCCACCTGATTTGTTGACGCCTCAACCTAACCCATCACAGCAACCAAAATTAACCCAGAAATCAAGTCAGGGAACAACAAAAACGCGGTATGATAAAATATCTTCTAAAATTCAAACATCCTACTCTAGGCTTGCATTAGCGACCAGAAACCCCTCAAAAAACAGTGCATTGAAATTTTGATAATACAAATAGACGCCAGAAATCTCAAGAGTAGACAAATTAAACCTTCGAAAGTGCAAAGGGGCATAATTGAAGGAAAATCCACTGAAAAATACTATTGGAGAACTATAGTAGGAAGAATGAACCAGACCTGTTCGATATGTCCCTGAGGAAAGTAGAACACGCGCTCACCTTCACGAGGAACGGTTACCAAGGGACCGGCACAGGCATGCCACAGCTCAGTATACAACGCAGTTTCAGCGTCTGCACAACACGCGCCGCCACGGAGTTAGGAAACACAGCAAAATGCGGAAAATGTCAAAATAAATGACTCAGATCACACAAAATTCACCAAAACTTAACAAAATCTGCAGGAATTTTACCTCTTGCCGATGCCTGACGTCTACAATGACCTTTCTGCCCCTCCACGGCGTTAGGCTCGCTATAACCGGGAGAGAAGCTCTCTCCCCTTACGTTTCCACTGTTACCCTTTATTGATATCTCCGAAGAATCCATAAATCTCTCTTCGTTTAACACAGATCTCTCATTTAAATCCTTAAATTGAAAGCTCTAACTCCTATCAACTAAGAACTTGCCTCTCTAATCAACCATTTCTAGTCTGCTACCTCTCGTTTCTCTCTCTACAAAACTTAGAAACAGAAAAGCTAATAGAAAATCAAAGCTCTACCTTTTCACCAATAAATTTCCCGATTGAACAACCAAATTTGTCTCACTTCTCTTTCTCTTTCTTTTTCTTTCTAGTCACTTCCTTCTCTATCTTCCGCAACTAGAACAAGCTCCCTTTCTCCTTCCACCTATAGCTGTAGCAAAGCTCAGCAGGACATACAGTGGCCTCTTTCTCTCTCTTCTCTCTTTCTCAATATCTTGTCTCTCTCTTCTCTATCATTCTTGTCTGTGTAAAGAGTCGAGACTTAACCAGAGTGGTCAAAAATGGGTGCAATCATTTCAACCACGGTCAATTTTTAACCAGTCTTTCAACGGAACCGGCATTCACCGGTTACTCTGACCTTTTTAGCCAGTATACTCTATTCTGGACCAGATAAAAGCGACACGATCATGGTTAATTAATAAAGGCGGCTTTCGTCATTAACGGCGTTCGTTTTCTATTTTAAGGTTATCTCCATTCTAACCTATCAACGCTCTTCTTAGGTAACGGCCGTTTGCTTTGACGTTAGTGGGAAAGCTGTTCGGTTTTTAAGGGGAAATGGCTTTTGTCGTGCTATTAACGATGTGAAGTGGGTTAGGGAGGCAAAGAAGTGTTTGGGTGCGTAGCGAACACATACCAGCGCACGTTAACGTTGTTACACTTCTTTCGTATACAATCTACCGCTACTGGCTTTCGTGCGCCTGGGGGCTGTAGGGTACCACAACCCATGCATAGGCAGCAACAGCACAGCTGTTGTCGCCCACACTGTATCGTCTCGTTAATTTATCGTGTCAGCTTTTCGCAGGATAAATTCATATCGGGCTTTTCCTCTTTAAGTGACAATTTGATCATGAATTTTGCATTTTGCCACACTACGAGCTTTTTATTTTCTAACCTTTCTTATCTTAAAATAAAAACCCACCAGAAGTCATAATCTTACGTTGTTAATTACCAAATGTCAAGTGGTCTTCCCAATTGAGTGAAAATTGAAAATTTTCAAGTTTGAGTTTTATAATAATTATAAGAGTTTTCACTCATTTTTGTGAGTTATAAGAGTTTTTCTTTATTACATAATATACGATGTTATTCCAATGCTTCTCTATACATCAAAAAAATTATTAAACGTCAATTGATTTAACTGAAACCATAGAAGAATGTGACATTTTCTTTAAATTGCAAATATACATTAATTTTTTATGTTTAATTCCGAACTGATAATTCATGATTAATTTAACATAAATTATAAATACAACATTGAGTATCTGAAAGAAGATTAAAAAAAATTTGACTTCATAAAATTAAATATGAGATCAAATAATTATTACCAAATGTTGATTAACGTTTAAAGATAAATACGTATAATATTAGTTTCAAGCATGCAATTTTTTATTAAAAAAAAAATTAAAACTTCAAGTTTCATTAACTTAAATTATCAGAGAATGAAGCTTTATAGCTTTAGTTTAAAATAAAGTAAAGTGTAATACCAACTTATATATATCCAATTAACTGATAAAAAAAAAAAAAAAGATACGTGTCTTTTTTGAAGTAAAATTATTTTTCAAAATACAACAATGTTAGCTTAATTTTAAGGGACATATTATAGAAAGAGAATTGAAAAATGGTTGCAAAATGCAAAGGTGACAAATATCTCAAATTTTGGTAGGTCAATATTTCGTGAGTTAAGAAGTCTAAATAATGTTAGACAACACATTAATTGCACAAAACATCAGCTAAAAATGCAATTGCAAAGTTGAGTGGGGTCCGTTGCACGCAATATGTTGGTCCCCCTCAATTGGAGAGAGCTATTTTTTATTCTAATCAAAATTGAATTGAATCTGCACTATTTAATTAAAACGATAATTACTTTTGGTTTGATTAATTAAAATCGATTTGACGCAATAAAAAATAAATTATTTCTACATCCAATAATTTCGCGGCAAAACGCCAGAGCCAATGCAAGATACGAAACGAGAAGACAGAAGAAAGGGGTAAATAGTAAATAGCAAGTGGAGTGGGTAAAAAATAAATAAATGAATGAATGCAGAAATTACAAGCGGAAGGTAAGGGAAAGCAAGTCACGTGTTGGTGCAAAGGAAAGGAACAGTGGGAAGAGAAGAGCAAGAAAGGAAAGTCAGTGGGGGCCCACTTGTATTGTCTGTTAGCATTTAGCAGTTGTGTATGGTCTAAAGCAACACGTAGAGGAATCTTTGTCCCAATAAACCCCTTTTATTTTTATTTTTTTTATGTATATATTTCCCAATTTTAAAAAATATAAATTAAAGAGTGGAGGACTCATTTTATCCATAATAATAATAATTGTGCAATTTCAATTTTTTTATTATTCATTGAAACTAAATGAATTAAAATAATATTATAAATTACGTGATAAAAAATAGCTAAAGATCTTACACTACTTATATAAATCATAAGACCAATCAAATTACACGTAATGTAAAATTTAATTCATGATAAAAAAATATTTAGAATTCAAAATTTATAAATTAATGATGTCTAATTTCATTAGCTTTTCCATTTTTCCATAAAGTATAAAGAATGAAAGTGTTTCGATTTTAATTTTCTCGACCATAATAAAAAATTATAATGGTCCAAAGAGTTGTTATTTTATACATAAATTTATCCCAATAGTTTACGCAAATTTTCTTGTGTCATTCTCAAATTTGTGAGACATATCATAATTTTACATTTTCACATTTCAATAATAATTATATCTCTCAGCCAAATAGAATAATTTTATAAGAGTTCAATCATAACTCTACACTTTCACAATTTATTTCGATGATGAAAATATAAGGTTATAATAAGTATTGCAAACTTAAAAGTATCTCAAGACAAACCCCTAAATTGTAGAGGTAATCTATGTATTTGGACTTATTTTAATCACCCCATCGCATAGGCAAAGATGTTTGTGCCAATAGAAAGAGAGGCAAAGTAGAATAGGAAAATTTGATGGGTCATGTAGAAGATTTGTTTAGGGCATGGGACTGAATCAGCATTGTCATATTTTGGGTGGCAAAGAATCAATTTTTATTTTTGTAATGGTTTCTGCCTATCTTTTTACATCAGTACAGTAATTCCTGTGTCTTAGTATGGTTAACAGCAACTGGCCAGCCAATAGGACACTTGCTATAGTTTCATATTCCCTGTCCTGTCCTGTCCTGTCATGGACATTCTTTAATTATTTACTTTATTTACTATCATGCAATTTGTTTTGACAATTCATTCCTGTTTTAATTAACATAACATGGTTTAATTGTGCTATTCAACCAGAAACAGAAATTCTATTCTAAAGACAATTTTCTATTAGTAGGCACAGTCTTCTGCTCTGCAAGATTTACTAAAATTTTATTTTGATTTCTTGGGTAGTTTTGCATGAGGATAGTTATGTCTCAGTTAATTGATAAGTTGATTAGTTCTTTTATCTGCCTCAAGAAGTACATTTCTGGAAAAATACATATCTCGACACATATGATTTATACGTGTTTGCGGTATTTAATGATAAACGACTAAACTAATAGTATAATTTAATTAAGAGAGTCTAAATTTTCGAAAAACTGAATTGATAATGAAAATCAAAGACAAATAATTTATACACCCGAGGAACTTAGTTTTTTTTTTTTTTTTTTTTTTTTTTGTTTGCGTGGTATTTAATGATAAACGGACTAACACTAAGTATTAATTTTAATTAGCAGAGTCTAAATTTTTCAAAAAACTGAATTGATAATGAAAATCAACAGACAAATAATTTATACACCCGAGGAACTTAGTTTTTTTTTTTTTCTTTTTTTTTCTAGTCTACTTTACCAACCAAACAATTTCGTTTGCTTATTTCCATTAGCAAAATCACATTAAACTGGTATAAAGGTGGAGGCTCTAATATTTGTTTCTTATTTTTTTTTTTTTTTTTTTTTTTTCTAGTCTACTTACCAACCAAACAATTTCGTTGCTATTTCCATTACGAAAATCAATAAACTTGGTATAGGTGAGGCTCTAATATTTGTTTCTTACAAAAAAGGAGAGAAAAAGAGATGGCAAAGAAGACATGTGACAGTAGCTATAACATGAACAAGTTGAGGCCAATGATTTTAAGATAGATGATACTTTTGACAATTCGAAAGAAATTGAATTAAAATGTGCGTTTATATTTCCCATCCAACCGTCCTTTGACAAAAATAGGGAAAGCTATTTTAAGCCAAACATTTTAAAGTGAACGGTACAGTTTTGGCTTTCACTATACCACTATGCATATCAGCTCTTTACTCCATATAAATTGCTTTATTTAATTAAAAAACAATGTGTATTTCACATCATTCATACGAAAAAAAAAATTAAATGGAATAATTTTTTTAAAAATCTTATTTTTCTTTCAAATCTGTAAATAGAGTATAAATAAATTTAATTCTTGTATTTATACATTTTTTTATTTCTTTTATTGAAAGTGAAAATGAACTATCTAAATTTAGTTTTCGATCCCATTAATGGACAAACTAATGATTTTTTTTTAATGAAGTTATTTTGAACTATTCACTAATGGTTTGGTTTACGTGTAGTACGCAAGTTTTAATAATTATCTTATATAAAATAAAAAAATATTCCTCAACCACCCATTGTGTTATTAAGTAAATTTTCTTATAGGTCAAGTGGTCCATGCCACTTCTTCCGCGGTAATTAGAAGCTTTGTCCATATACAAAGACTCATATGAATTCTGCTCATCGTGGGTGCCCTGTTGATGATGATGGATTGACTCATTAACAATGAATAACGAGAAGAAGAAAAATGCAATTCTCTCATTTCTTTCTTTGAATTTTATTAATTTTTATTTTTCTAATATTAATTTAAATGTTAATTATTACTATAAAATACGCAAAAAAGCTTAACAATACCTAGCGCTCTACTTTGATTGATTGAGTTTCTTTTCCCTAATGTCAAAGTATATATTTAGTTACTTTTCTTACATTGGAAAGCAATGAAATAACAGGACACAAAAAAATAATAATAATAATAATAATTTTTACAGGAAAGGTAATTAAATTCCCTAGATTATCTTTACAAATTCCTAATTCATACGTAGATGATTAATGATTTACTGAATTAGAAAAATAGATTTAATACAAAAATTGTTTTGTAATACTATTACTTAAGCACATTAATCATCTTCAAGCATTGTTTTTTAACTTACTCAACACGGTATTTACTTTGTTATAAATGCCGCACGTGCATGGTATAAATATACATAATGAAGGTACAAGC